CTTTCAAATCTATTAATTCTACCCGGACTTAACGATAATAGCATGACGTGTAAAAACGACAAACACTATGCTATGCATTCATTGTAAAAAAAAACTGGACAATGTGTTTACTACTGACATTAAGGTAGGATTGGGTGGGCGATACTAGAACGTTGTCGCTAATTAGAGAATAAAATGGCATTTGGGATATAAAGTAATTTAAGCCATGTTGGCGCCTATCATCTCGATGTGACTTTAATATGATGCGATGAGTCGAGGACAAACAGCATATAGATATCCTGATAACGAATAAATTGCTCCAGGAACATTGCTGACTACAGCTGTTGTATGTCAGTAGGAAACCGGCATAGAAAATTAGGGTATCTCTGTTGATGTGAGGCGGAGTCGTGAGAACTAATACAACTGATGCGTCGTGTCCACAAGAAAGGTGACACTTATTCAGAGGTATATAACGGGTATTTAAATTTAAGTAAACTCCATGAAGATTAACCAGTCACAATGACTATGTGAGTACGGAAAGAATATCTAGTACGGGTTTTGTCTTTATCTACGGAGAACGTGGAAGCTTTAAGTTGCGTGTTTATCCCATTAAGAGAGGTCAAGAGAGGATGATTTTTGTGTGTAAGAACTTAGTCGGTGGTAATGAATAATTATGACTTTTTCCCTTAAGTTAAATTTTTGTCGTTCTTATTTCTTGAGAATTTAAACTAAAAATCGATTAAACCAGGCAAAATGTAATCAAAATTATATATACATTTGAAATATTGATAGTTTATTTAAAGAGTCATTTTACTACCACGTTCAATCATCATACACTGGTTATATGTATCTAATCCATCATACATCTACAGCCTGGGGTTAATTCAAACACATGTATAGAAATTCTAACTACATCTGAAGACCAAAGGAGACCGTGAAACTAACCAATAGATGGTGTGACTGACGTGTATAAGCTAAACAGATGTTCTCTGTGGTTACAATATACTTTCTTCGAGCACTAGTGACATAATGTTTTTCTTATTTCCTCATCTGAAATCAAAGTTCCTAAATGTACTAAATGTATCATAAAAAAATCAATGTCATTTATCGCTGTTTAACCAATTTCGATCCATCTTTCCGTAAAAATCAACAATTTAGAAGGCCCTTAGCATCACTGAAGAGGCCTAGAAGGACGAAATATCTTAATCTTTGCATCACTGAAGACGCCTAGAAGGACGAAATAGCTTTATCTTTGCGTCACTGAAGAGGCCTAGAAGGACGAAATAGTTTTATCTTTGCATCACTGAAGAGGCCTAGAAGGACGAAATAGTTTTATCTTTGCATCACTGAAGAGGCCTAGAAGGACGAAATAGCTTTATCTTTGAATCACTGAAGAGGCCTAGAAGGACGAAATAGTTTTATCTTTGCATCACTGACGATGCCTATATATCTATTTCAGAATTCGTAATGGAAGGCCATTTGTACCAACCTATTCTTTCATAGATCTTTGAGGTGTCAGGTTTCGGTTCACTTTCAACCTTTATGTTACCATTATTTTACAATTAGCCTTCAATACCTTCATAAACATCACTTTACGATCAATATAGGGTAATACAGTATCACCTCCTAATAGTTTATTTGGAAACACCTATCCAACAACTAGTTCCAACGATAAAACACTAAAATGTAACTCCACCTTCATGTGAGACAAATTCATAATCCAGGATATAAATATCATAACTTTCATGCTTGAACAAATGCAGGTTGTTGAAGATTTGCAGATCAGTTGATAATGGTCAATACTTCATTGTGAGATGTGCCACATTAATTCTATGTTATCTAGATTTTTTCAAGACATTACCATCCCAGACTAATGTATTTAAGTCATAAAGAAAATATATTCTTTAAAACGGTTTTGCTTGTGAACCACAAACTGTTTTCAAGTAACAGTTCAAATCCATTCTAAAGCATCCATTCTCTTGATGACTTTCAGTCCATTTGAGGAAAAGAACCATCCAGCATTGTTTTCCAATCAAATCTTTTGTCTTCTATCTCAAAAAAGGCCTTTTAAAGAGAACAGATTGTGTGGACATTTCCTAGGAATTGACAGCCTTACCACAAAGTATTGGTGAAGAAGCTGCATTCAGGCATTACCCAGTGAAACAGTAGTTTGTAGGTATGTTGTGTTTAGTATCACAGCTGGTTTGGAAGCGCGGTCTCCTTCTAATAGGTATTTACTTCTTCATTCACTGAAGATCATGTGGGAGGGCTGTCACATACTGCATAGAGCAATTAGGGGCAATGCCGAAGGACAACCAGGACAACCAGGACAACACAGGATGGTCAACAATTTCCTCTCCCTGAGAAACAACCGTCTGAAGTGGGGACTGAATCACACCCTTTGGATCTTTCCTTTTACATAGTAATGGTCTGATGCTTACCCAACATAGCTATCATAGACCTTACAATAGTGAATCTTTATTTTCTTAGAGTAAAACCATTAAGATGCTTCAAAGAATTTTTTTATTTCTTTCGGACATATACGTCATTTTATTCAGACACATAGTGAAATATTGCCATGTTGCCTGTTTGAATCATGACAAAAGTTGCAGCATGTTGTGGCTATGTTAACGTTACTCAGCACATTCAGGTCGGTGTACAAAAAATTACATCAATTCTGACTGGTGCAAGCACCACAATGGATATTCTATTTGGACATGCAATCATTACATTGTATAATGTAAACCAGCTCTCTTTCATGGCCATGAATTTTCACCATTTCAGTAATACATGTAGAATAATTTTACAGCAATTTACTTTCAAGAGTTCCGAGCTACCATCATAATATTGTAAGTGTAGTCTTCAGTTGAACCTTGTTGAGAGCCCCCATGTACAATCCTAACTTGATGAGCATAGGACATCTAAGAGAGACAGGTCAAAAGTGACCTGTTTGCAGACCAGAACAGAGGCTTTACTAACAGCATAAGGTACTATACCCTGGGAAATAGCCCAATCTTTTTACTTTCAAATTCATTGAATACCTCCTTGTTCTCTAAAAACAGCTTCAAGATAACGATGTGAAGGATGATCAGTTATCTAAAAACAGCTTCAAGATAACGATGTGAAGGATGATCAGTTATCTAAAAACAGCTTCAAGATAACGATGTGAAGGATGATCAGTTATCTAAAAATAGCTTCAAGATAACGATGTGAAGGATGATCAGTTATCTAAAAATAGCTTCAAGATAACAACGTGAAGGATGATCAGTTATCTAAAAATAGCTTCAAGATAACAGTTATCTAAAAATAGCGTCAAGATAATGATGTGAAGGATGATCAGTTATCTAAAAATAGCTTCAAGATAACGATGTGAAGGATGATCAGTTATCTAAAAATAGCTTCAAGATAAAGATGTGAAGGATGATCAGTTATCTAAAAATAGCTTCAAGATAACGATGTGAAGGATGATCAGTTATCTAAAAATAGCTTCAAGATAAAAACGTGAAGGATGATCAGTTATCTAAAAATAGCTTCAAGATAATGATGTGAAGGATGATCAGTTATCTAAAAATAGCTTCAAGATAAAGATGTGAAGGATGATCAGTTATCTAAAAATAGCTTCAAGATAACGATGTGAAGGATGATCAGTTATCTAAAAATAGCTTCAAGATAACAACGTGAAGGATGATCAGTTATCTAAAAATAGCTTCAAGATAAAGATGTGAAGGATGATCAGTTATCTAAAAATAGCTTCAAGATAACAACGTGAAGGATGATCAGTTATCTAAAAATAGCTTCAAGATAACAACGTGAAGGATGATCAGTTATCTAAAAATAGCTTCAAGATAAAGATGTGAAGGATGATCAGTTATCTAAAGACAGCTTCAAGATAACAATGTGAAGAATGATCAGTTAACTAAAAACAGCTTCAAGATAACAACGTGAAGAATGATCAGTTAACTAAAAACAGCTTCAAGATAACAATGTGAAGGACAATCAGTTATCTAAAAACAGCATCAAGATAACATATGAAGGATGATCAGTTATTTAAAAACAGCTTCATATAAATGACCCAGTCATAGAACTTACATAGATTACATATCTCTAACAGTGTTTCATTTTCCAATAGAAAATCCTCATTATCAAACAAAGGTAAAAACTGTCCTTAACAGTGAATTACCAAAAATTGTCAAAATGTGTTATATCTTCACATACTGAAAATGTAAAGTCTTGAAAAACTGCACGTAAGGTAAATAGCCCCTACTATAAACCAACACTTGTTAACTATGGAAATCATTGTTCATTATTTATGTTATAATGTTTAACAATTTACTTCCAAAAATTTCTTCTATTGTGAAATTCACAAAACTCAATCACAGCATTCTGATTGGTGCACACATAAAACATATTCTAGTTAGTAAGTCTAGGTGTTCTCGACAACTGTTGAAATAATTTCCATTCAATTACACCCGAGGATGTTATTGTAGCCTACAATTGTTCAGTTTCATTGCAAGACCCTGAGTATATTCTTGCCAATTTTTTAAATAGGTATGACCAGGCGGGGAATCAAATCTGACGTTAAACTGGGTTTTCTAATTGATTGTTGTTGTAATGTTGTTTAACGTTGCACCAGCAATTTTTCAGCTATTCGCGGCGAGAACTATTGACCATAACTGTTGTGTGGAATTTAAGCCTGTTACCATCACCTTGATCAGTTCACAATGGTACACTCCATTACCACATCGGATGTATTTGAATGAAAATTATTTCAACAGTGGCTGAACCAAGACAGCAATATTGCATGCAGCGTTCACTATTGAAATAATATTTCAATACAGCGGACATTACTGCAATAGTAGCCATGATTGAATTGAATCTGCGACCACCACTGAAGTAATTCTTTTCATCATTGAAATAATATTTCAATAGGGGCATCAACAACCGTTCCTACCTGCTATAACAAATCATAGCATTTATAGCTTCATATTGTGGTTATGTTTAATTGTAATAATTACAATACTTTAATATCTATTACAATAACTAATTAATGAAAAACTTGAAATACAGTCCATCAGCCAGCTGACTGGTAATGAACACATTCTTCTTGTGTTGATCTTAGAAAATGACACAGAATTGTCATGTAGCACAAACACACAACACTGGGCACCATCACTGTCTGGATCAGCATGGTAAGGGACTGTTAATGTTGATTCATCCAAACTTCCTACTTTTGGTTCCCTCTTCAGAACGAGACCTCCACCAGCTTTGACAAGATCAAGAAGTTCGGACTTTTCTGGTGTGGGATACTCAAACTTACCATGGAAGTAAAACTGGCACCCATCAAACAGACCAGGTAGCTGTAAATAAAACAAGATTATACTCTAGTTGTGATAGTATTAACCTACTTCAAAAAATCAAGGAGAAAATACTTTATACATTTGTAGCAATGTGTATTTTTTGTTATATATCCAAAATGTACTGTTTGCGATTTTCATAAATATTGACACTTTATGGAACGCTAGCTTTAACATTCAAAATGTACCTGAAGCCTGCTATTTGTCCTAGCCCTTTGTGGGGCTAGTGTGTTGGGGTTTGTACTTGTTCCTGGCACTTCAAACGCCTCTTCACTGACACGACTTCCGTACTCCAGACAGGTATTTATCCCTACAATAGTATTGGTGATATCTGAGTAATCGCGTATCCAATCAAAACTAAATCACTTGAAAATCCTTTAAAACCAGACTAATTTACCAAAAATCTATTAAACCCAGGTCTTAAGTTAAAATATGTTAAACCAAAGTAATGAATAACCTAAAATCTTTTAAAAGCAGACTCAGAGTAACCTAAAATCTGTGTAAACAAGAGCCTGAATAATCAAGATAATTAATTACGTCACTATGTTTCATATGTTATGGAAAGAATTTTTGGAGAACAGATTTTCTGGTCTCTCTCTCAATGCCATATTTACTTGAGCAGTTTACTGCAACATTTAAATAATAGTGTTCATTGATAAGCTATCATACCTAAAAGTGACACCCTGCTAGAAATCATGTTCAAAGATACTCAATTTATTAGCGTACCTTACAGTGACATCCTGCTAGAAATCATATATAAGACACTCAATGTATTAGCATCAAAATAAATCCCAAACATCAGGGGTTACAACACACCCTTCTTCGAAAAGAAACAAGAAAAAAAACCCAGTCTAATCTGTCAAAGTAAATGCATCTTTTTTTTTTACTTTTGATGTCTTCGTGTTAGACAAAATCTACACACAATTCAGTGTTACTAAAATAGTCCTGATCTAGGGAAATATATGCTCATGGTAGTCAGAGTACTCACAATCCATATTGAGGATCCATTTGCCCTGGAGTACAGCCATCAGGTATTTGATGGTGCGAGGACATTGGCCATCCTGGTTACTACTGGTAATTACATGGGTAACTGTAATGTAAAACACTTCATGATAAACAAAGCCATAAATCAACAAGGTAATCTCCACCACACAGCTATACATTTACAAGGTAATCTCCACCACACAGCTATACATTTACAAGGTAATCTCTACCACACAGCTATAAATTTACAAGGTAATCTCCACCACACAGCTATACATTAACAAGGTAATCTCCACCACACAGCTATACATTTACAAGGTAATCTCCACCACACAGCTATAGATTAACAGGGTAATCTCCACCACACAGCTATACATTAACAAGGTAATCTCCACCACACAGCTATACATTTACAAGGTAATCTCCACCACACAGCTATAGATTAACAGGGTAATCTCCACCACACAGCTATACATTAACAAGGTAATCTCGACCACACAGCTATACATTAACAAGGTAATCTCCACCACACAGCTATACATTAACAAGGTAATCTCCACCACACAGCTATACATTTACAAGGTAATCTCCAACACACAGCTATACATTTACAAGGTAATCTCCACCACACAGCTATACATTTACAAGGTAATCTCGACCACACAGCTATACATTAACAAGGTAATCTCCACCACACAGCTATACATTAACAAGGTAATCTCCACCACACAGCTATAGATTAACAGGGTAATCTCCACCACACAGCTATACATTTACAAGGTAATCTCCACCACACAGCTATAAATTTACAAGGTAATCTCCACCACACAGCTATACATTTACAAGGTAATCTCCACCAAACAGCTATACATTAACAAGGTAATCTCCACCACACAGCTATAAATTTACAAGGTAATCTCCACTGCACAGCAAATCTCCACTACAGAGCTATAAATTTAAGGCATTGCCAATAACATCATAAATATACATAGTAAATCTTGAAAAAAATAATTCAAATGCATTGTATTGTTCAAAGATTAACCTATTTGAGTTAAGTACCCTAGTGATGATAACTGTAAGAATAATCAGTATCTCCATCAAGATTCTTTTAAAATAGAGGTTTCATCAGAGAGTTAAAGATTGAAAAAAGATAAATTATACACCTTTACGAACTTGATACTTCAGTTTGTCACACGAAAAGGGTATTCTCCCTTACTTGGGGAGAAGTACATAGAAGTTAGGTGACATGGTAAATTTTTCAGAGATGTGGGTTGCATAAGAAATTATTCTTATCCTGGAAAGTAACCATAGTTAGTAAAGATCTCACCTTCAGGACAAAAGTCCTGTACGACCTTAGCATTTAGTACAGCTGCACATCTCTGTAGAGCAATCTTCTGCTCTCTGTTGAGGGCTGTGCCCAGCAAGCATGGCAACTGGTACTCCAATACATCAACAGTCTACAACCAAATATAGCCAAGTTATAACCGTGTTGTTATATATCAAATGGTACTTCAGCATGTCAAATATCTACCAGGACGGTTAAATCAGATATCAATGTCACAGGGAAGAAAATGCATGATATTTGAGAATGAAATATCTATTTCTCAAGAAGAAGTGAGAAAAGAATTTTTGAGGACAGACATGACAGACTTAACAGGTGATTTGAACAGATTGTGTCAAGCTTATCAAAAACTGTTATAAATGTGCCTTACCATTTTTTCATTCCCCAACACAAATAGCAGAGGCACAGTAAGCATTATTTTTAATATCATTGATTTAGCATTCACTTTGATTAGACTTTGTTTCTGGGTTAAGATTGGTTTATTATCTGTTTTTCTATAAGTGTGTAATACAAAGTATTGATAATTCACATAGAAATACATCTTTTGGTTAGACTTTTACATATTCTGACAGTATTTCACAAGTGTCTCTTACCCAGTATCATGTGAGAGCATAAGCATCGTTCACAAGCATTTTCTAGTTAATCTTACTTTTCCATGAATACAGCAGTGTTGTGAGGAAATTCGAGCACTCTTTCTAATATACATCAGAAAATCAATGCTTTACAATTACTTTATATGTTATTACATTTAAACCCGTCTATAAAGGCCATCCAAGGAAGCAGCGTAAAAAATGGTCTATAAGCACAGGTGGCCTTTATATAGAGGTTTACTAAGGATTGCATTATCTAAGGTACCCAAAAAATGGCCTTTATAGACAAATGACCTTTGTAGAAAGGGGGGCTTTAAGACAGGGTTGATTGCAATATGTTTGATTTTGAAACCATGTTTCAGGCATCCCTTTCGATCAACAAATTCCTTGTTGTCTATCAGAGCTGTCATGTCTTATAAATAATGTGAAAACATTTATAATTCTGGACAGAAAAACAAAATACCCAGGAAACTAATGACTCTATCAAACAATACATATATTCATCTACCTCTCTGCCAACTGAAACAGATTGAACAGCTGTTTTCAGGGCAGTCTTGACCTCTTCAGATCGGGCACAGTCCACTGGCGTGTAACCATAGAGATTCCTAAATTATAAAACAACTCAGGTTAGCTCAAAACTGATTATATTAACCAGAATAACATAATTCAATAAAAAAATAATTCAAAAAAGGCAATTCAATGATCAGATTGTTGTGGACGGCGACTTTTGTCAAGGGGAAGGCGTGAACTTTCAGCATGATGTCCTACAGTTACTGGTACATTGAAACATTAAATCCTGGGATCATATTAACAGACTATTTTTGATGTTTTGTCTTATCTAAATGATTAATATATCTATCAAGATCTCATGTTAAATTTTTTAATGAAGATTTGTCATAATATTAACATTTTTATTGATTTGTCACAATAATCATACTTTTATTGAAATTTTGAATGATATCAATATTTTTATTATGATCTGTAACAATATCTTTGTATCTAACAAAACTTATTACATTTACAATATATCTATAAAGACTTTTTCATAATGATCTGTCCCAATATTAAAATGTCATATTTACAATATTAATACTTTCATTAAGATTTGTCACAATATTAATGGAGTAATGAACTACATTAGTTATTCTGAACATCAAACCTAAGATACTAGGACAGAGTGCCCATTTGAAAAACCTGTGGTCAGTTTAAATAGGTAGATAGTTCAAACACATGACTTCTTTAATAAAAATGATAGTTTTCTGTGTGGTAATAGTTGGAACTGGTAGAACCTGTATATATAGTTCTAACAAGGTTCATGAGTACATATAAACATTGATACAAGTGTTTACCTTGCAGTAAGTGATGCCCCTCTGGATACCAGAAGTGCCACACACTCTACCCTACCATGGGAGACAGCATCGTGAAGAGGTGTGGCATTTTCTGTACCAGGCACATCGATCAGAGCTCCATGGTCCAGCAACAGACGAGCAATGTCTACATAACCATGGTGACATGCTTCATGCTGAAACAGTGTTATTATTCTGAACAACAATGTATAACAAGTTTGCTTAAACAACATTGTAATACTGTACATATCACAGCTTTACATAAATCATTAAAGAATAGTTTTATGATTCTTGAACTTGAATTTTCTTTTTATACAAATTATCACTGTACTATAAATACTGTTCCTGAGATATTTATTAAGTCTAGTATTTTAATTTCATCTGTAATTTTGGTTTCAATATACAGTTGATTCTTGTTATCTCTAATTCTTGTAACTCAGAGATCCCCTTTCATTCAAAGTATTTCGGTATTCCCGGCAAAACTTCCCACCAAACTTTTCACAATCACTTAAATCGAATAATCAGATAGGTAGTTTTCCTACAGGCCCGCTGACTTCAAGCTATTCAGGTTCAACTGTACATGTAGTGTGAAGAATTAGCTTTCACTTCATAATCAATGACTGTTTATACACAGTTGAAATATTTTGCTTCTTAATAATGTACCAGTTATCATCAAATCACAAGGTAAAATTGCAAAATCAGCCTAGAGAAGTTCAATCAAATGTTGATGTATTGCCATTGTACACTAACTAGATAAATAGTTATTTACTTTTCCAATTGAATTAAAAGTATGCTCAATGACCATTATTACTAAATATGTCAGTAATTTTTTCACAATCTTGCCACGAACCATCGTAAAAGGTGAAGCAGAGTCTTCATCCAGTGTATTCAATCAAATCTTTATTATGTCTCTATAGAACCTTTGATAGAATGATAATGCATAGCTGATGATATTTTCTCTTTGTGCATACCAGAGGAGTCCATCCTGCGTTGTCCCTGGTGTTTGGTGTGGCTCCTCCATTCAACAGTTCCTCAACTCTCACAAAATCACCCTTAAAATGTAGAATAACAGGATCAACAATTACAAGCAATACACAAAATGGTCACCAGAAAGTTACCAACATGTTTATAAAATAGATCGGACTACATGACAATATGACCAATATCAGGCAAAAGAACTGATCTATATCAGAAACGAGAGATCCCAGAGGGATCTTGGCGCCCACCATTGTTTTATCTTTTATTTGTTCTATGAATGTTTGATCTTTTCTCTTCTATTTTTGCTCTTAACGATAAACCAGTTTGGCCGACTAATACCCCTTACTCCCCAATCAACAACAGTTTTGGAGGGGGTGCCCCAACAAGATTCTTTCAAGAGGTCTTCATTTGGTCACCACAGCAACCAAATGGAAACAATTTCTTTTTTGAAAATGGTATTGTATTTGTCATCCCCCTTAACCATTTTATATCAATTTTTAACTTAATCTAATATCTTAATTTTGACCAATCAGAAGCCTCCAAAGTGGTTCCATGGTAACAGTTTTGGAACACCTAATATGTCAAATTATAGGCTATAATTAGCTATAGCATTTGATCAAGTTTAAATGAAAAATGAAATGGCCCAACTATATATCATAGGGATGTACTATGCAAAGTTTGAGAGATATTGCTTCAGTACTTCATAAGGTCTACTTGACACAGTATTCCATACAGAATATCTACGTAGGGGCATAACCCTGACAAATTTTGTCAAAATCTTAATGAAAAGCGAAAGGGCGAAACTTTATATCATAAGGATGTAGTATGCCAAATTTGAGAAATAGTATTTTTTTTTAGATACACTTGACACAATATTCCAGACAGACAGACAGTCGGACAGTCAGACAGGGTGATTCAAATATACCCAAACTGCCAAATCCAAGATGGTCAGCTGGAAGCCAATTCGTTTTTTTTATCAGTCCTAAAATCAAAAGGGCAGTAAGGACCAAGAAGAAAATACACAAGAAATTTGAGAAAGATCTATGCAGTAGTTGTCAAGAAATTGCAATAACAAACTTTCAAAGTCAAAATTTTGAAAAAAAAAAATAAAAAAAAAAAAAAACCAATGAGTACTTCTCTAGAAATAGCCATCTGATGATGATGGGCTAAAAATGTCACTCAAACAGATATATTTTCTAAATACTAACAGACCCAGGCCCAACTATCACTTTTAAGTTAATCAAAGTTATCTCCCCTATGCTAGATAAAAAAGAACCTTGATAGTCAAAAGATTTCAAGTGACTTTAAATGAATATGGATCAGTCTATAAACAACAGCAGTAACAAATTTAAACAGAACAGCTAAAACTACCACTTTAAAGTTTTAAAAACATCAAGTGTTTCTCAGAGGAACAAGTATGAGGGTCACCTTACATCAGCTGACAGTACTCATCTGTAACATTTTTCATAATGGAAAGCAAATCCGAATGAATTTTCAGTTGGATATTATCATGATCTCTACAGTAATGGAGGATCAGAATGAGGAATAAAAAGATAGTAATGCTTCTAGTAATGTCAAGTTACCTTTATACAAGCCACCTGTAAGAATGTTTCCCCCTTTGCATTTCTTCTCTCAATCTCATTCACAACCTTCTTTCCAGATCCTGTCAGAGATGTGTTTACAGGGGTCAACTTCCCTCTAGACCTTGTAGCTGGTGACAATGGAATAACAGCTGTAGACCTTTTAGTTAATGCAGTTGGAGATAAACTCCTCCGTGACTTCTTATTCCCCGAAGCTGTTGCACTAACAGATGTGCTCGCAGCTCTAACTACGCCAATAGAATGTCTCTTATTCTTTCCTTTCTTCGGTAGTACATTTTCACTATTTTGGTTACTGTTCGTATCTGACTTTTCCAATAATCTCACTCTTAAATTCCTTGTTTTATTGACAGGAAAGCTCTTCTTACACTGTGTTTTCAACTTTCTGGTTGATGTTGGGGTAGAGCTAGTTTTATCATTAAATGTCTTGACAGTAGACACTGGACTTTCCTGTCCCAATACGTTAGAATGACCAGGAGATTTTGATAGTTTAGTCCTTGATCTGACTGGCCTGGAAGTGTCCTGGAGGATATGGACATCATCAGTAATGGTACTTCCTACTGGTTCATCATTTACCTTCCCCTCTGTATCATGGGTTTCTCTGTCCTCTGTCATCTCCTCATCATCTCTATTGCCAAAGTGCTGTGTCATGGTGCTTTGATTGACTGGAACAGAATCTCGGTTACCTAACTTTGATGCTGGACTAGACAATGGATTACTTTTGCCACCTTTACTTCCTGTGGTAGATCTGAGTTTACCAAGCTTTGGCCCTGGACTATTGGAGGGACCACATTTGGTGGTTGGTGCTTTATCACCTTTTCCAGGTGTAGATTGTAGGTTACCTAGCTTTGGCCCTGGACTATTGGAGGGGCCACATTTGGTGCTTGATACTTTCTCATCTTTTGTGGGTGTAGATCTACGCTGCTGCTGCCTGGTAAGGTTTGATTTTGTTCTTGTATCAGAAGTGGAAAATTTGTGATTACTTGTTGACACTGGTGTGAAGCTTGTTGTCTGGGAGTCTACTAACACAAGAAATTTACATGCAAAATCTTAAAAGAAAAGCTCTTGGAAAGATGTTCTTATATTAAAATATATTAGTATATATCTTTCTAATTGTAAACTCTAATTTGCAGAAGTCAGTCTTAAAAATGAAAAATTGAACCATCTGCCTTAATAAATCTTATTTGATAAAACTGGAGTCCTCCTGAGGGGTTGGGTTTAAATCAACGAAACAGTCCTTCTTTTAATGATGCTGAGAACAATAAACTATTTCAGCCATGGAATATGATCAGGTTTTCTATATTTAATTACAAACTAGTAATTTTTTATGATGGAAAATTATTAAAGCCCTCAAAGACCAGGGTGACTTACAGTACTTGTTAAGTGGTCAGAAGAAAATTACGTTTAATGTCTCATCCCTGCTTTGGACTCTCTAAAACCACTTAAGGCCAAAATTACATGTTCGATAAGAGAAAAATTTTCACTGTATTAGGGCAAAATTATTTTAAAATTCAAGAACAAATAATTTTTTACATGAATATATGTACAAAATAAGATGTCAATTTCTTGCCCATTTTCAAAATATACCAGAATTTCACTTCTAGGCCTAAAACATAGCTCCAAGTAATCTATATCTCTAGTTGGTCTTTTCGAGTTGCACATGATTTATCAAACCCCATCTAGTGGCAATGAAAATACACTTTCTGAGAAACTGATCGAAACAAAGACCAAGATGCAAGTTCCAACAAAATGAGACAACTTTAAGTCTTTTCTCAGCTTCTTCATTCATTAAAAAGACCTCTGTTTCACACAAAATATTGATGTCAACTGCTGAAAATAAAATGGATAACAAGTTTTGTTTTTGTTGATCTGCTTTAAGCTGACATTACCTGGTGTACTAGTCAGTGCTTCATCCAGTTTCTGACAAAGAGTAACCAAGGTGAAGAGTTGACGATTAACATGTGCGTCACGTACATCTGTCGGAATGAGGCAGACTGGACAGCTTTTACCCAAAACATCTTCACAACAATCCCTAAAATCACAAGCTTATTATTATCATCCATGTAATTATAACAAAACAGATTCTAAACTTTATCAATGGTAGTAAAGCATCTTAACAACACTCTAAAACCTATCCTCGATACTCTGGGGTTATGATCAGCTGCTCGCATCTCCTAGAAGATTTCATTACAAAACTTAAGTAATTTGCTTGGTCCAGACTGGGTTTAAGGAGAAAATAACTGACCAATCACTGACCGATATGCCCCTTTGAACATTACAAAGGAGCAACATCCAACTTCAAAACCAGTACGACATATATCATCATGCAACAATGAGATTTGCTTGATGTACATCAAACTAGTCTTCTCATCTTGTCCAAAAGATGTTACACATGGAACATATAATTCAGCCAGGAAATGTCCCAGGGGTGCAACCCCTGGAGTATCAAGGATGTCACAAACCCCAAATTTTCAAAAAAAAAAAAAAAAAAAAAGGCAAAGTTTATGGTCAATGTAAACAGGTATACAACTAAATCAATTTGAAAAAAAGCCAGACTTCTATAATGGAAAACATATAATAGACTTTTCTCCCATGTTATTTCAACAAAGTTTTCTTAAGTTGATACTTTCAGTTTTAGAAACTGATAATACTCTTTCCCTTGGTATATTACAATGAAATCAGTTAAGCATAAGAAGTAAAATATAGTCTTCTGTAGAAAATACAAACCAATGTGGGTAAGGCTTAAACTAGTGCTGCCATAATATATTGCAATGAAGAGCAACTGTGATACATACCACAATATATTGCCATGTATCAGAAATGATAAAAACATTAAGCCTTACTGTTGGCTCTTGATACATTTGTAGAGTAATTTCACTATTCAAGAACAAGACACTTGTTCGATTAGAACTTTTATGTTTAATAACAGTTGCTATTGTTCAAATCAGTCTATCGGGGATAGCTCTGGTTTGAAGAACAAAATCCTTTTATTCAAATTCAGGTGTGATATTGGTTTAGGTAACAGTCACACAGGATGTGATAGCCCTGCCTAGTCCAGCTGTAAGTCGTAAGAGCTACAGCAGGTGCCCAAGACACAAATACCAAAATATTGTTGTAAATATCCAGGATTACATTGTATAAGTGATCATGTTTTTGAAACCAAAAGCATCCACAATACTCAAAGTTCTCAGATAGTCAATAATAAATTGTACAACTGAATTGGTGATGTCCATGCTTAGTGGAGATTTCAATTTATATTTTGCACTCAAAATGTATCTAAAAGAAGGTTGTTGAGGCTGAAGCCATGTACATATTTGCTGTGTTTTACTCTCTCTACTTATGGCAAATGAATCCTACCTTTACCAACTGTCTTGATTTTCTTCATTGGTGATGCCTTGAAAGATGTGTTATAAGGTTTGTCATTCCACTACTGTATTTGACCAGTGTTGCATATTTGGCACAATGCAACACCAGGTTCAATTATTTGTTTTCAAGCAGAAATGTTTTCATGCACCACTTTTTTTCTTTTTGTTCTGAATCAAATTCAATTTGTCCCTCATGCTTGGTTGTCACGTATATAAGATGCTTGATCAAGAAATAAAACCTTAAATATTTGAAGTCTCATTAAAGTGATAGAGAGGTAAGAAGAATACTTCCTTATAGTGAAAAACTGGTGTATAATTATCTTATTGCTGTAGATATATTTATATAGCACATTATATATCAATATATTGTAACAGCACTAGCATAACCCTCATTTTTCAGATATTCAACATACCTGAATTTATAAAGTTTGTTAGCTATTGCTACCTCCATACTGAACCATTCAATAGGGTTCATCATTTTGTTACTAATGAAAGTTCCCACATAATGCTGGTCAGTTACTTATGTTACCTGCAGTATATGTGTTCACAGCTGCCAAGTGTACATGGACTACTAGCAATCTTGTCACTGAAATATTAAGTCATTAGTAATATTAGGCAACATGTAAATATTAGAATTGTACAGATACATAGTAATGTATGCAGTGATTTTATTTTCTATCTAGACAATAATACTGCAGATGGTTGATTATATTTACTGTTACTTTCTGTCTCTTATATCAGTGACGTATAATACAGTATTATACGTTCCTGTTTATATATGTACCGATTAAACTGTTGGTCATAGAACTAAAGTAAGCATTTCCATACAGTTAGCTCACTTTCTTGTATTGAATATTGAAAAACTTCCATGTTCTATATGGTGCAATCAGCCATAAAACATAAAGAAGGCTCACAACATTTGAGACTTCCATTATCTGTCAGAGTTAACAGCCCGAGATTCACATACATCCGGCGGAGGGTACTCCGATCCGTGAATTAACATTCGTCGTGATTTCATGCTCAGACGATTTCAGAGTGAAAAGAAGACTTAGCAAGTTCAAATAAATGATAATTGTACCATTTGGAACATTTCAGGAGTGCCTGCAATTCAGACAAAGCCGTTCTTGTGTGCAGATACTGTACTGCCATTTTCGTGTTTACAATCCCTTCCAGCTGATTTTCAGTTTCCCGCCAATACACACCTCCGGAAATAGCTTACATATTACCCATGAACCATCACCCATCATGGAAGCAAGGAAGAGGATGGAGGATGTTGGCTGAAGATGTAAGCGTTATACAAATTAATTGTGCGAGGTTTAAGAGTTAATATTAAGTCTGATGCATGCTTCTATGAAATAAGATTACAGCTGCTTATATTATGATACAATCCTGTAAATTTGCTGTATACGGTTGACTTCCTAATGTTGCGTATTTCCGCAGATATCTCATTAGGTTTTGATCGACAGCAATTTGACAACCAATCATAATCATGACAAATCAATTAAGATATATCTCCATAATGATAAAATTATGTCGATTTAAAAACTAAAAGACATGCTGGAGTCTGATGTGAAAGTGAATCGAGGTGAGCTATGAAACGCAATATTCTTCATCAGGTTACTTTTACTGGTTTGATTAAAAACGAAGTTTTGGGTCAACCATCTTGTTAATCTTTCACTTAGGAAACTGCCTCTTGTTTTAGGGAGACTATCTGTTTACAAAGACAGATATTTCCCACTTTATTTTAATAGCCTGGAAAAATGTATAATCTAATGTAACAATTATTCCATTAGTTACCCAAATATGAGAAACCTTGTAAATTTAGTGAAATATGAAGGCACTATAATTATATTATATTAAAAAATCATATCACTACTAATAAAGATGCTGGAATGATGGACCAGATAGCGATGTTTTGGAAAGGGAATCTTGGAAGTCGATGATTGACTGGAAAAGAGATCTAGGGCTAAAAGTATTACTTTTTGAATGAATAAATATCTTGTATATTGATCAATGTATGTAAGGTCTCTGAACATATTTTTGGTTTGCAAGCAGTTTTAAGCCTCCCAATAATTTCAAAGAATTGCATATTTTCATGAAAAGATGTAGATCATCCTGATATGAACTTGATCTAAATGATCTTTTTTAATTATAAGGTGATTGCAAATCTGAGTCACCTTCCTAAACAGGAAATGGCAGTAGGAAATATATTTGACAAGCTTGCTTTAATCAAACTGACCTATTTTTGAAATTTCATTTATTTGTTTTTATTGTTAATTTCTAGTGTTGTTCAGAGTGAATTGAATTTGAGTGATATGTTTACTATGATTATCCAAATGAATCTTGAAAATATGTAAAAATGAAACGATATTTCATATTTCAGTGCTGCAGTCTCTTAATAGGAGCTGAGCAACAAGACATGATGGGTTGATATGTAAGCTTTCCTGTTGACATCAAAGCTCTCTACAATTATGGCACTGCAATGGTATAAGATATAACTTACAGGACATTAAACAGGAGTTCGGATTGAACTCATTTAGGAACATGGCTGAGGCTATACCGCGGTTGCCTGCTGAATTTTCTGCAGCAGATGATTTATCGCTGCCTACACCTTCCTCTCCACTGATGTCCCCTCTAAATCCACTACATATCCGAGAGAGAAGCAACAGTGAGTCCGACATTGCTACACTTAGTCCACAAAATTTATCATGTTTAGAAGTGGACAGGAGCTTTGTGGACCTGTCAAATGACAGCACCATCACAATTCAATGGGACATTAAGGAGGATGTAGGCTCTGATGACCTCATTGGTCTTTATCCTTCAGGTAAACAATTACACATTAGATAAAAAGAATTGGATAATTTTTCGTGAGTCCATAGCACCTTTTTCTGTTAAGTTATGAAGATTTTCCTTACTTAGTGATGAATTATTAAAATGTAGATGAGCTACAGGAGAGTCATGATCATGAAAGCTGGACTTAGTATATCTCTTTCCCACAACTACCATTTTTGACCCTACTAATTTAATGATGCATTCAGTGTTCTTCATGCATGATCCTAAATCTATTAATAGAAAATACTTTAAAAATGGACTTGATAATATAAATGTAATGGATAGATATGTCTTATATCCATTGTTCTTATTAATAAATGAGACTTTGAAGGGAGATTGATTTTTACGAGTGTAGAACTACATAGACATATAATTATATTAACCTATGCTAGAGCTAGAAAATTTTGTTTCAAGTATTGTGAAAATTTTGAAAGTAAAGGTCAAGATAGTAGAAATAAGAAGGTTGAATCTCTAAAATCTGTCTCCAGTCTATAACTCTATATATTACAAAACACTCCTGGCTACTTTCAAAATAAATATTATAGATTCGGTCAGAATGTCTTCATTGGCAAACATCTATATATAGCTTTGTAAAGTTTTTCTAAATCATAGAGCCATAGGAAGTGTCCTGTTTGATAAAATGCATTGAATTTTGCCTTTATCATGACTTGAGGAATAAGGAATATAATAAAGCATATTCAGCAGAGATCAGTTCTGGTTTAATGTCAGACTTTTCAAGTAACACTGTTTATTTAGAGGACTAATTTGAGCTATTTATTTAGAGAGGGACTAATTTGAGTGATACATGTTTTGATGTATTATTCCAACAGTAGCTTACTATTTATTCCAGTTCAATTTGATTTGTGTTTTACAGGTGAGACTGATTCTTCAAAGTTTTTGGACAGCAAGAATCGGGGTGTGAACGGTGGACAAACAGGTCAGATTCTGTGGGATCTGACTGAAGTCATCCATCACTTTACAGACAGTAAGTACATATAAGTATAGATAGTTTAAATAGGTTCCTCCCTATGTGTGGTGTGTACATGACTTTGAGAGGCTGCAATATATTTGTATAATTAGCCTTGTTGTGATAGGAGGGAAATTAAGCTGTCTGTATAATGTCACTACGCTGAAGTATACTACCGAAGGCATCCAGTAGGACACACCGCAAGGTCACATTGTACTGGCAAAGAGCAAACCAGTCATTACACTGCCATAATTCTGAGCATAAAGCATGGGAATTAACAACCATTTTTAAAGATTTTTATCTCTCGACCAAGGAACAGAACCCAAAGCCTCTCCACAGAGGTGAATGCTCAACTAAAACGGGAGCTTGTGTCAATGGAGTTAATAAGAAAGAAATTGATCCACGAAAAGGAAAGGAAAAATCACATCCAATGATGCAGTGGTGGCTGCAGGTACAATGATTCCTCCTTACCTGCGGGGACTGAGGTGTAATACATGGCCTACCTGCATGGCTTAAGGTGTGATATGTGGCCTACCAGCAGGACCTGTGGTGTAGTACACACCCTACCTGCAGGGCCTATGGTAAAGTATATGCTTTATTCACAGGGCCTGTGGTGTAGTACCAGTATATACTTTATTCACAGGGCCTATGGTGTAGTATATGCTTCACTAACAGGGCCTATGGTGTAGTATATACTTTATTCACAGGGCTTATGGTGTAGTATATACTTTATTCACAGGGCTTATGGTGTAGTATATATGCTTCACAAACAGGGCCTGTGGTATAGTATATACTTTACTTAACGTTGCCTATGGTGTAGTATATACTTTACTTACAGGGCCTATGGTGTAGTATATACTTTACTTACAGGGCCTATGGTGTATATACTTTACTAGCAGGACCTATGGTGTAGTATATACTTTACTGACAGGGCCTATGGTGTAGTATATGCTTTACTTACAGGGCCTATGGTGTATATACTTTACTAACAGGGCCTATGGTGTAGTATATACTTTACTGACAGGGCCTATGGTGTAGTATATACTTTACTGACAGGGCCTATGGTGTAGTATATACTTTACTGACAGGGCCTATGGTGTAGTATATACTTCACTAACAGGGCCTATGGTGTTGTATATGCTTCACTAACAGGGCCTATGGTGTAGTATATACTTTACTTACAGGGCCTATGGTGTAGTATATACTTTACTGACAGGGCCTATGGTATAGTATATACTTCGCTAACAGGGCCTATGGTGTAGTATATGCTTTACTGACAGGGCATATGGTGTAGTATATACTTTACTGACAGGGCCTATGGTGTAGCATATACTTTACTGACAGGGCTTATGGTGTAGTATATGCTTCACAAACAGGGCCTGTGGTATAGTATATACTTTACTTATGTTGCCTATGGTGTAGTATATACTTTAATAACAGGGCCTATGGTGTAGTATATACTTTACTTACAGGGCCTATGGTGTATATACTTTACTAACAGGGCCTATGGTATAGTATATACTTTACTTATGTTGCCTATGGTGTAGTATATACTTTAATAACAGGGCCTATGGTGTAGTATATACTTTACTTACAGGGCCTATGGTGTATATACTTTACTAACAGGGCCTATGGTGTAGTATATACTTTACTTACACAGCCTATGGTGTAGTATATGCTTTACTTACAGGGCCTATGGTGTATATACTTTACTAGCAGGACCTATGGTGTAGTATATACTTTACTGACAGGGCCTATGGTGTAGTATATGCTTTACTTACAGGGCCTATGGTGTATATACTTTACTAACAGGGCCTATGGTGTAGTATATACTTTACTGACAGGGCCTATGGTGTAGTATATACTTTACTTACAGGGCCTATGGTGTATATACTTTACTAACAGGGCCTATGGTGTAGTATATACTTTACTGACAGGGCCTATGGTGTAGTATATACTTCACTAACAGGGCCTATGGTGTTGTATATGCCTATATGGTGTAGTATATACTTTACTTACAGGGCCTATGGTGTAGTATATACTTTACTTACAGGGCCTATGGTGTAGTATATACTTCACTTACAGGGCCTATGGTGTAGTATATACTTCACTTATAGGGCCTATGGTGTAGCATATACTTTACTTACAGGGCCTATGGTGTAGTATATACTTTACTTACAGGGCCTATGGTGTAGTATATACTTTACTTACAGGGCCTATGGTGTAGTATATGCTTCACTAACAGGGCCTATGGTGTAGTTTATGCTTTGCTGACAGGACCTATGGTGTAGTATATACTTTACTTACAGGACCTATGGTGTATATACTTTACTTACAGGGCCTATGGTGTTGTATATACTTCACTAACAGGGCCTATGGTGTAGTATATACTTTACTGACAGGGCCTATGGTGTAGTATATGCTTTACTGACAGGGCCTATGGTGTAGTATATGCTTTACTAACGGCCTATGGTGTTGTATATACTTTACTTACAGGGCCTATGGTGTAGTATATACTTTACTTACAGGGCCTATGGTGTAGTATATACTTCACTTACAGGGCCTATGGTGTAGTATATACTTCACTAACAGGGCCTATGGTGTAGCATATACTTTACTGACAGGGCCTGTGGTGTAGTATATACTTTACTGACAGGGCCTATGGTGTAGTATATACTTTACTTACAGGGCCTATGGTGTAGTATATGCTTCACTAACAGGGCCTATGGTGTAGTTTATGCTTTGCTGACAGGGCCTATGGTGTAGTATATACTTTACTGACAGGGCCTATGGTGTAGTATATACTTTACTTACAGGGCCTATGGTGTAGTATATGCTTCACTAACAGGGCCTATGGTGTAGTTTATGCTTTGCTGATAGGGCCTATGGTGTAGTATATACTTTACTGACAGGGCCTATGGTGTAGTATATACTTTACTTACAGGACCTATGGTGTATATACTTTACTTACAGGGCCTATGGTGTAGTATATACTTTACTTACAGGGCCTATGGTGTAGTATATACTTTACTGACAGGGCCTATGGTGTAGTATATGCTTCACTAACAGGGCCTATGGTGTAGTATATACTTCACTAACAGGGCCTATGGTGTAGTATATACTTTACTGACAGGGCCTATGGTGTAGTATATGCTTCACTAACAGGGCCTATGGTGTAGTATATGCCTTTCCTGCAAGGCATATGGTGTTGTATATGTTTTACTTACAGGGCCTATGGTGTAGTATATGCTTCACTAACAGGGCCTATGGTGTAGTATATACTTTACTTACAGGGCCTATGGTGTAGTATATACTTTACTGACAGGGCCTATGGTGTTGTATATGCTTTACTTACAGGGCCTATGGTGTAGTATATACTTTACTTACAGGGCCTATGGTGTAGTATATACTTTACTTACATTGCCTATGGTGTAGCATATACTTTACTTACAGGGCCTGTGGTGTAGTATATACTTTACTTACAGGGCCTATGGTGTAGTATATGCTTTACTAGCAGGATCTGTGGTGTAGTGTATGCCTTTCCTGCAATGCATATGGTGTAGTATTGCTGCTAAATGTATGTTAATAAGGTATATACTTGATAAGACATGCAAGTTATGAAGTCTGCATATTAAATTCTTTAATGTGATATTACATATCTATGTTACAAATCTAAATACATAATTTATTTAACTTTACAGTGGAATCTCGGATCACATTTAAGTATTTTTTGGGAACAACTGGAGAATTGGTTGCTACAAGTCAATCTGTGTGTGTGAGGAACCCAATGGTGACTTCACAAGTAAGTCTTATTTTTATATCATAAGCACTCAGACTCCCTTTATGAAGCACAGAAGTCTTCTCCAAATTTTGTAAATAGTGTTTGAAAAACCCTCTGTTTGCATTTGTTATACTGACATCTGGTAGGTGTTGTGGAAGTTTGTTTCAGTATAAAAAACTTTTATTTAAGGGTTTTATCATCATTAATTTTGTAATTAGTGCAAGCCACTGGCTACTATCCCAAACATCAGACATTTCATCACAGAAACTCTTGTCCATCAAAACATCTGGCATTTTAGCTGTAAAGACAGAGGATAGTTATTTATATATATCCAAATTACGGGGAAAAGGTCCTCTGACTTTAACACTAGCTAATCCTGTTGATGGAAGACTAGTAAGTAAATGATGAAATTCATACTCTTTATTATTAGAGACTAAGGTGATGAGACAATTATCATTCCTAATGGTTGCGGTGATGACCTTTATGCTATACTCACCAAGTAACAAACTCTTGTCAGGAGTTATCATACAAGCTGAAAGAACAAATACCTGTCAAGTGTCAAGTTTTGACTGAACACAGCAAACAAAATTCTGGAGGCACTTTCTATCTGCAAGGGATTATAAAACTCCTTTTAAATGTGAAAAAATAATTAATAAGCAATTACTATTTACCAATTGATCAGATATAGTAGTAAAAAAAGATAATTGTCGCAATCCTGCTATTTCTTAACCTTACCAGGTGGTGGCCACATGGTAAACAAAACACCTGTATAATGCTAGTCTCCTGACAAAATGTGACAGAATGCTAGTCTCCTGACAAAATGTGACAGTATAGTGGTAAATACCCATGCCTTGATAGTCTTTATGGACACTAGAAAATTGATACTTTTGGTGACTTATAATTATCTCCCGCGAAACATATTAGCAAGGGAAATTTGTATGTCCACCAGTCTGTGTGTTTCTGTACCTGGGCATTTCCAGGACCAGAGACAAGAAAACTACTTAAAACTTTGTACAGTTATCAAATCAGTACTTTTGTAATGCCCTACACTTTATCGATTACAATGGCAACAGATTGGCCAAATTACAAATTTTAGTTTCTCTGAGGCCAAATTACAAATTTTAGTTTCTCTGAGGCCAAATTACAAATTTTAGTTTCTCTGAGGCCAAATTACAAATTTTAGTTTCTCTGAGGCCAAATTACAAATTTTAGTTTCTCCGAGGCCAAATTACAAATTTTAGTTTCTCTGAGGCCAAATTACAAATTTTAGTTTCTCTGAGGCCAAATTACAAATTTTAGTTTCTCCGACCCATAAATTTGAAACTGTTCAAGATAACTATCAGGTACTCAAAAGTTTGTACAGTTTCCATGCTAGTACTATAGTGCTATGTAGAAGTTTTCCATTTGAATACTTTTTCTGTTACCAAGGGAACAGGTCAAACTAGTAAATTTTGTCCCCTTATCATCCTATCACTCTAGTGGTATATTTTGCATTTGGGGAGTTTTTCCTTATTTCCATGAAAATGGGTTAGAAACAGGCAAAAATACAAATTTCAATGAATGCAAGCAGGGGACATACTCGTTATTAAGACTGGGAACATTTAGATGACCTCCCCCCCTCTTGAACCTTGACATGTTTCGCTGCCCTGGTTATAACTAAACACTAAATTGAATGTGTTATCCAGTAAAATAAATTGTAATCTTTGATTGGTTGAAAAACATAAATAACATATTTGAATGAAATATTAAAATTGTTACAAATACTTAGCAGTTACGTTTCTGTTGCCTGTCAATATATAATCCTTTTATATTTGCTGATGATTCAAACCGTACTGAAAAAAAACATCAACATTAAAAGATGATCTGTAGAAAAAAATATCAGTCACAGTGGTGAAATGGAGTGGATGTCTTTTATTGTAATGTTAACATATGATTGTGTGTATCAAACAACAATGTGTGGGATCTGAATAATGTCTTGTTTTGTGTTTATCTTGTTTAAGTTGTGTGTAGGGTCTACTGAACTGATTTTAAGCCTACCATTGTCTAGGTTGATCATACTACGCTGAGCTATTTTGTTCTTCTTTATGAAACGTTAACCGATTTGCCATTTTCTGAACAATCGTGTAAGAGAAAGTTACTGCTGTAAGAGAAACACTAATTCTCATAGGATCAAGCTCATGAACTGCAATACCTGGCTTCTCCACTTTGCTCTATGCAGTGTTTATATTGGGTCATGACCTTTGGGGTATAGAAATCCAATGATGATCCCTTAAATATGCAAAAAAAAGTTAATGACCTTGACATATTTAAGGTCATAGGGGTTGTATTTGTTAAAACACTGAAGAACTTCTTATTATTATTAATAAAATCCTAGAATCCTCAATGGCCAGTAAATGAATTGATTGACAAAGCAACATGCTTAAGTTTGAAAAAACTTTCAGATAAAACAGGATAAAGATAGACAGCTTGCCACATGTTAAACAAGCTTTCATTAAGAGTGGTAGGCATGACAAATCTCGATCATGTATGTGCTTTATTAGGAAAGCATGCAAAGCGAGGGTGTAAATAATTTTACTCTTACTTCAAATTGTGGTCTACAGTTTAAAGGGAATATCAAGGGAGGGAGACATTTGTGATACATAACAGTATTTCTGTAAATAATCTCCTTTATAGATCATTTTTTAATGAGTGTGATATTTTCTAATATTATTTCCGATATTGTATTTAGTTATCATTACTTTATTTTCATATCAAATTCCACGCTTTTTAATTAAAAAAGAAATGAAGCAGTCAAGAACATGCATTGAATTATAAGCTTATATCATTGAAACAATGATAATTGGTTTGATAGGTTATGTGTGTTTTATACCCAGAGATACTTATACAGGGATATATCTGCATGGAGTCTCTATAGTCCTTTACTCCTGCGATTTTGATGGGACGCTTAGAATTTCTAGAAATACTTAAATTTTACGTTGTGGGACCATTGTTTTAACAGTAATGTAGAATAGAACTTGTGAAAATAAATTGTAAATTGATCACAGTCATACCCAGCTTGCATGCAATCTTGATATTCTGAAATGTCAGCACTTCTTAAGATACAGTGACAAGAAGATATTGTTGTCTATTGGGACATGTCAGAAGCATTCTGAAAACTGTAATATTTCTTTTTTTTTAAAATCACAATTTGACAGCATTGTAATATGCATTGTCTGCTATTGTAAGCTTGAATGATGATGAAATTTTAGTTTATTGTTCTCACAGAAAATGGTCACTTGAGCAATTGTAGTGGGGTGTTCGATTTTTCAGTTTAAATAATGTGCATCCCCTTTAACTCCAAATCCTGGATCCGCACCAGCTGTCTCTGTTTAAAAAAATCATCACATTGTGCACATGCAGCACTCATAATCCAAGGGTAGACTAGACCTAAGGCTACGTACATTACATGCTTATGTGTCCCTTGATAGGAATTGATATGTCCAAGGATAGTAAAACCATTCCAGTTGGAGAATTTAATGGTTGTATTCCCTTTACTATCACTTTCATGAGCTTTTCACATGATGATAAGAAAAGTAGTGAGAAAGTCTCATGTATCACTTTTCTCTGCTTGTAAGTTTGTTTCAATTAACCTGTTGTGTAACCCCTATTAATTATGTAGGTCATATTCTACTTAAATGGTTATTGTTTCTTAGTATGGTTCGTACAAATTGGCTGAACTGTTTTAATTATTATTTAAAGAATAAATTGTGTGATAAAGCCATTATTTTTTTTTAATTAATATTTATAAAAGAAGGATATTACTTTCATGTAATAGATGCATATCTTTGAATGAACTGATTTTCAATACTTTGCTGGATAATACAAGTGATTTGAGCGCTTGGATATGCCTGCCCAATTTGAAGTGTATATACTCCTACATTTATAGTAAGACGAAGGGGTGCTACTAGTGAGGCCATGACAGGGCCAGGCACCTGTTGGTATTAGCTACCTACCTACTTGTGTTATTTCTATAAGCAGAAAAATAAGAATAATTGCTGTATTTCAAATCTTTGAAATGAAAAGGCTTTTACACCATTAAGTTACATGTGTAACATAGTGAGAAAGTGAGAATTGTATAATCATGGTAAAGGATCTGACCCTGACACAATGGTATCTGTGTGTACCTACTTGTATATATATATAGGCTTTTAAGGAGAATTGACAGAGACTTGAGTTACAAGCCAATTTACAGAAAGTAGATCTATATCTCGTTTTCTGGTGTCTGATCCTCTACATATCTGTGTGACCAGCTTCTTGTAAGATCTATTGTAACAGTGAGATTGATGTTAAAGCATGGGTGTGTTTATGGTAAATTGTAGACCGTTGTAACACATGTACATTGTGTGTGTGATTTTCTTATGATGTCATACATGTATATGTAGCTGGATTATCAAAATAAACAATTCATCTGTCTTATTCTTTGCAATTAATTCAAAAGAAAATTCTGATCAGAAAAGGTTAAAACTTTGATCTTCCTGTAATGTGTAACAATAGATATTGTACTCAGGTATGTAGATTTTTACTGCTCATGTAGAATCATATGAGGTTTTCAAAAATAGACTTGTCACTTTATTTTATAGATAAATCTTAATCACGATTAATCCATGTCAACTTTTATCTATTAGTCACTTCAACAGAGTACAAATTTAGTCCTACACAATAGTTAATAATTTTTCAGTATTTTATCGGTTAAGCAATACTTCAGGAAAATTTTTTATAAAAAATATGATTTCAGTGAAATTGATTATCAAAAGGATATTCTAAGACATACATGTTGTGAACAAATATGATAATGATTAAATCTGATTATCTGTATTTTGTAAGGAGCCCATATGTTTGAACACTGTTTCATTTATTGGTATGCTGTTGTAATGAAAACGCTTTCAGAGCTGAATTTTACTTTACATGTGCACTATGGGAGTGTGGTCTATATTTGTATAGAATGAGCTTAAGTTTGATGTAATTTATTAGACAAAGAAAAGAGAGTGGCCGTCTTTGTACAAAGGGAACCACCACAAGTAGCTAATTAGGTTATTTGGTACCAGATTAAAAACTGCTGGGCAGACAGTGTGGTTTTAACGTGTATTGATTTTAATCTTAGTAAGTATAGGATGTTTAAGTATTCAGGAAGTTTGATCTTAACCAATTTTGGAGAAATCTTTACTTCAGAGAGATCACAATTAAATAAAGCGATGATAAAACTGTATAGATATATATATAGCTACAACCAGGTTTAATGTATGGATTTAATTCAACCAAGTAAGAAGTCGTTGATACAGAAATTGGTATTATACACTTGAGTTAGGTCTGCCAGACATGTTTAATGCACAATCCTCTTTGGATTCCACAGGAGAAATACATGATCTCATCATATTGCTTCATATATGTGATTAAGTCTCTCTCTTTTTGAAACAGCATAAATATTAAGAAAACAATTAAATCACCTATAGTTAAGGCTCAAATGTGAAATTTGATGGAGTATATCTAGAGTAATATTTTGTATTTATGGTGATCCAATCAACACAGAATTTGCATAGATGGTGATTGACATTACAGGACCTAACGCAGATGGAAATTTACTTTGTGTAAAATCAGAATTAGTGTAGATGGTGATTCACAAAACCAAATTTGTGCAGATGGTAATTCATATAAATAATATTTTGTATTAATGGTGATTCACAACATAGAATTTGTGTAGATGGTGATTCACAAAACCAAATTTGTGCAGATGGTAATTCATATAAATAATATTTTGTATTAATGGTGATTCACAACACATAATTTGTGTAGATGGTGATTCACAACACATAATTTGTGTAGATGGTGATTCACAACACAGAATTTGTGTAGATGGTGATTCACATGTAGACGGTGATTCACAACACATAATTTGTGTAGATGATGATTCACAACACATAATTTGTGTAGATGATGATTCACAACACATAATTTGTGTAGATGGTGATTCACAACACAGAGTTTGTGTAGATGGTGATTCACAACACAGAGTTTGTGTAGATGGTGATTCACAACACAGAATTTGTGTAGATGGTGATTCACAACACAGAATTTGTGTAGATGATGATTCACAACACATAATTTGTGTAGATGGTGATTCACAACACATACTTTGTAGATGGTGATTCACAGTACAGAATTTGTGTAAATAAGTATTTACAACACAAAATATGTGTAGATGGTGATTGACAACACAGAATTTGTGTAGATATTAATTCACATTTGGAATTTGTGTAGATAAATGTTTACTTCACAGAATGTAATCTTTCATTGTTTTAGAAACAAAAGTTTGCTAGGTCAAGTGTAAAATAGGAAGTAATTATGTACATTAGTTGTTTTGTAAGTGAGTGAAATATTTCTTCAAAATCTAGACTTGTATTCATGCTTTGTGGTTATGAGGACTTAGATCTAGATCAGTTCTCTGTTGCTTCCTGATTGTGTAAGCTGAACGTAAGCATAAGAAGACTACTAATAAGCCTCTTACTCACCAACATAAATAGTCCAGTTCAATTGATCAGCTAATAGATCTGGATAAAAAGGCAGGATTCTAAATATCTGTCTGTGATATGTAATACAATACATAGACCTGTTGTGAAAAAGGATGGTTGAATAAATATGAATTATAGATAATAAATTGGTAATAAAGGTACCTGTTATAAAGGATGGGTTATTATATAAGAACACCTGTTATAAATGATGTGTTATTATATAAGAACACCTGTTATAAATGATGGGTTATTATATAAGGACACCTGTTGTAAAGGATGGGTTATTATATAAGGACACCTGTAATAAATGATGTGTTATTATATAAGAACACCTGTTATAAATGATGGGTTATTATATAAGGACCTGTTGTAAATTATATAAGGATGATATAAAAGGATGGTAAATGATGATTATATAAGAACACCTGTTATAAATGATGTGTTATTATATAAGAACACCTGTTATAAATGATGGGTTATTATATAAGGACACCTGTTGTAAAGGATGGTTATTATATAAGGTACACCTGTTAATAAATGATGGGTTATTATATAAGGACACCTAATAAATGGATGGGTTATTATATAAGGACACCTGTAATAAATGATGTGGTATTATATAAGGACACCTGTAATAAATGTTATTATATAAGGACACCTGTAATAAATGATGGGTTATTATATAAGGACACCTGTAATAAATGATGGGTTATTATATAAGGAAACCTGTAATAAATGATGGGTTATTATATAAGAACACCTGTAATACACCTGTAATAAATGATGGGTTATTATATAAGGACACCTGTAATAAATGATGGGCTATTATATAAGGACACCTGTAATAAATGATGGGTTATTATATAAGGACACCTGTTGTAAAGGATGGGTTGTTATATAAGTGTACCTGTTATAAATGAGTGTTATTATATAAGGACACCTGTAATAAATGATGGGTTATTATATAAGGACACCTGTTATAAATGATGGGTTATTATATAAGGACACCTGTAATAAATGATGTGTTATTATATAAGGACACCTGTAATAAATGATGGGTTATTATATATATAGGACACCTGTAATAAATGATGTGTTATTATATAAGGACACCTGTAATAAATGATGTGTTATTATATAAGGACACCTGTAATAAATGATGGGTTATTATATAAGGACACCTGTAATAAATGAGTGTTATTATATAAGAACACCTGTAATAAATGATGTTATTATATAAGGACACCTGTAATAAATGATGGGTTGTTATATAAGAACACCTGTTATAAATGAGTGTTATTATATAAGAACACCTGTAATAAATGAGTGTTATTATATAAGAACACCTGTAATAAATGATGGGTTATTATATAAGGACACCTGTAATAAATGATGGGTTATTATATAAGGACACCTGTAATAAATGAGTGTTATTATATAAGAACACCTGTAATAAATGATGGGTTATTATATAAGGACACCTGTAATAAATGATGGGTTATTATATAAATGATGGGTTATTATATAAGGACACCTGTTAAATGTAATATAAGGATGGGTTGTTATATAATAAATGATGGGTTATTATATAAGGACACCTGTAATAAATGAGTGTTATTATATAAGAACACCTGTAATAAATGATGGGTTATTATATAAGGACACCTGTAATAAATGATGTGTTATTATATAAGGACACCTGTAATAAATGATGGGTTATTATATAAGGACACCTGTAATAAATGATGGGTTATTATATAAGGACACCTGTAATAAATGATGGGTTATTATATAAGGACACCTGTTATAAGGAGGTTCTGACATCTATGAAGATAATGTCATTGTCATTACAATTCACTTCAATGTTTTGCTTGAAAAAAAAGAAGACCTAATGTTAAGTTTTATAGCTCGATCACATAGTGGACACCTTAACATATTCAACTTATACATATATTACAGTTCAGAAAACAGTTTTTGAAGTTTGCATCCAGCTCAATTTTGCATAATCTCATAAAGTGCTAGCATTACTCTGTCAAATCTGGAATATACTAGACTTAAACCACCTGATAGAATATGCAAGTTTTATTCCAATGGTGTATGTTTTGGTTAAGAATATCAAGAGAAATGACTGCAAGATGTTCATGACTTGGTTACTTTCCTCTAGAATTAACAGATATTTCTAAGGGAGTATGAGTATATATGACTTAACAGATATTTTAAGAGAGTATGAGTATATATCACTTGACGGATATTTCTAAGAGAGTATGAGTATACATGACTTGACGGATATTTCTAAGAGAGTATGAGTATATATCACTTGACGGATATTTCTAAGAGAGTATGAGTATACATGACTTGACGGATATTTCTAAGAGAGTATGAATATATATCACTTGACGGATATTTCTAAGAGAGTATGAGTATACATGACTTGACGGATATTTCTAAGAGAGTATGAGTATACATGACTTGACGGATATTTCTAAGAGAGTATGAGTATATATCACTTGACGGATATTTCTAAGAGAGTATGAGTATACATGACTTGACGGATATTTCTAAGAGAGTATGAGTATACATGACTTGACGGATATTTCTAATGCAGATTGCGAGATACGTACTGATCAATACTGGAGGAGCAGCATGTCTGATGTTCCCTTTGGAGTCCTGTCATATATCCCTTCGTCTTATATTAGGCAAATCACTTTGGCTTGAGAACATTGATAATGTAATGGATCAGTAGAATTAGATTGCCTGTGATTTACAGGTACCCTGTAGTTCATTATACTGATGTGATTACAATCTGCTAGACAATACAGTTGTTACTCGTGGTTAAACTCATTAGTATTTATGAGATGTCAATACATATTCGCCATTAATTTCTTTTTATTTTAGACTAATTATATTGATATTTAATCAATTCCATGCAAAATAGATTTACCTTTTACTAAACTGAAACAGAATTTTAATAATTTTCCTTTCTTTGTCTTTCTGATATGGCATGGATTTTTTACAAGACTGAAATCAAATGTACAGTAATGTAAGGTAGCACAGAAATGTGATATTTATTACTTGTTACATACACTGCTCATAAAACATTCTAGATTTTGGTCCTTCCTGTGAATAAATGTAAAAATTATTCTCTTCCAAAACTAAAGTGATTTACTGTATTACTTATATAGGTATTTTATTCAAATTTTTGGATGTTCTTTTCAGACGGAGGAGGACGGCACAGTGAGTATAGTGGAAAGTAAGGAAGAATCTGCGGCAAAACTCAACAAACTTAAGCTGACTATTGCAGGTAATGACAAAGCTTGTGTTGTTTAACATGTCTATGGACTTTTCATCTAGTATAGACAAGACACTTTATACTGTCTACCAGGAAATTCTCGCTCCCATTTCATTTTTGCCCTTTTCATCCAAAACATGAAGGGTAAATTTAAGATTGGTGCAAAAATGTGTTACACTTCTATATAACCCATTTATATAATCCTCAGAGGGCGAATGAAGATGAGGTGAATGTGTAAATGGTACAAGGGTGAAAATAACCTGGGGCAAAAATATCTTGGTATACAGCATGTATCTTTAGTGGTTGATCAGCAAGGAATTTCAGATTTCTCAGTAAATATTTTTGTTTTTCTTTTGAATAAATTTGAAAGTGATATGATATTAATGAGACGTATATACATGATTCTCCTGGTTCTGATCAACTCATTCATCTCTTAAGATCCACATGTTAATCCACTTTCCAGACAATGTAGAAAGTTTTCAGATGTTTGTAAGATATCTAACTATAATTGATAGCTCAGGAGGTTGAAGCATTGGCCTACATCACCTGAGGTGAAAATCCAAGGTGCTTGGATTGATGCCCCCTTTCTTGTAGCAGTTTGTGTTTCTCAGGATACTTGAGGAACCAACTGGTCAGACATAGTTGTGTCCTTGGGCAAGGCACTTCACACCCTCATTGGTCTGGATGGCATGTAACAGGCCCTCTGTATGTTCTTCAGGTGGGGTTGCCACAAGCTACTACAAGGAGACCTCTCCTTAAAATGACCCTGGCTGTTCATGGGTGACAAACCCAGCAAACAAACAGTAAAATGTGTGGTTAAATCTTGATAAATACTCCCCAAAGATACTCTTGTATAAGGAGAGGAAATCAGCATTATGAAATGTGTTACGTCCACTTCTTTTGAATATATCTCCAAATCTTGTTTGCTTGATGAAACATCAATTATATCAATTGGAAGTTCCTCAAACAAGGATATAACTACCAAAACATTTTGTAATATTATGAGATATTTAAATCACAATTTCTATTTTAAGTCTTAGAGAGGAGGTGTTTTCACAAGTAAAAATAAATGTTAACATATCTGTATTGTTGCGTGTTAGGAGACAAGGTGAACGGATTAAGATTGAAAATATCAATAAAATGTATTTACTTTTCAACATTTTGAAAAATTAGCACTTGGATGTAATATTTCATGTCCAAGATGTTACGTCCAAATATGTACTTAGAATGACATTAACTTGTGTATTATTTTCACCTTGTGTATATCCTCATGCAAGTGGATAGTGTCCTGATAATAGCCTATGTAGTGTAAAACATCTGACCATGTCGTAAAGAAATTCGATCATTTGGAGCTTCTGTAAATCTTGTCATAATGTTACGTCCTGTCCAATGAGGCTAAAAGCATTGGTATAGATGTTTTATGACGTCATCATAGGGGCGTTACATATCTGTTTCCAGCTGTTTACAAGCGTCTGCACTACCATGATGAAAAAGATGACCTATATACTGGAGTATGATGCGGGTCTAATGTTACGTCCAAGACATTAGATGAATATGTAGGCCAACCATTGAAAATGTTTGAAATGACAGAATTTATTGCAAAATATTTAATATTACAAGTCATTGAAGGTTTGATATACATAACTGCAAAATGACAGTTGAAGATCTACCACTGACAAAATATTGTGCAGTAATATGAAAAAGTTTAGCCAAGATCTGCTATATTATTTGATGCAGTGTCTATCTTTACATCCTGATGAAATATTCTCAAATGTGAGTGATATATTTGATTCTTAGCCTCATATAACACAAGAAAACCCTGAATATACAAGAAAGACCTTTTTACATTAAATGTATGGTGGATAAGAAGCATGTGGCATATTGTATCGCTAGTTATTCCTAGAAACACACAGGATACCAAACACAAGTGGCTTTGTTATGTCTTTCCATTCTGCAATAGCTTTACTGCTTTGATGATGAAATGTGCAGACAATACTCTATGTACAGCAACTGTACATGACATTACTTGTAACATAAAGATGTTCTGGTGTATGACAGGTGTATCTATTTTTTTAAAAATATGTCTGGGATGTTACATGGGCTCGGATTCTGTACTGGATGTAACACTGGGCACCAGAATTGCAACTGGTGAATAAAATTACTGCCAAGAGATAAAATTCAGGCTGTCTACTGATTCCTATAATTCTATTTTTTCCTATATTTTGGTTCTAAAACCGATATTTTGAAAGACCTATATTTTCCTTTTTTCTTGAAAAACATTTTTCTGGAAAATTTTTCCTGACAAATATAGAGATTGTAAATATTTCTTTGATTCTGCATTTGGCTTCTTTACTTTTGAGAATTCTTAAGTCTTTAACAACATCACCAGCCACCAGAAAATGATTCAGTGCATCTCTTTATCACCTTTATGGGCACCTTACAAGGCAGTACAACAGGATATTGGCCTTTTAGGTGCCCATTCAGATGATGATGATGATGAGCTATGCAGCAGCTCTCTGCCTGGATTGTGATGCTGTTGAAGTGAATAATTACTTTAAGATAGTTTTTAATCATTGATTAATACAGAAACAGTAAGTGAAGGTAAAAATTGTTAGTGTAAATGCCTTTGAATGAAACAATTTTCGTTTGGAAAACTCCTATATTTTGCCCCAAACTAGCAAAAAACTATTATTTGTCGAAAAAATATTCCTATATTCCTTCTATATTTTGAAGAAGTCTTGGTTGACAGCCTGAAAATTCTTTCACATTATTTTGAAAATTTTTATAGACATTATATATTCAATGGCAATATAGAAAAATGTATCTTCCTCTATTAGTACCTAAAAAACTTGCTGATGGCAAAATTAGTGTCATGTTACGTCCCCTTATTATTTTTGTAATTTTTTATTTGATGGCCTAAAATTGAAGTGACAAATGTTTATTGCAATACCTTATTTAAATAGATAGTAATCTTTCATGAATTTGACAATAAGATGTACTCAAAAAGGAAATACATTCCCAAATGAACAGACTTTGGTGTCATGTTACAGCCAGGAAATATTTGAAACAAATATTTTATGATGCCAAATCCTGCCCCATTTAGTCTGGTATCCCCCTTGTCTTACATTAGGTTCAATAGATATGATACAGATATTCATAATCATTTGTTATATAAACAAATGTTTTTGTTAAATGGACTGGTCTCTTTTTCTACAATTGTTCCTTGACTTAAAAAAATTTAATTACTGAAATTATTCCAATAGATGTTATATCAGAACCAATCGGTAAGTGAAGGTGGATCTTTCCCAAAATGTCCTGATTTCACTTTTCCTTGTCAGTAAATGTATTCCCATAACATTCAAGGTGTTCTGTGTTCATAATCACACTATCTAGGACAGATTGTCTAGAGATTCCAATCTGATTCGTAGTAGCACAAGGTTGCTTCCCATTAATGGTGTCCTTGACCATTCTGATATAACTGATAAGTATACTGTCAGATTTGTGTTTTCTGCAATATTGGTGATGATGATATTTTTTGTTTGGCCTTGAATTTAAGAATAACTGTATCATAGGGACCTAGTCCCAAGCCTTTGTTTGTGGGTTCCTGCAGGTGCTTGACAGTGTTGGTATTGATTTTACTGAGAGGTTTTAGCATGGTATACTTCACCTACTTGTGTGAAACACACAGCTAGGAAACTAGAGGAAATGTGATTACCACTGTTAGTATCAACATGTGAATATCGGAATCAACAGAATATCTTTGTTGTCTTTTGTGATTATCAATGAATGCATGTACCCTCATTGTAAAACTCTGCATCAAACATATATAGAATTTATATATAGGTTACAGTGACACACTAGCTATATAGGGTACAGCCATACACTGATAGTATAGGTTACAGTGACACACTAGCTATATAGGGTACAGCCATACATTGACTATATAGGTTACAAGGACACACTAGCTATACAGGGTACAGCCATACACTGACTATCTAGGTTACAGGGACATATTAGCTATATAGGGTACAGCCGTATACTAACTATATAGGTTACAGGGATACACTAGCTATACAGGGTACAGCCATATACTGACTATATAGGTTACAGGGACATACTAGCTATATAGGGTACAGCCATACACTGACTATATAGGTTACAGGTTACAAGGACACACTAGCTATATAGGGTACAGCCATACACTTATTAATATAGGTTTCAGTGACATACTAGCAATATAGGGTACAGCCATACACTGACTATATAGGTTACAGTGACACACTAGCTATATAGGGTACAGCCATACACTGACTATATAGGTTACAGTGACATACTAGCTATATAGGGTACAGCCATACACTTATTAATATAGGTTACAGTGACATACTAGCTATATAGGGTACAGCCATACACTGACTATATAGGTTACAGTGACATACTAGCTATATAGGGTACAGCCATACACTTATTAATATAGGTTACAGTGACATACTAGCTATATAGGGTACAGCCATACACTGACTATATAGGTTACAGTGACATACTAGCTATATAGGGTACAGCCATACACTTATTAATATAGGTTACAGTGACATACTAGCTATATAGGGTACAGCCATACACTGACTATATAGGTTACAGTGACATACTAGCTATATAGGGTACAGCCATACACTTATTAATATAGGTTACAGTGACATACTAGCTATATAGGGTACAGCCATACACTGACTATATAGGTTTCAGTGACATACTAACTATATAGGGTACAGCCATACACTGACTATATAGGTTACAGTGACATACTAGCTATATAGGGTACAGCCATACACTGATTAGTACAGGTTACAAGTGACATACTAGCTATATAGGGTACAGCCATACACTGACTATATAGGTTTCAGTGACATACTAACTATATAGGGTACAGCCATACACTGACTATATAGGTTACAGTGACATACTAGCTATATAGGGTACAGCCATACACTTATTAATATAGGTTTCAGTGACATACTAGCTATATAGGGTACAGCCATACACTGACTATATAGGTTACAGTGACATACTAGCTATATAGGGTACAGCCATACACTTATTAATATAGGTTACAGTGACATACTAGCTATATAGGGTACAGCCATACACTGACTATATAGGTTTCAGTGACATACTAACTATATAGGGTACAGCCATACACTGACTATATAGGTTACAGTGACATACTAGCTATATAGGGTACAGCCATACACTTATTAATATAGGTTACAGTGACATACTAACTATATAGGGTACAGCCATACACTTATTAATATAGGTTACAGTGACATACTAACTATATAGGGTACAGCCATACACTGACTATATAGGTTACAGTGACATACTAACTATATAGGGTACAGCCATACACTTATTAATATAGGTTTCAGTGACATACTAACTATATAGGGTACAGCCATACACTGACTATATAGGTTACAGTGACATACTAGCTATATAGGGTACAGCCATACACTTATTAATATAGGTTTCAGTGACATACTAGCTATATAGGGTACAGCCATACACTTATTAATATAGGTTACAGTGACATACTAACTATATAGGGTACAGCCATACACTGACTATATAGGTTACAGTGACATACTAGCTATATAGGGTACAGCCATACACTTATTAATATAGGTTACAGTGACATACTAGCTATATAGGGTACAGCCATACACTTATTAATATAGGTTACAGTGACATACTAGCTATATAGGGTACAGCCATACACTGACTATATAGGTTACAAGGACACACTAGCTATATAGGGTACAGTCATACACTGATAGTACAGGTTACAAGGACACACTAGCTATATAGGGTACAGCCATACACTGACTATATAGGTTACAGTGACATACTAGCTATATAGGGTACAGCCATACACTTATTAATATAGGTTACAGTGACATACTAACTATATAGGGTACAGCCATACACTTATTAATATAGGTTACAGTGACATACTAACTATATAGGGTACAGCCATACACTGACTATATAGGTTACAGTGACATACTAGCAATATAGGGTACAGCCATACACTGACTATATAGGTTACAGTGACATACTAGCAATATAGGGTACAGCCATACACTGACTATATAGGTTACAGTGACATACTAACAATATAGGGTACAGCCATACACTTATTAATATAGGTTACAGTGACACACTAGCTATATAGGGTACAGCCATACACTGACTATATAGGTTACAGTGACATACTAGCAATATAGGGTACAGCCATACACTGACTATATAGGTTACAGTGACATACTAGCTATATAGGGTACAGCCATACACTGACTATATAGGTTACAGTGACATACTAGCTATATAGGGTACAGCCATACACTGACTATATAGGTTACAGTGACATACTAGCTATATAGGGTACAGCCATACACTTATTAATATAGGTTACAGTGACATACTAACTATATAGGGTACAGCCATACACTTATTAATATAGGTTACAGTGACATACTAACTATATAGGGTACAGCCATACACTTATTAATATAGGTTACAGTGACATACTAACTATATAGGGTACAGCCATACACTTATTAATATAGGTTACAGTGACATACTAGCTATATAGGGTACAGCCATACACTGACTATATAGGTTACAGTGACATACTAGCTATATAGGGTACAGCCATACACTTATTAATATAGGTTACAGTGGACTAGTACGGAAATATCAAGACAGATAAATATGTGATCTTCTCAGCCACATATAAAACTTCTTTGCTTATTTCTGTCTGATAAAACAAAGGTATTTAAGAAATGTTTAAGAAATTCAACATTAACACCTGCAAGATTCAGTAAGTAGAGGTGATGCAACCCTTCAAGGTCTTCAAAAAGATAATCATTGTTTGGAAATGAACTATTTTATTAAATAATAGCCAGAAACATCATTACTTACTGAAACATACTGCTGTAATTTTCAGATGTGGAAGCAACGAATTTAAAGAAAGGAATGTTTTTCAACCCTGACCCTTACATTAAGATGACAATCCACCCGGGAAAGTTATGTCCGTCCACATCCCACCATCATCACGAATTACGGACAAGTATCTGTCCCAATACCACCAACCCTCACTGGCCCCATGCGGTAAGTGTGCTCTGGTGTACCAACACATTTCAGTTATCAATGTATTGTAATAATGAACAGTCTGTCAATGTTTTTAAACAATTTTGACATCATATGATCAAGGCTATCATTTTTGCACTGTAACTCTCTTTTTCAAAATGACCTTTTCCAGATTTTTTCTCATAATAGGTAATGATAATGATGGTGAAATGAAACTTGGTAACAGACATTCATATTGACAGACAAATGTAGAAGAATCATCACCAGTTACTACTGTAAAATACCAAACAATCAATACCTGTCTCAAAACAGCTTACTGTTAACCAGTTTTCTTTCCTGTCTGATTTACTATTGTTAGTTTTGTAAACAAATTTCCTAAGGTCACTTGCTGTAATTTGGTAAATGAGGATTGTAATATTCAATAATAATTATAAAATAGTTTCATGTAGTCTTGCTGTGAATTTCTGAAAGTTAGTTATCTCAAATCAAGACAGAGATAGAAATGATTATAATACTGTTTAATATAGTCTGTTTTATGAAAGTTAGGTGCCTCAAATTAAGACAGATGGGATAATTATAATACAGTTTAATATAGTCTGTTTTATGAAAGTTAGTTATCTCAAATTAAGACAGATGGGATAATTATAATACAGTTTAATATAGTCTGTTTTATGAAAGTTAGTTGCTGCAAATTTCTGAAAGTTAATTGATGTAAATTAAGATGGAAATGGTTATAATATAGTTTAGAATAGTCTGTTTTCTAAACATTAATTGCCATGAACATACTATGATGCAGAAATAATATTGAAAAGTGAGTAGTCACAAGAGAAAATTGGTTAACTGTATTTTACACAGTAATACACTGTTCTTTCTTTTGTGAGACATTTACTCATGTTTATTCACTTTGTCTTGTAGACCTTTGCATTTGAATCATACCCTACGGATATAATGGAATTCGAAATCAAAGACAAATTTGCCAAAAGTCGTCCAACAATCAGTCGTTTCTTGGGCCGGGCTGCGTTGACTGTACAAAAAGTGATGGACAAGTCTAGTAAAAGGTAAGTACACTGGACAGCTCAGGTCAAACTTAGGGCTGTGTTGACTGTACAAAAAGTGATGGACAAGTTTAGTAAAAGGTAAGTACACTGGACAGTCCAGGCCAAACTTAGGGCTGTGTTGACTGTACAAAAAGTGATGGACAAGTTTAGTAAAAGGTAAGTACACTGGACAGCCCAGGCCAAACTTAGGGCTGTGTTGACTGTACAAAAAGTGATGGACAAGTCTAGTAAAAGGTAAGTACACTGGACAGCCCAGGTCAAACTTAGGGCTGTGCTGACTGTACAAAAAGTGATGGAAAAGTTTAGTAAAAGGTAAGTACACTGGACAGCCCAGGTCAAACTTAGGGCTGTGTTGACTGTACAAAAAGTGATGGACAAAAATCTAGTAAAAGGTAAGTACAGGGTACAGTCCAAACCAAAATAAGGTTGAGGCAGGGAATAGTAATTGGTCAGTAAATGTTGGGTAATGTATTGGTTTATGACAAAGTCTTGACTATTTAATTGGTGAACATATAGTGGTTATGCAAGAAATAAAACTTCAAATTATGGATGTGTGAAAATAGATTTTAATATAAAGATATAATTACAGTTCTATGACTACAAGCTAGTGGTTATAGACCTAGTTGCCTCTTGAGTATATTCAATTCAAGAACATGCTAGTTGTAATGGGTTCCAATTAAGCACCTTTCATAATGAATGGACCATGGTCGCTGTCTTCATATCCATTTAGCGGCATTTACAAACGGGTCTGATTGTAATATTACAATAATTCCATTTCCTCTACAATAGATATACTTGTATTCCCGTAGTTTCATTAACCCTTTCTTTTCTCCTCCATCATTCATTTCTACGGACACTCCAGTATTTTCCCTTTCCCACTTATCAGGTATAGTGAGTTATACATATCTGTTGTTATTTCAGCCCTGTATCTTTCTGCTTGGACCTGACAAAACGAAATCCGTCTGATAGTGTAAGTGGCATGCTCAAATTTACTGCTGGTATAGACAACTGGAAGGAAGGTGACACGGCCAAACGCAAGACAGCTATACTTAAACGTAAGTTCATCTGAAGTCCTAGATCAGCAGTAGGTTAGAAAGCTAAGACTGGTAAAAATATGCAGATCGTTACAAAAACAAGGAAGATTTCAAGACTTAAGACTGTGAATCTAAAATGTTGACTAATTTCAATTTTGCAGACTGAATCTGAGTACTTAGATTAAAAGTTTTAATACATTGACAAATCAAATGATTATATTACTCAAGGAAGACTAAGATTTATATTGAAGCAGAAGTTAACATTTAAGCTGGTTACAAAGTTCAAATTAAAAACAATTATCTTTCAGATGCACAGTCTGAAGATGAAGGTCACACAAAAAGAGAAAGGAAGCCAAATTTCCGAAAGTCATCTTTACCAGAAAATATTACTTTACAGAAGGTTGCAAATCGCTGCCCAGTACATTCTGATCTTGAAATGGCAATGACAGCTGAGGATAGCAACTCGGAAGACCAGGAGGATTCTGGGATATCAATGTACAATATTGCCAACTCTCAGAACCGTATACCTGGTGATGTAGATATAGACTTGGTGGAAAATAAGGAGGAAATTCTCAGTTGTAGTCCTCCAAATCTCGCATCAGTTCCAAGTATAATATGTGATTTTCATAACCACCTTGATGTACCCAACTCACGGACTGATGAAACTGTGACACCATCTAGTAGTGATAATTCTGGGGGCTCTGAGATCACACCTGAGCCAAATCACAGACATGTTGTCCCTTCACTGGATGCATGGGTGGCTACAACTTTGTCAAGTGATGATCACAGTCTGACAGCCCCTAGCATTGCCTCAGACTTGTCCGATGGCTGGATGGCAGCCACATCCAGCGACCCTGTGGGGGATAGTAATGGAGAGGTAGACACCACAGGATTGGAATCTGCTGCGGTGTTAGAGGCAGAGACTTCTCTTGCTTGTAAAACAAAAGCAAGGAAGCCCCTACCTTTGTTACCCAATGACGTTACTAGTGATCAAGATTCCAGGGAAAGCACCTCATTTAGTCAAATACTACCTGGGGAGGAAACCTCTAGTGGTCCTTCTTCTCCTAAGGAAGGAAAGTCATGTGATCTTTCTTCTCCAAGAGAGGAGACATCTTTAAGTCTCTCTTCTGGAAATGTAATAGCTGCAGATCTTTCCTTGCCAGTAGTATGTAGTGGTGTAAGTAATATGAATGTGATAGTTTCAGATGTGACTCCTATAGATGTGATAGGTTCTAATACGACTTGTAATGATGTGATATCTAGCATTGTGATGTCTCCTGTAGAGGAGGTGAACGTCCCAGTGTGTGTTATAGGTGATGTGACTTCTCCGGGGCATTTGATAGATGAAGATATTGGTGATGAAGTAGAGAACATGGCAGGTAGTATCATTACAAATGGAGAAACAGTAACACCACATGTGGCACCACCTAGCTTGCCCCCAAGAACATACAAAGCTCCACCACTGCCTCCGAGACAAAGGAGTGATGATGCTCCACCTCTACCACCTCGTACACCAGAGAGGAATGACAAACCTTCCTTCACCCCTGGGGCACTCATGAGCCCTGGAGCTACTGCATTAGTACCAGATCCGGGATCATTAGAACCACCACCACCTCCCCTCCCCCCGCGTAGATATAGCCCCATCCCCCATCTCTCTGTAGGTGGAGGCGCTGTGGGTGCAGTGATAGAGCGAGAAGACAGTGCCAGTGACAGAAATAGCTTTGATAGCATGGAAACATTTCAAGGCTCACAGGAGAACTTATTGTCTGAAACTCCTAATGTGATAGGTGCGGAGGGTGTGACTCCTCGCCCACGTGCCATGCGTACAGACAATGATGCCTCAGGGCTTGAGGAGGAGGGTGGTAAGAAACGTCGCAGAAGGAAAAAGAATTCAGGGGATAGTAGTAGCAATAATAGTTTGAGTGAATCACCTCAGCATAGTAAGAATGGTGGCAAAAGACACAATATGACTGAATCACCCCATTCCCACACTAGTAAAAGTGGGAGCAATAGACACAGTCTCAGTGATCCGACTCTGCCCCCAAGTGGTAAGGTAGGAGGCAGTAGACAAAGTAGTAGTGGAGCAGGGGGGAATGGCACAGTGTTCGCTCAACTTGCAATGCTCCCCTCCATTGAGTCAGTTGTGTCAAAGGATTCGCGTCGATCCTCAACCAGCCCAAGTTCACGTTCAGTGGAGGTAAGTCCACGTGCTAGTCCATTATCTATGCAAACTTCATATTCTGACTCGGTATCAGACAGGTCACGTTACACCAACAGACGCAGCCTCCCTCACAACGACACAACCTTTAAACAGGCTGACCTCCTCCATACTACTCCCCAGCGTCCTCAGCTAGAAAGACATTCAGGAATTACATCTGCAACTCCCAACAGCGCCTCACCCCCTAGGGTTGTGCCCAGGGGCAGGATTCTCAGTGAAGAGGAGAAACAACAAAATAGGGAACAAATTGTTCAACAATTACAAAAATGGACTCAGAAATTAAAGGACAAAGGTAGAAGTGATGTGGATGACACTGTTTCAGTCACCAGTAGTGAGGGAACAGTCAGTGGTTGTGATAATTTAAGTTTTCAGAATGATGCTATGGGTTCTTTAGCTCCACAAGTTCCCACTAGTGCTCAGCCTCCTTCTCAGTCAGCAGCCCATCCTGTAGCCAACAGCAGGGCCCCAGTGGTGTCAAACGCTACTGAGGCTTTGAGTTCCACAGCTGAGGGTGGTAACAGTACTGACAAGGCTGAGGGAAGTAAACGTAGTAATAGTAAAACCAGTGATTCTTCGCCTTCCAATGCAGTGGTATGGCAACTACGACAGCCTCAGCAAAATACATCCAGCTCAAGTCAGAACCAGCGTCAAAGTAAAGGTAATTAGCCTACTATGAACACTAAAATATGAATGTGTAGTATACATGTTTTTGCAGTGTTATGATACATGCAATGTATGTGATAGAAGACATATCGTCAGGTGACTATAAGATACTGTAAAATCACATATTTTGTGAGCAACAAATTTCAAGGTTTTTATAAAATTACAGGTTTATGGAGACTTCATTTCATCGACAAACAGTAATCAATAAATAAACATATTGGTATCTTAGCAGGTAATTCATTTGTGACTTTGAATTCATAGATAAAAATTATTCTCAAAAGCAAGGAAATAAATTTCCATCAAAATTAATGAAAATATGACCAACCAACGGTATGTGTGCTTTCCTTTAATAGAAGGTAGTCAGTCCCCATTGCCAAAACTCCCTGCTAGAAAAAAATATGTTCGTGTGGAGCCTACTCCAGGGGATGAACCCCTGCCCCCAGGGTGGGAGGCGAGAGTGGACAGTCATGGACGTATATTCTACATTGACCACATCAACCGTACCACAACATGGCAGAAACCTCAGAATGGTCAGCGAGCTGTTCAGAGGCGACCAACAATCAGCTCTGAACAGAGACAACAGCTGGACAGAAGGTAAAACTTTTGACCATGTCCCATTCCCATGCAGTGTAGTATTCTAAGTTTGATGTCAGGATCACAGAAGATTTATATACTTATTCGTTCAATGACGATCACAAGATTTGTTTCTTATTTTGACATTGCACTATGATTTGTGGAAAGGAAACTCATAAGGGTGTTATATACTTGTGAATACTTTAATCAGTTTAAGGATATCAGTTCCAGCACTGAAATTAGAGCTGTGCTGAGTAAATGTTTGGTCCTAGGATCATGAAATTATCTTAAACCTAAACTTTAAGTGATTGCCATGAAAAGAAAGGTTTTATGTGATTATCTTAACAAAAGCTTTAGTTTTAGATCGTTTTACAATCCCTCCCATACCTGATTTTGAATCTCTATTAAAGTGAATGTGACAGCATAGTCATCCAAAATTTCACATGCAAGTTTTGTGACTGATGGGTGGAATCTATACACTGATCAAACAGTAGTGATAAAACTACTAGAGGAAGACAAGGCTGTCGTGTAATCAGTTTACAAATTAATCTGAACCTTATGATAACCACAGGTATCAAAGCATCAGAAGAACTATTACTCAGAGCCAGCAGGACACAGAAAACACCTCAGCAGAGAGCACTTCATCAGGTACATCCTAAATAAATGATATCGGCTTGTCATGAAGCTGTCAGTCAGGACATATCTAGTAATGTGCAGTGATACAAAACAAAATGGCAGCTTCACCAGGGCATTGAGTGTGTGTTTTTCCTTCTTTCTAATGAGTTAGTGGTGCAAACTCATAACTATACTGTCTAGATTTTGCTGATCTACAAATGAAGCTGGAATGTGGAATAACAAAGACATGTGGCAAAATCACAATTGTCCTGAAAGTTTATATATACTTATTACCTAGTTAAAAATCAATAAAACAGATACTGATATTGATACAATGACTATGTTATCAATATTGAATATTTCCTTGTTGTTTAGGAGGGAGTGACAACAGTCCTCAAACATCGGCCCAGTCTCGTAGTCCTGTTCCTCCACCGCCTACTCTTCCACCTACAGAAATCCAGGACAACAGGTTACCCGCCATCAAATTTCTCACCCGGTCAGACTTCTTTCCAATTCTTCAGAGCAATGATGTAAGTTGGTACCCTGATTTTGTTGAAATACTCTCTTGTCGATTTCGCCACAAAATGGCTTCCTTCATTGAACAGCTTATATTTGTTCTCCAAGTGAGATCCTTATTTATGTTGAAAAACTTTAATGTCTATGATAATGCTGAAGTTTTAGACTCAAAGGGCTAGTCATTTTCTACCTCACTTGAAATGATTTGAAACAAGTGTTGTGATTCAAATATTTCCTGAGTGATTTGCAATAGAAATGTTTCTTGAAGCATATATTATTATGTGTTTTCAAATAAATGTTTGCTAATTCCACATTTCAGTGTATGATATGATAGCTTTTGTTTTAATATGAAAAATAATAAATGATATAATTTTTCTTTTTTCCAGAGAGCTATGGTGGAGTATAACCGTAATGGAACATTAAAACATATGATAAGTAAAATCCGAAGAGATGCCAAAAATTTTGATCGGTAAGTGACAGGATTTGATGCATGTAACTTTAATGTTCTCTTATTCTATTGTTTAAAATTCTGATGTATAAAAGTGTTATTACAGAAATCAGTCCGATGGCTGTTGAATATTTAAGATAATTATGATGCTACTGAGTGGATCAAAATTGTTTGGGCTAGAATTTTCTGTAATTTTATTTATTATTTTTAAACAGATACCAACATAATCGGGACCTCGTATCTTTTATGAATTTATTTGTTGATACAAATAAAGAACTTCCATCTAATTGGGAGATGAAGTTTGACCGCAGTGGAAAGGTAAAACATGCTTATAACAAAATATTCAATTTCTTTTCTTTGTATCAGGTTTTATCTGATATATTGTGTTCATTGTGTTCACTTCTTCAGTTTGCTCATTAATTCATGATACAACTTTGTAGTTAACCCACAACAACTTTGTAGTTAACCCACAAATAATTTTAACTAGTAAACCAGGAAATATTTTGGATATCATCATTTGTCAGGCCAGCTATGATTAATAAATTTATCTATTGATGGTTTCAGCATTTCTTTATTGACCACCACCGCAGACTGACAACATTTATAGATCCACGATTACCCACAGATGTCCCCCCAATTAATCCTGACTTCCTCCATACCTCACTCTTCCGTAACAGGTCACGACCCACTGTCGATGACCCAAGTCGACTTCAGCATGCTGTAAGTCTTCACAGGATAAATCTTCACTGTTTAAAAATAATGATCATTAGATTACTCCCATGTCGTCAATGTTAAAAAACCTGTAATTATTCATTACCGGCATTCATTCATCTTTGATTGATAAATGGTTATTTGAACAGAGTAAAATGTAGAGGAAATTTTGTAACCATATCTTAACAGACTGATAATTTTTTATTTCTTGAAAAATAAATGTATGTTTCTGTCTTGTTACTGTACCACCTTTGATGCAGGATTTATGTTATATCCAGGTAATATTATCTAATAACACAAGGGTGCTATGTAGTGTACATATATTTACAGCCACCACCCCCACCACGACACGTAGCTGTGACTGATGTAGAGGATGTACCCTCAAGTAAGTCGAGATTTGTCAACTGATTATATGTGTGTAAATCCGTAAGTCTTTTTAATCATAATAGCTTTCAGTTCACAGTTAGTGCAGTTATCTACCTTTGTAATAGAGTTATCTACCTTTGTAATTCCTCTAGTCAGTGTATGATTATGTTCAGTGATACCTGATCTGCCTTTGTTAAGTTCTTTCTGTTTCCCCCACTCTAACCAGAAAAGCTACATGATACATATTACTTAGTCTATTTCATTCTACATTGCCTATTTTTGTCATTACATTACATCGCTCTGCACACTATGCAATGTCAGTTCTGATCTGTCCATCTTTATCCCTTCCATCATTGTTTTTTAATTGATGATAATGTATTTCAATTGTGTCATCAAACAAATGGAAGTAGGCACAAGTTATGACAACTTAAAAAAGTCTTCTCCCAAAAGTTACATTGCACATAAATGTAACATACCTACCAAAAATGACTGTTGTACACTTTCATAAAATTAGGTTTGTTACATGTATATATTTAAAAAGAGAGATAAAAATGGAATAGAAATTGAGTAAAGCGAGGGAAAGCAAGGAAGAGAAGGAGACAGTGATAGGTAATGAAGTAAGATATTCACAGGTGACCTTAAAACCCTTGTGTTGAAACAGCTTCAATAACTTGTGCAGAGGCAGCCTTGGGAATACATGTATGAGTTATCTCTCTTTGTACAATTATGTAATGGTGTATCACATTAAGATGTGTTACTTGCTGTTTTAGCTTACAATGACAAGGTGGTGGCATTCCTTAGACAGCCAAACTTGCCAGACATCCTAAAGGAAACGTATCAGGGTTATAGCAGTCATCGTCTGCGCGACAAAATCAACAGGATACGCACTGAAGGAACAGAGGCCCTGGAAAAAATGTGCAATGATATGGATCTCATCTTACTGTTGAGGTGATGCATAAGATGATGTATAGTTTTTATTCAAAAATCTTGATGAACATGTTTTCTTTCCCACACATGTACAACAATTATGCAGTTAGCAGGTTTAATACGTGGGCTGTTTTTTATTAAGCAGATTTATGAATATTTGTATATTTATGTACAATATTGCCAGTATCTATAAAGATATGGATGTGTAACAAATCTTGATTTAATTTTGTTTACATGCCCTTTGTTTCTTTTATACCTCATGTTTTTTTGGTTTTTTTTTTCAGTGTATTTGAGAATGATATAATGTCATACGTACCTCCCCACCTGGTCCTTACTAGGACTGAATCACCAGGGGATACGCCACAGGGCTCACCTAGTAAGTATATAATCTTTATTACCATTCATTTGCCACTCAATTCCGACCTATATGTCAAATTGGCTGGTTCCATTTGTTTTAGTGACAGGGCTGTCTAGGAGTGGGACATTGTAGTGTGGGATGATGTTGATCTTCTTTTTAAGTAAGAATATTGATCAAATTTAATCTTATTTCTGTTTGACCTGTACCTTTTAACAAGGATGATATTTTCACTTTGGTTATGACCCTTTAATTCGATATATCACCTTTGTCATATCTCTCAATGTACTATCCTGTCATGCCTCAGTATATCTGTTATATGCTTATGCAGATAATTTGTATTTCACAATTACAAGGTCAAGGCAGAACTATCATTACAACAGCTCAGGGTCAAATCATAAAGCATTATCACAATATCCCAAGGTCAAAGCAAAAAGTATTACCACAACATTCCAAGGTCAAAGCAAAAAGTATTACCACAACATTCCAAGGTCAAAGCAAAAAGTATTACCACAACATTCCAAGGTCAAAGCAAAAAATTATTACCACAACATTCCAAGGTCAAAGCTAAATATATTATCATATGATTCCAAAGTCAAAGCAAAAAGTGTTAATACAACATCATAAGGTCAAAGCTAAAAATATTTTATAGAAATATGTAAACATGTTCTGTAACATTGAATAGCTTTTTGATTTCTGTGGAAAAAATCTTTATGAAAAGGTTTGGGATTACTAATATAGTATTGAGAATTTATGGTTTAAGCCAAGCAAGTTGACTCTAATCATAACATTCTATAGAAATACTAAACTGCTTGGGAGCAGTTTCAGACATTTTCTAGTTCAGTAACAACCCATCTTGGTTTGTATGGATCCACATAACCTTGTGTGTTTTGGCAGTTTCTTGTTGTTTGACGTTTTGTTTCAGTAGTTCAGAGAGCCAATGTACGAGTTCCTGCACCATACAAACGGGATTTCCAAGCCAAACTTAGAAGTTTTTATAGAAAGTTGGAGTCTAAAGGATATGGCCAGGGACCTTCCAAGTTAAAGTAAGCCATTTTACAATAATAAACTATATCTCAAAGATTATTTAATAGTCATGTGTATGTGTTTCCTGCTATTTTTCGGTCATAATACTGACCTCATTGGGCCAGGTTATACAATAGAGAAAATGTTTTTATCACTGTTCAGGTATTGATTGGTCCTGTTGTAATCAATATTTGATATACTATTTGATTAATGTATTTTGATATGCTTGAATGTGATTATTGTCTGAAATTTGTTCCACTGTTCTGTATTTTGATTGGCCAGGTTGTTACGTTATCACTATTGTGTATTTTGATTGGCCGGGTTGTTACGTTATCACTGTTCTGTATTTTGATTGGCCAGGTTGTAATAGTTATATGATACATGTTATCACTGTTCTGTATTTTGATTGGCCAGGTTGTTACGTTATCACTGCTGTGTATTTTGATTGGCCAGGTTGTTACGTTATCACTGTTCTGTATTTTGATTGGCCAGGTTGTAATAGTTATATGATACATGTTATCACTGTTCTGTATTTTGATTGGCCAGGTTGTTACGTTATCACTGTTCTGTATTTTGATTGGCCAGGTTGTAATAGTTATATGGTACATGTTATCACTGTTCTGTATTTTGATTGGCCAGGTTGTTACGTTATCACTGTTCTGTATTTTGATTGGCCAGGTTGTAATAGTTATATGATACATGTTATCGCTGTTCTGTATTTTGATTGGCCAGGTTGTTCCGTTATCACTGTTCTGTATTTTGATTGGCCAGGTTGTTACGTTATCACTACTGTGTATTTTGATTGGCTAGGTTGTAATAGTTATATGATACATGTTATCACTGCTGTGTATTTTGATTGGCCAGGTTGTTACGTTATCACTGCTGTGTATTTTGATTGGCAAGGTTGTTACGCTATCACTGTTCTGTATTTTGATTGGCCAGGTTGTAATAGTTATATGATACATGTTATCACTGTTCTGTATTTTGATTGGCCAGGTTGTTACGTTATCACTACTGTGTATTTTGATTGGCTAGGTTGTAATAGTTATATGATACATGTTATCACTGCTGTGTATTTTGATTGGCCAGGTTGTTACGTTATCACTGCTGTGTATTTTGATTGGCCAGGTTGTTACGCTATCACTGTTCTGTATTTTGATTGGCCAGGATGTAATAGTTATATGATACATGTTATCACTGTTCTGTATTTTGATTGGCCAGGTTGTTACGTTATCACTGCTGTGTATTTTGATTGGCTAGGTTGTTACGTTATCACTGTTCTGTATTTTGATAGGCCGGGTTGTTACGTTATCACTGTTCTGTATTTTGATTGGCCAGGTTGTTACGTTATCACTGTTCTGTATTTTGATTGGCCAGGTTGTTACGTTATCACTGTTCACTGCTGTGTATTTTGATTGGCCAGGTTGTAATAGTTATATGATACATGTTATCACTGTTCTGTATTTTGATTGGCCAGGTTGTTCCGTTATCACTGTTCTGTATTTTGATTGGCAAGGTTGTTACGCTATCACTGTTATGTATTTTGATTGGCCAGGTTGATGGTAAGGAGAGACCATGTATTAGAGGACTCATTTAACAAGATCATGTCTACTCCCAAGAAAGAACTGATGAAGAGCAAATTATACATCACATTTGTTGGCGAGGAAGGGTTAGTAATTTAAATTTTTACATCACATTTGTAATTTGAAATGATTCCTTTTTGCTTTACAGTAACAAATCTAAAACTTTTTATGTCATTGAATGATAAAATGTTTTACTCTTGTGATATAACATGCTCATATTTGTAATCTTGCATCATATGATATTATCCTTACTATTCATAGATATCACAGTTGCTGATATAAGGATTCAAATCATGCCTTCATTTCAAACTGAAAATTGTCCATGGCATGTACATATTAGACTTGATATAATTATCTACAACATAAGTATTTTGCTGTGACTAATTTTGTTCTTTAATGGTGATGTAAAATAAGATTAACAAAGTATTAAAACCCTAAGATTGAAATCTTGTATGGATATGAAATAATTGTGTGATTTCTGCCTTGACAGGTTGGACTATGGTGGCCCTTCTCGAGAGTTTTTCTTCCTACTGTCACGAGAACTCTTCAATCCGTACTATGGTCTATTTGAGTATTCCGCTAATGACACATACACAGTACAGATAAGTCCTATGTCTACTGTGGTGGAGAATAATCTTGAATGGTGAGTAAATCTTGCTATGTAGACAGCTCAGATGACTCTAACGAGTACATCTAGCAATATATTCAACTCATTATCTGACTCCAACGAGTACATCTAGCAATATATATAAGTCATTACCTGACTCCAACAAGAAAATCTTGGAAGATAGTCGACCCATTACCTGACTCCTATCATTAGGAAGAGTCACAGAGACAGGAAACTTGATATAAATGACTGTTTCTTAAATTATGCACCAACTAAGTAAAATGATAAGTATTAAGACCCTTCATTTTGAAACATGGTTTTATCAGCATGTATGACCTAGCTGTCTTATTTGTCCTGAGTTGTAAAGACATTTATTTACTTAGCAAAAGTTGGTATTCTGTAATAGATACAAAACCTGTGTGATAAATATAACCACCAAATCTTCTGTACAATGTATATTTATCATTGATATCTTTCATAATTACTACAATGCAAAATTGACACTGAAAGTGCAGTTGTATATCTGATCTGTCTTAACACCAGTTAAAATTCACAGACACACTCTGCATATATATACTACAGTTTCTGTTTTACCTACCTGGTATGTTTACTGACAAGTTATGGCAACTGCTGTATCCTATTGTGACCAATTAATTACTGAATCATAGGTAATTAAACAGTGCTTGACTATCCTGTCTATCTAATGATCTCTGCTTGTTTAAGTTATCTCTCCTGCTACTAGTATACAGGAATGGGATTGTCTATCAGTCTATCTGTAGATTAGTTTTTCCAGAGTAAAACTTTTTTAATCTTACATCCTGTCAGTAAGAAACAAGGTAACATATGCTACATGTATCGTAGGCATCTTTTGTGCTTGTTGTTTATTTTTCAGTACAGGGATTTTCCTACATAGTTAAAGCCTTTCTTCGATATTGAAGTTTAGTTCTTTCTGGAGTGATGCATGCTATCTTATCAAATTATTTTCAAACTTGTTGCATGTATTCGGTATCGAAGTTAGCTGTGCAGTTAAAGGTACTTCAAAGGTGAAATGCTTTGGCTTAACCAAGTCTGTCTCGGTCTTCAGTGTTAATTCGTGTTCGCTGGTCGAGTGCTACAAAGCATTACGCTGTAAGTGTTAATTCTAGTATTTATTGCGATGTAAATGTTCATTCTACAAAGCATTACTGTGAGTGTAAGTGTTAATTCTATAAAGTGTTATTGCGTGTAAGTGCCATTCTACAAAGCATTACTGCGAGTGTAAGTGTTAATTCTATAAAGCATTACTGCGAGTGTAAGTGTTAATTCTATAAAGTGTTACTGTGAGTGTAAGTGTTCATTCTACAAAGCATTACTGTGAGTGTAAGTGTTAATTCTATAAAGTGTTACTGCGAGTGTAAGTGTTCATTCTACAAAGCATTACTGCGAGTGTAAGTGTTAATGCTACAAAGCATTACTGTGAGTGTAAGTGTTAATTCTATAAAGCGTTACTGTGAGTGTAAGTGTTAATTCTATAAAGCGTTACTGTGAGTGTAAGTGTTAATTCTATAAAGTGTTACTGTGAGTGTAAGTGTTAATGCTACAAAGCATTACTGTGAGTGTAAGTGTTCATTCTACGAAGCATTACTGCGAGTGTAAGTGTTAATGCTACAAAGCATTACTGTGAGTGTAAGTGTTAATTCTACAAAGCATTACTGCGAGTGTAAGTGTTAATTCTATAAAGCGTTACTGTGAGTGTAAGTGTTAATTCTATAAAGTGTTACTGTGAGTGTAAGTGTTAATTCTACAAAGCATTACTGCGAGTGTAAGTGTTAATTCTATAAAGCGTTACTGTGAGTGTAAGTGTTAATTCTATAAAGTGTTACTGTGAGTGTAAGTGTTAATTCTACAAAGCATTATTGCGAGTGTAAGTGTTAATTCTACAAAGCATTGCTGCGAGTGTAAGTGTTAATTCTACGAAGCATTATTGCGAGTGTAAGTGTTAATTCTATAAAGTGTTACTGTGAGTGTAAGTGTTAATTCTACAAAGCATTACTGTGAGTGTAAGTGTTAATTCTATAAAGCGTTACTGTGAGTGTAAGTGTTAATTCTATAAAGTGTTACTGTGAGTGTAAGTGTTAATTCTACAAAGCATTACTGTGAGTGTAAGTGTTAATTCTATAAAGCATTACTGTGAGTGTAAGTGTTAATTCTATAAAGTGTTGCTGTGAGTGTAAGTGTTAATTCTATAAAGTACTATTGCAAGTGTAACTGTTTGGTCCTACAAAGTATTTGTAAGTGCTAATTCTACAAAGTATTTGTAAGTGCTAATTCTACAAGTCATTCCTGAAAGTGTAAGTGTTCAAGTAGTATTGTGATTTACAATTTTACAAAGTGTTACAGTAACTTCAAATTTTGATTCCATAAACATTTTTATTTACTGTAAGTTTGAGTATATAACTGCATCTCAACTAGAGTTGGCATTGCTTAAAAAACCAAAGACTGTTTGAATGTTTAAAAAAACCAAAAATTATGTTTGAACGCTTAAAAAACCAAAAACTTTGTTTCAACACTTAAAAAAAAAAAAGAAAAAATTATGTCTGAATGCTTAAAAAACTGAAAACTACATGTGAATGGCTTGGAGTTGCACCTTGGTAATTAAAATTCACAAAAACACTGTTTTGTAACTATATAGATATCTTATCAGTCAAAAATATAAGTGTTATGTGACTTTGTAGGTACCTAGATATTTAAGTCTTTGTTTGTGACTTTGTAGGTAGGAGAGATCTTGATAAGCACCTAGATATTTAAGGTATTAACTACTTTGTATTGTTACAGTCCATGGTCACTTGGAGATGTGGAGGCGCTGGACGCTGAATTCCATCAAAGCTTGTTGTGGGTCAAGGAAAACGATATTACAGAATTAGATATGGACCTTACTTTTTCTGTTAATGAGGAAGTTTTCGGACAGGTAAGTATTCTTACCATTAGTACACTGATAAGTAGTTGCCACATTTATTATTTCTCTGTCTTTATTCTCTGTCTATATTCTGTATTTGCAGTAAGCCCACCCATATCTTTTGTTACGAACAAATGTTTTTTCATTGTTCTCACTTTTTGTCGGTGTTGACTCCCTGGGCTAATTGTAGGATAACTATGGTACGAGATCAAGAGCTAAATATGGTATGAGTTTGAGACCTTAATACTGTATGACATCAAAAGAGTTTAATACAGTATGAGATTGAGACCTTGATACAGTATGACATCAAGAACTTAATACTCTATCGGATGGAGAGCTAATTATGGTACATGATCAAGTACTGAAGATGGTACAAGATCGAGAACTCATTACAGTATGAAAACGAGAGCTCCAGTTGGTTAAAAAAAATATATACCCTGACTCTGTCTTGAGTATAAATTTGATCACAGAATGATTTGATTTTTGTGTTCATATGTCAGGATCAGACATATAAATTGACTGTTTATGCTTAGCTATAGATGAAATCTTCATTTATATGGTTTGTGATTACAGGTTACTGAGAGGGAGCTGAAACTGAACGGGAAGACATTGGCTGTGACAGAAAAGAATAAAAAAGAGTATATTGAGAGGATGGTGAAGTGGCGACTGGAAAGAGGAGTGACAGAACAGACTGAGGGACTCATCCGTGGATTCCATGAGGTGGGCTCTTACACTTTGATATCAGTCTTTTTGAGGCTGAAAAATATGTAAAAGGTTATTCTAGGAAAGCAATAATGTTTAAGTGAAAATAGTGGCTCGTCTTGTCAATCTTCAGACTCCAGGTTTTGTATAAAGTTATCACCCATGGAATGAAATTGATAATTTACTTATAGAATAGGCTATTGTTCTGAAAGTAAAGGATGGACGTTTCTCAAAATTTCAAATAATGTGTTGTGCGCTTTTAAATTTTGGATGTTCAGAAAATCAAAAAGGCTAGCAGGTGACATTTTGGATTTGACCTTGAAAGATTGTTATCACTATAGGAATATTCAAATTTCATATTATACAGAGCATTAATAAAGAACGGAAAAAATTAAAGTTTTCAATGCCAAATAAAGATCAAAGAAGGGTTAGATTCCTGTGTGGTCTCTTGTAAGGAATATGTTGCTGATGATTAACCTCCAAAAGAGATGGCATCTGTGGATTATTTACAGTGCCTTGTCTTGTTATACACATTAAGTATAGATTTCTTAATCAGTAAACCTGCCCACATTTATTGCAGTTTCAGTAGAACTGCCAACAGATGCTAAAATGTTGAATAGCATAGTAGTCTTTATCTGTGGTTTTGTAAGCATGACTTTGTCTTCCTAGGTCCTTGATGGTCGTCTTGTGTCCATGTTTGATGCACGAGAACTGGAATTGGTGATAGCAGGAACCGTAGAAATTGATATACATGATTGGCGAAGGAACACAGAGTACAGATCTGGTATGTACATCTGTATCCTACATGTAGCTGTAATGTTAACTCACAGAATGTGGTAAGAATGAAAAAATTCCTAAGTTTTCACCATATGAAAAGACTTCTGGCACATTAACTTGCAGAATCCCACGAATCAAAGAGTGGATGATGTGACAGAAAGAAATTGATGTACACCATGAAAAGTTTAAGGCCATGCTGATGTGTATGCTGCATTAAAACATAGTATTTATTCTGTTTTGTAGGCTATCATGATCAACACCCTGTAGTACAGTGGTTCTGGACAGCTATTGAAAAGTTTGACAATGAAAGAAGACTTCGACTCCTGCAGGTGAATACCAAAAGCTGTTTTCTATCTTTTAAGTTTGTCCAGTTGTCATTATTCCCCAACATGGAGGCTTCTGATAGGTCAAAAGTGTGATCTGATCAGTATTGCAAACTCATCCAATTTTCCATTGTAATGAAAGGCTGACAGAAGATGCTGAAGTCGGTAAAGTTAGGAAGTAAGATACATACAAGTTCATGTTAAAGGTATTTTGGAAATCAGAATTTATTTACCAGTCCTCTATGGAGGACTTTATAACACTAGACTGAGATATATTGAATTTTGCGCCATGATGTAACATTAGCAAGTCATCGCTAAATGTTTTAAACATTTTCCACAAAAAGTATCCTAATTATTTATCATAGGTTTCATAGCTTTTTACGCAAAATTGAAAATGATTATTTTCAAAATGTGATTAGAACCAGATGTAGCAGAACAAAGACTTTTCATAGGTTTCTAATATACTATTACTTTCTCAGATTCCTTCTTCTTTCTCACTATTTGTTGAGAGAAGAAAACATGAGATAGGAATTTAGGAAGGGATGCTTGGAGGTTAGAACTAGACAATGACATTTGTCCGTTTGTACAGTCTGGAAAAATGAACCATTCGTAGAGTTACTAGCTGCCAAAGCTGCTGTTTGCAGCTTCAAGAATTATGAAGAATAATGAAAATATAAAGTGGTTTATTTATTTGTGTACATGTTTTATACAAATATTGAAATAACTTGAAAAGGGTTGTTATGGAAATGACCCTTGTTTTAGCTTGTCCTTACCTGATATTTCACTCAAAGAGGTTAGCAATACTGACATAAGGGTTTTGAAGAATGGAAATTACAATGTTACTATACATGGAGTGTGACAAGAGGATAGTATATGTAAAAGGAAATACAAGGCTATTAATCTGTGATTATTGAGATCACTGGAACTGTAACTGAAAGAATTGATGTATAAACTTTTTGCATCTGGGGTTAAAGGTCATTAAGTTATCAGGTTGACAGTTGTAGTTTGTTTACCACTGAAAGAATAGATTTTATTATATGTTTTATAGAACAGAAATGATTTATAATTTGAGAAATAGTATGAATTACATAAGTAGCTAAGGAAGAAGAAGGAAAATTCAAGGACATTAAAAGTAGCTTTCAATGAAAGTCAAAATTCATTTTGAAACTGGTAAGAATAAAATATTAGCAGGGTATAGCTCTTTTGGTTTGTGGTATGTCTAAAACCTGATAGAAATGGTTAGAAATATACATTTGGTTTTGTGACAAACTCCTTTAATTATTCCAACAATGTTATTGGTTTTTCAACAAGAAACTTATGACAGGTAACCTTAACTTTGCAAAAATGGACAAAGAAGGACTTTTCCTGTTTTTGGAGTAAAGGAGTCACACCATCAACACTGACATTACTAATTTTGTGATTTATATGAAATAGGATTACAAATACACACATGGTAAACATACTGGAATTGATTTTGGTTTTGTTGTCAGATAATATATTAACCAGACAGTGCCTTCAATATTTTGTGTTCCATTTCAGTTTGTGACTGGTACATCTAGCATACCTTATGAAGGCTTCTCGGCTCTGAGAGGAAGTAATGGACCAAGAAAGTTCTGTATAGAGAAATGGAGTCGTATCACTAGTTTACCAAGGTTTGTGTATACAGTTATAGGGCCAGGTAACTGGGCTGTGTATACAGTTATAGGGCCAGGTAACTGGGCTGTGTATATAGTTATAGGGCCAGGTAGCTGGGCTGTGTATATAGTTATGTGGGCCAGGTAACTGGGCTGTGTATACAGTTATAGGGCCAGGTAACTGGGCTGTGTATACAGTTATAGGGCCAGGTAACTGGGCTGTGTATACAGTTATAGGGCCAGGTAGTTGGGCTGTGTATATAGTTATGTGGGCCAGGTAACTGGGCTGTGTATACAGTTATAGGGCCAGGTAACTGGGCTGTGTATACAGTTATAGGGCCAGGTAACTGGGCAGTGTATATATTTATGTGGGTCAGGTAGCTGGGCTGTGTATACAGTTATAGGGCCAGATAACTGGGCTGTGTATACAGTTATAGGGCCAGGTAACTGGGCTGTGTATACAGTTATAGGGCCAGGTAACTGGGCTGTGTATATAGTTATGTGGGTCAGGTAGCTGGGCTGTGTATACGGTTATAGGGCCAGGTAACTGGGCTGTGTATACAGTTATAGGGCCAGGTAACTGGGCTGTGTATACAGTTATAGGGCAAGGTAGCTGGGCTGTGTATACAGTTGTGGGGGTCAGATAGCTGGGCTGAGCATACAGTTATGGGGTCAGATAGCTGGGCTGTGCATACAGTTATGGGGGCCATGTAGCTGGGCTGTGCATACAGTTATAGGGGCCAGGTAGTCGGGCTGTGTATACAGTTATGGGGCCTTGTAGCATTGCTATACAGATGTGTGTATGTGATTGGGATATATTCCTTTAATAGGTAATGAGTTTGAACATGCAGCCAAATGATATATATGTTTGTGCCATTGTGTTAGAATTGGTTCAGGGAATTCTTGTTGTAAGTTGAAATGTAATCATTCAAACATTTGAGAGAATAGTTGTATGCAAATTTTTTGTGAAAAATCTTATTTGCCTGAATTCATCACACAGAGATTTCACCCTATTAAAAGTTTGTTATATATATGTATATTGTTGATAAAGGCTTTTGATACCTTTTCTCCACCATGAAATTGATCTGCCTTACTGACACTGTCTCTCTATTGCAGGGCCCATACTTGTTTTAACAGACTTGACTTGCCTTCTTACACCTCTTTTGACATGCTGTTTGAGAAATTGGTAACAGCAGTGGAAGAAACAAGCACATTTGGAATAGAATGATTTGCTCACCATGTTTGCCCAAAAACATATCGAAGAAGCACTTGGAGAACATAGATTGTGTTTCATCTCTGATAAGCAATCTGCCATTTGGTCCCTTCAGAATTTGGGTTGAAATGAGTTGCTGAAGAGAGAGGAAAGTTTCAGAGATCAGGATTGATTATTAGGTACCCAACATCAAAAGAAGTCTGCAGGAGCATGGCTGTCAATGAAACCATACTGGTCTTATTGTTTATAAACAATGGTACTAGTATCCTGTGCAATTTATGAATGGCATAATTATTGTTATAAGAAGCTGTTCCCAGTTTAATGTCTTTGATAGCAGCATGCTTGGTTTCTACCTTGAAATCCATACACATAGTGCTTAGTCACTTCAGTCAAATAAACACAGAATCTCGCTCAAAACCAATATCAGATGATTTGTGAATGTGTGTTATGATGTGTAGTGTTGTTTGGCTTTTAATATTTAACAATACATATCTAAAATACATCATAAAAATGCCACAGATTTACACACTGTTTTGATATTGGCACATGTACAAGTTCTGCCTGGTGAAGGATACTGAAATTAAATAATTCAAAATCCTTGCGTGGTGGATATTAACATTGCTTTTTTTACCCCGTTCACTTTTTAAATCTGGCATAATAAAAAAATTTGTTCTCATGTTGAAATTGTCAGAAGATTTTTATCGTAGTAATGAATAAAGTATACCAACTTTTCACCCTTGCCAATATTAAATGCAGACCCAGATCTAATTGGGACCACTTGAGTATTCTTGTTGGGCATTGTAGGTTTGAATTACCTAAAGGTTTGTGAGATATTATACCCTAAGCTCTTTACATGTTATGAATCTAAAGAATTTTTTTTATTGTAATCATGATTTTGTCTGACTCTTAATCTGGATGTAAATTGTGAAACAACCCTGAATGTGTTGGAGCTTCAAGTGACCTCAAAACTTACCCACCTTACTCAGTAGGAGAGAGGTGTTGAACGTGAAACCCTACTTACTCAAAAGGAGAGAGGTGTTGAGCATCCATATACTTATGTAATGTTATTTATTAGATAGAAGAACGAGAGTTGTTTATAAAGGGCATGATATTGATTGTTTATGTTGGTAACCTAGTGAAATGTTACACAGTAATCATGGTCCTCATGTTGTTTTATTTAATCACATTTCATACAATAAATTGTTAGCATATTCAGTCTTATTAGTCAACTATGCGTTTACAAAAACACAAGGATATTCTTGATGAAACAGTTAACAGGGAAATGGACTAAGATATGAAACTTTGCTGAAAACTCAATTTGAACTAAACAATGAATAGTAAGTATAAGCTGTATTTATTCTTAGTTAGGGGTACATTTAGAAGGTCGAATACACTGATAGCATAATCTGTTCACTGACATCCTAAATCTTCTCCACTTCATGTTGACCACTAACATTAAAAACCTGTGCCAATCATGTATGGTGTCGGAATAGATTCTCTGCAGTATCCATGTAGTGTAAAACTTGATTTCTACAAAAATGACAACACATTTTGTTATGGAATTAAAGATTAATTTTCTCTGCTATATGACATTCAAGTTGACTTCTTGTTTTAAATTATATATTTTCATTATTTTTTCATTATACACAAAATCCATGCCATAAGATAAATGTTGAGGGTAGCGATGTCATGATATTGTCAAAGTCACAACCTAAATAAGAAAATTGAATTGATATATTTCATCATCCAAGTGTCCATGTGTCATCCTGCTATACCATTGTTTTATATGTAAAATGTGTGATTACTCTCAAACCCGCATGGTTTGGCTTTTCTTTTTCATATATTTGACAAATTATTTTGTTGTGTAAAGCGAATGTTACAATCAAAAGAATCTCCTGGTTCCTGTCAGTATGAGATTAAGAAGTCATTTGAATTTGTATTATTTTGCTAATTTGATATTTTCTTATCTCAGTCATTATTTGACTGTCAACCAAAACTTGTTTTTATCAGTTTTGCCAACTGTATTGTCATTGGAGCTGCATGCTAAGTGTTCTAGCTGTTTTGACTCTGCTTTTAAGAATGATATAGATTTAAGGATTATGTAGTCGTAATTTTCCCATGGTAACAAAATCTCAAAGCAGGCATATAGAACAATATTTCTTACATCAGAAATTAAGTCTTTAGAGATGTGGACAGATGTTGCCTAGCAACAAAGGGTGGGGGGGGGAGTGTTTCAAAACATTAAGGTTTAATTGAATGATTATATGGTCCATTGTTTGATTAAGTCCCCTAAACAAAGTTTGAGAACTTATTGATTTTATCCCAAATCTTAATGTTATAATTTTTCTTCATTTTCTGCTGTTTCTGACACTGTTCTCCTAAACTGTAACTTGGAACTTCAAAGGGATTGTAAATTTTTTAGCAAGATGGCCACCATTTTCTGGTTTCTTTTTAGCTAATATCTATGACTTCTGTTCTGTGTTTCAAGATGAGAATTGGTGGGATTGGGAACTTGAGGACACTCTCTACGATGGTAGAAAATAATATTGTCACTAAAATGGCTGCCAAATAGAGACTTTTGATTGGATGAAAATTTGGGTCCTGTTACAGTTAATTCTTATAAAAGATACTTTAACCTTCATCATGATGGTGAGAGACAGTAAGTGAAGCTTTAGTGATTATATACGGCTAAATTTGGTGATTTATACAACATAATGATAAACATGAAATAACTCTTAACTATATCATTGTAGTTTCTGTGTATTGTGTCTATTTCAGGATATTGTAGGTGAGCCAGTTTGTCATTAATGGGTTAAAAAGGATGTGCTGAGTACATCAACAGTATTTAAATTTGTAGTATCACTGATGAAGAATCATGCACTGTCGTGTGTCAAGTCATTTCCTGCTGAATTTCGGCAGGTTATAACGATTCTAATTGTGTAGTGTTCTTGTTATTTGTAAAGAGAAAGTTGTGCTTGGAAATATTAAGTGTATCAAAACAAAGTCAGTATTGTAATGTATGTTAACTAATTTAAATCAATGACAGTAGGCTTAATATTCATTAAAAAAAAAACACAAATAACAATATCCAGGGAAATGTCATTTTATAAGAATATCATATACCACCATTACAAAACCATCCTTTTACTGATGTGGTGGTCAAGGTGTTAAGACACTAGACCTCCACCTCTTAGTCGCGGGTAGAGACCTACGTGAGGCAGTCACCAGGTTCTGGCCACAGATCAGTGGTTGGGAATTCTGGCTTTCCTCTACCATCCAAACCTGGCATGTCCTCAAATAACCCAGGCTGTAACTAGAATGTTAAGCAATATAACCTAACCTGATGTGCTCAAACTTTCACACAAAAATCTTTTATCATGGCTGTTGGTTTCTACCATTTCATTTATCATGATCATTACACCACAGATATTCTTGCCAAAATTTCCTGCCCTGGGAAACCAAAGCCAGTTTTGGGTATGAATAAGAAGCTAGTTGATACCAGTGGTTGGTGATTAATTGTACAGTTAGGTGTATACATCTTTGTGTCTTAAGTTATGTAGGTCTGTAGAGACTGTATATATATTGGAGTATTGTTGTATGTAGGTTTGTGATGCCAGTATATGTATATATTGGGAGTTGTCTATAACATGCTAGGCATGAACTATAAATTTATTAATTATTGTATTCTTTCCTCTTTAGGACGAGCTCAGGATTATTGCTGTGTATATCCTGTAGGTATACACTTGGTGTGTACACTGATATGTGAATGTCTATTAACTATTGAGTGTGTTGTAATTTACTTCTGCCTTTCCATTTCCTTCAAAGGTCCATTATTTGGTTGTCCATGACTTCTTTGTTCATTCTCAAAACAGGTAAAAAAAAATTAATACTATGTCACTGTCCAATACAATCTCATTATGTCATTTGTCAAAGTTAATCTTAACATGTCAATTGTCATAAAATCTCAATGTCAATTGTTAGAGTAAATCATAGTCAACGGTCAAAGTAAACCAATACGTCATAGTAAATCTCAACATGTCAATTGTGAGAGTAAGCCATTGTCAATTGTCAACATAAATCAGTTTGACAGTTGTCTTATTAAATCTTGTCAGTAGTCAAAGTTAATCAATATGACATAGTGAATCTCGATAGGTAAGTTACTAAAGTAATTCTATGTCAATTGTAAATCAACATGTCAATTGTCTTATTAAATCTTCGTATGTCAGTTGATATTAAAATTAAATAAATCTCAATTATTAGATAATTAATCTAGATCTTTCAATTGTCATAAATTTCCTACATCAGTTGTGATCATACTAATCTCATTATGTCAGCTATAAGATATGTGAATCATCTATTATAAACTTTGTCGGTTGAGAAATTTTAAAATGGCATGTAAATATATTAATTGCATAAGCTACTAACATTTCCAGTCTTATCCACACCGTTGTTTTGCTTGATATAAGGTAAAATGTATATCCTACAGATTTACTAGCATAGCATTGCTTTTTCCGTCCGTTCTATACCAGGCAATAGTTAACAGATAACATAGTGTATGTTTACTCTCAATTGGTATCGTATGGTTCAGATAGTCAAGTCAGATATTTATAAAGGCATGTCATCTTTAAATGGATGAAGACAAAACCGTTTCAGTATGTTCCTCAAATTATTTTACAATAAAATCCTGGCAAATTTAGTGATATAGTTGATAATGTAGAATTTGTCTCAAAAACTGCTATTGAAATAGTTAATTCAAGAGAAAAATGACATCCAGGTGATGTAGGCCAGTACTTAGTGTTGTCTAAAAATCTATAGGTTGTAGTCTCTGCTTTTAGCCAGATGTCTTCCTCTTATAGTTGTAGTTAAGCATTCCTTTGTCACCTCAACTTTTCGTATCTGAGGACTTCTGTAACTTTTTGTATGTAAACCTTACATAGATGAACCCAGAATACCTAATCCCTATGTTGTTTGTGTTTTGTTAACACTAAATTTTCACTCTTGTATATTTAGAACTTTCCATTAATATATTAATTCTTTAATATAATTATGTATTAAATCTTTCATACTTATCTGAAGTTTTACATTTTAATACTTAAAAGTCATGATGCAAATAGCAAGCTCTTTATGCAATATATGTAAACATATATACATTATGTGTTGTAATTTTTTTTTTTTTTTTAAATAAGTCCATTCATTGTACGCTGAACTGCAAATGTATCCTGTCGAGTCAAAATTTATTGTATGTTCTGGACAGGAATAAATTATTTTAATTGAGTTAATTTATTGTTTTGTTTTATGTATTTGATAATTCTGATGGTCAGACATTGAACAGACTTTTTATAGACAATATTTTGTGGTCACTCCTTCGGCAGTGCTAAGTCACAATGGTCATTGTCAAACAACATGACATAAATTCCTACCACTTGAACTATATAAGCTAATCAGTGACCCATAACACTGTCTAAATGACTTGACCAGTCAGACCAGAACTGACCATTTCAGATATTAAGGACATTCTTTTCTAGTGAGCATTAAAATATACTTGAAGACCTGTGTTTAACATCTCAAGTTCCATTAAGGCATTAATCGACAAAAGGGCCACAAGGCCTGTATCACTCACCTGGTTTAGTAAAGGAAAAGTATATTCATTAAAGATCTATATCTATTTCCCTTTTTAGGTTTTGGCCCAAGGGGCATTAGATATAACAGTTATACAAAATTTCCTCCACCCAATTCACCCAAGTATGCTTTAGATTAATTTTGGACAAAATCCAATCATTCCTTTTGAAAATGTAGATGTAACAATGTTAACAATTTTGCCATATTTCCTCTTTGCCCCAAGGGTGTGTGGGATAAGGGTTTCAGATGTACTGTTTTGACAAAACCCCATCCGCAACCAAAGTTGAGACACCATACATGAACCCGTTTTTGTTTCTATACTGGCACCTTTTACACAAGATCTCTAAAAACATCAATGAGACAAGTTCATCTTTAGCATATCACAGATTTATTTGTTTCAAATAGACATTAGATGTTTCATCTGTGTGGCTAACTGGCTGAGAAATGTGCACTTTCTGGCTGAAGACTTGTTGCAGGTGACCACATAAAACTTCATGTCTGGTCTAAAATTCCCAGGGAAATTGCTGATATTATTTGTGATAAAATGTAAGTGGCCTTATGGAACTTCTGATTAAGCTGATAAAATCTTCACAAGTACCATTTACATATGGTTACCAAATGATGAATGAAGTGTAATCAACAGAAGAATTTCTACCAATATTACCAGGTGGTCACACTGATGTATCACCTTCAGACTTAGTATTGGAGGGCTGTGTGAAGCTGTACATGGACATGTAAATTAAGCTTAGCAAACACTTTCATTGCAAAAGCCCTGACAAAGTTTGAGAATGTCCCAGGTACCTTTGCATAATAAAAGTTTCTCTATGTAATGATGAAGTTTTAGACATGAAAAGTGGTACCAAGTGAGTACATTCAGTAGGAATCACAGCAGTTTGATGGGCACAAGGGTTGTTATTGCACATTGTTGTATATTATTGTATAAAACAAATACTGCTAAAGTAATCCCTGTAAGGTTGAAAGAACTCCTTATTTCATCACCACAGAAATAGTATTTCAGACATGGCTAGGATAAACGTTGCATGATAATAGACAGATTAAAATGACATTATCTCTGATGGCACTGATATCTGTAACTGGTGTTGAGCCAAGCTCTATGCTGAAGGTTGAAATTCAGACTTTTAGTATATCTATATTGTACTGACAGCCCTTCGTGGGTAATCTAGGGTTAAGATACATCCACAATCAAACTTTTGTTAAGTCTATATCATATATACGGACTGCGTGATCTGCCCCACAGCTGGCCAGTTGAAGCCAGGCTTCATCCTCATCAGTACCTGCTCGACCCAAGCATGGGCGAAACTTAAGTCTCTTAACTGTCAAGTGATGGAAATTTCTAAATGTGTGTTAAAGAAAACCTTTAGTGAAAATAGTCCCATAAGAAGTATTTTGTGCTGTCTTACGTAATTGTTCAATTATGTAAAATCACTTCTCAAAAGATTATAAGCAGAACTCCAGATCAGATAATATGAAATAGATGATTTTATCAATGGACAAGAAAGTTCAAATTTCCTAAAATAAGCACCGTCTGAAAAAGGATACAGCTGATCGAACTTCTTCCATACTGAGGCACTGTTGTCATCTGCGATGTTCCAAGTGTACAGCTGTATGGAGCCACTCTCTAATCCCACAGCAACAATATATCTGTAACAGAGGAGTACAAATACCTGTCAGAATACAATATATCTGTAACAGAGCAGTACAAATACCTGTCAGAATACAATGTATCTGTAACAGTGGTGTACAAATACCTGTCAGAATACAATGTATCTGTAACAGTGGTGTACAAATACCTGTCAGAATACAATATATCTGTAACAGAGCAGTACAAATACCTGTCAGAATACAATGTATCTGTAACAGTGGTGTACAAATACCTGTCAGAATACAATGTATCTGTAACAGAGCAGTACAAATACCTGTCAGAATACAATATATCTGTAACAGGGGAGTACAAATACCTGTCCGAATACAATATATCTGTAACAGTGGTGTACAAATACCTGTCAGAATACAATGCATCTGTAACAGAGGAGTACAAACACCTGTCAGAATACAATGTATCTGTAACAGTGGTGTACAAATACCTGTCAGAATACAATGTGTCTGTAACAGTGGTGTACAAATACCTGTCAGAATACAATGTATCTGTAACAGTGGTGTACAAATACCTGTCAGAATACAATGTATCTGTAACATTGGTGTACAAACACCAATACAATGTATCTGTAACAGAGGAGTACAAATACCTGTCAGAATACAATGTATCTGTAACAGTGGTGTACAAATACCTGTCCGAATACAATATATCTGTAACAGTGGTGTACAAATACCTGTCAGAATACAATGTATCTGTAACAGAGGAGTACAAATACCTGTCCGAATACAATATATCTGTAACAGTGGTGTACAAATACCTGTCAGAATACAATGTATCTGTAACAGTGGTGTACAAATACCTGTCAGAATACAATGCATCTGTAACAGAGGAGTACAAACACCTGTCAGAATACAATGTATCTGTAACAGTGGTGTACAAATACCTGTCAGAATACAATGTGTCTGTAACAGTGGTGTACAAATACCTGTCAGAATACAATGTATCTGTAACAGTGGTGTACAAATACCTGTCAGAATACAATATATCTGTAACAGGAGTACAAATACCTGTCAGAATACAATGTGTCTGTAACAGTGGTGTACAAATACCTGTCAGAATACAATGTATCTGTAACATTGGTGTACAAACACCAATACAATGTATCTGTAACAGAGGAGTACAAATACCTGTCAGAATACAATGTATCTGTAACAGTGGTGTACAAATACCTGTCAGAATACAATGTATCTGTAACAGAGGAGTACAAATACCTGTCCAAATACAATATATCTGTAACAGTGGTGTACAAATACCTGTCAGAATACAATGTATCTGTAACAGAGCAGTACAAATACCTGTCAGAATACAATATATCTGTAACAGAGGAGTACAAATACCTGTCAGAATACAATATATCTGTAACAGAGGAGTACAAATACCTGTCAGAATACAATATATCTGTAACAGTGGTGTACAAATACCTGTCAGAATACAATGTATCTGTAACAGAGGAGTACAAATACCTGTCTGAATACAATATATCTGTAACAGTGGTGTACAAATACCTGTCAGAATACAATGTATCTGTAACAGAGGAGTACAAATACCTATCCGAATACAATATATCTGTAACAGAGGAGTACAAATACCTGTCAGAATACAATATATCTGTAACAGTGGTGTACAAATACCTGTCAGAATACAATGTATCTGTAACAGAGGAGTACAAATACCTGTCCGAATACAATATATCTGTAACAGTGGTGTACAAATACCTGTCAGAATACAATGTATCTGTAACAGTGGTGTACAAATACCTGTCAGAATACAATGCATCTGTAACAGAGGAGTACAAACACCTGTCAGAATACAATGTATCTGTAACAGTGGTGTACAAATACCTGTCAGAATACAATGTGTCTGTAACAGTGGTGTACAAATACCTGTCAGAATACAATGTATCTGTAACAGTGGTGTACAAATACCTGTCAGAATACAATATATCTGTAACAGGAGTACAAATACCTGTCAGAATACAATGTGTCTGTAACAGTGGTGTACAAATACCTGTCAGAATACAATGTATCTGTAACATTGGTGTACAAACACCAATACAATGTATCTGTAACAGAGGAGTACAAATACCTGTCAGAATACAATGTATCTGTAACAGTGGTGTACAAATACCTGTCCGAATACAATATATCTGTAACAGTGGTGTACAAATACCTGTCAGAATACAATGTATCTGTAACAGAGGAGTACAAATACCTGTCCGAATACAATATATCTGTAACAGTGGTGTACAAATACCTGTCAGAATACAATGTATCTGTAACAGAGCAGTACAAATACCTGTCAGAATACAATATATCTGTAACAGAGCAGTACAAATACCTGTCAGAATACAATGTGTCTGTAACAGTGGTGTACAAACACCTGTCAGAATACAATGTATCTGTAACAGAGGAGTACAAATACCTGTCAGAATACAATATATCTGTAACAGTGGTGTACAAATACCTGTCAGAATACAATGTATCTGTAACAGAGGAGTACAAATACCTGTCCAAATACAATATATCTGTAACAGTGGTGTACAAATACCTGTCAGAATACAATGTATCTGTAACAGAGCAGTACAAATACCTGTCAGAATACAATTTATCTGTAACAGAGGAGTACAAATACCTGTCAGAATACAATATATCTGTAACAGTGGTGTACAAATACCTGTCAGAATACAATGTATCTGTAACAGAGGAGTACAAATACCTGTCTGAATACAATATATCTGTAACAGTGGTGTACAAATACCTGTCAGAATACAATGTATCTGTAACAGAGGAGTACAAATACCTATCCGAATACAATATATCTGTAACAGAGGAGTACAAATACCTGTCAGAATACAATATATCTGTAACAGAGGAGTACAAATACCTGTCAGAATACAATGTGTCTGTAACAGTGGTGTACAAATACCTGTCACCTGTCAGAATACAATGTATCTGTAACAGAGGAGTACAAATACCTGTCAGAATACAATGTGTCTGTAACAGTGGTGTACAAATACCTGTCAGAATACAATGCATCTGTAACAGAGGAGTACAAACACCTGTCAGAATACAATGTATCTGTAACAGTGGTGTACAAATACCTGTCAGAATACAATGTGTCTGTAACAGTGGTGTACAAATACCTGTCAGAATACAATGTATCTGTAACAGAGGAGTACAAATACCTGTCAGAATACAATATATCTGTAACAGAGCAGTACAAATACCTGTCAGAATACAATATATCTGTAACAGAGGACTAGAAATACCTGTCAGAATACAATGTATCTGTAACAGTGGTGTACAAATACCTGTCAGAATACAATGTATCTGTAACAGAGCAGTACAAATACCTGTCAGAATACAATATATCTAACTGACACACCTGTAATCCTGACAAGTTACAGACAAACCTGTAATCTGACAAGTTATACCAAACACACCTGTAACCTGACAAGTTATACCAAACACACCTGTAATCTGACAAGTTATACCAGACACACCTGTAACCTGACAAGTTATACCAAACACACCTGTAACCTGACAAGTTATACAAGTTATACCAAACACACCTGTAACCTGACAAGTTATACCAGACACACCTGTAATCTGACAAGTTATACCAGACAAACCTGTAATCTGACAAGTTATACCAAACACACCTGTAATCTGACAAGTTATACCAGACACACCTGTAACCTGACAAGTTATACCAGACAAACCTGTAATCTGACAAGTTATACCAAACAAACCTGTAACCTGACAAGTTATACCAGACAAACCTGTAATCTGACAAGTTATACCAAACACACCTGTAACCTGACAAGTTATACCAGACAAACCTGTAACCTGACAAGTTATACCAGACACACCTGTAACCTGACAAGTTATACCAGACAAACCTGTAACCTGACAAGTTATACCAAACACACCTGTAACCTGACAAGTTATACCAAACACACCTGTAACCTGACAAGTTATACCAGACAAACCTGTAACCTGACAAGTTATACCAGACAAACCTGTAACCTGACAAGTTATACCAAACACACCTGTAACCTGACAAGTTATACCAAACACACCTGTAACCTGACAAGTTATACCAAACACACCTGTAACCTGACAAGTTATACCAAACACACCTGTAACCTGACAAGTTATACCAGACAAACCTGTAACCTGACAAGTTATACCAAACACACCTGTAACCTGACAAGTTATACCAGACAAACCTGTAATCTGACAAGTTATACCAAACACACCTGTAACCTGACAAGTTATACCAGACAAACCTGTAACCTGACAAGTTATACCAAACACACCTGTAACCTGACAAGTTATACCAGACAAACCTGTAATCTGACAAGTTATACCAAACACACCTGTAACCTGACAAGTTATACCAGACAAACCTGTAACCTGACAAGTTATACCAAACACACCTGTAATCTGACAAGTTATACCAAACACACCTGTAACCTGACAAGTTATACCAGACAAACCTGTAACCTGACAAGTTATACCAGACAAACCTGTAACCTGACAAGTTATACCAAACACACCTGTAACCTGACAAGTTATACCAGACAAACCTGTAACCTGACAAGTTATACCAGACAAACCTGTAACCTGACAAGTTATACCAAACACACCTGTAACCTGACAAGTTATACCAGACAAACCTGTAACCTGACAAGTTATACCAAACACACCTGTAACCTGACAAGTTATACCAGACAAACCTGTAACCTGACAAGTTATACCAGACAAACCTGTAACCTGACAAGTTATACCAGACAAACCTGTAACCTGACAAGTTATACCAGACACACCTGTAACCTGACAAGTTATACCAGACAAACCTGTAACCTGACAAGTTATACCAGACAAACCTGTAACCTGACAAGTTATACCAGACAAACCTGTAACCTGACAAGTTATACCAGACAAACCTGTAACCTGACAAGTTATACCAAACACACCTGTAACCTGACAAGTTATACCAGACAAACCTGTAATCTGACAAATTATACCAGACAAACCTGTAATCTGACAAGTTATACCAAACAAACCTGTAACCTGACAAGTTATACCAGACAAACCTGTAACCTGACAAGTTATACCAAACACACCTGTAACCTGACAAGTTATACCAGACAAACCTGTAACCTGACAAGTTATACCAGACAAACCTGTAATCTGACAAGTTATACCAGACAAACCTGTAATCTGACAAGTTATACCAGACAAACCTGTAACCTGACAAGTTATACCAGACAAACCTGTAACCTGACAAGTTATACCAGACAAACCTGTAACCTGACAAGTTATACCAGACAAACCTGTAACCTGACAAGTTATACCAGACAAACCTGTAATCTGACAAGTTATACCAAACACACCTGTAACCTGACAAGTTATACCAAACACACCTGTAATCTGACAAGTTATACCAAACACACCTGTAACCTGACAAGTTATACCAGACAAACCTGTAATCTGACAAGTTATACCAAACACATCTGTAACCTGACACCTGTTATCAGACACACCTGTAACCTGACAAGTCATATCATACAGACTTGCAACAGAAAACTATTATTAAATATACCTACTATCAGTCTCAGTTACCTGTTATTGGACAGTTGTACTGGCCCCATATCCACTGCCGTTGCGGAGTCCCCTACATCTATCATTCCGACTGGCTTTTCTACAGTGCCTCCCCCTGATGGAGAATGGTCTGGCCGTCTCCAGACTAGTACCTACACATGAGAGTTTCACCATGAAATGATAACGATGATTATTGTGGGACCAATTTTGAACATGTGAAGTTAACATTGTAGAACTTGAGGGTTTAATTTCTGGGTAAGATACTAAACATTTGTTTTCTGACTGTGATAATAGCAGCTGATTCATCTCTACAAAACAAATTCTACATGGGGCTGTACCAGTATCTTTCTATCCTTCTCCTCAACTCCTAGCTTCTTTAAATGAGGTGGCATTCTGAAATACTGATCATAATTTACATAGATGTCATCAATAAAATGGAAACTGATTCATCAAAATAAATTTCAATACATGATAGAATTATCTACCTTTTTGTCTCTTGCTGCCGTGATGAAGTATTTGTCATCATGTGACCAGCCACATGACCATATGATCCTTGTATGTACAGCTGATTTCTTGTCTGTGGCGACCACCTTGGAAAACAGTGGCTCTATAGAAGATAAAAGGTGAGAATTGATTAAGTACAGCAGGTTACAGGTGTCTAATGCAGAGTCTGTGTCTACCAACAGACAGAAGTCATTAGAAGTGTTAGAATATTGAATAGGATTAATGTCTTCCATCGGACACCAGCAAAATTGTCTAATGTAGAATGTGATACAATGTCTTCCATCAGACATCAGCAAAATTGTCTAATGTAGAATGTGATACAATGTCTGCCATCAGACACCAGCAAAATTGTCTAATGTAGAATGTGATACAATGTCTTCCATCAGACATCAGCAATATTGTCCTATGTAGAATGTGATACAATGTCTTCCATCAGACATCAGCAATATTGTCCTATGTAGAATGTGATACAATGTCTGCCATCAGACATCAGCAATATTGTCCTATGTAGAATGTGATACAATGTCTGCCATCAGACATCAGCAATATTGTCCTATGTAGAATGTGATACAATGTCTTCCATCAGACATCAGCAATATTGTCTAATGTAGAATGTGATACAATGTCTTCCATCAGACATCAGCAAAATTGTCTAATGTAGAATGTGATACAATGTCTTCCATCAGACATCAGCAAAATTGTCCTATGTAGAATGTGATACAATGTCTGCCATCAGACATCAGCAAAATTGTCTAATGTAGAATGTGATACAATGTCTGCCATCAGACATCAGCAATATTGTCCTATGTAGAATGTGATACAATGTCTGCCATCAGACATCAGCAAAATTGTCCTATGTAGAATGTGATACAATGTCTGCCATCCATCAGACAATGTAGAATGTGATACAATGCAACATCATATTGTCCTATGTAGAATGTGATACAATGTCTTCCATCAGACATCAGCAATATTGTCCTATGTAGAATGTGATACAATGTCTGCCATCAGACATCAGCAAAATTGTCTAATGTAGAATGTGATACAATGTCTGCCATCAGACATCAGCAAAATTGTCTAATGTAGAATGTGATACAATGTCTTCCATCAGACATCAGCAAAATTGTCTAATGTAGAATGTGATACAATGTCTTCCATCAGACATCAGCAATATTGTCTAATGTAGAATGTGATACAATGTCTTCCATCAGACATCAGCAATATTGTCCTATGTAGAATGTGATACAATGTCTTCCATCTGCCATCAGACATCAGCAAAATTGTCTAATGTAGAATGTGATACAATGTTTTCCATCAGACATGTATTGTCCTATGTAGAATGTGATACAAAATTGTCCAATGTCTGCCATCAGACATCAGCAATATTGTCCTATGTAGAATGTGATACAATGTCTGCCATCAGACATCAGCAAAATTGTCTGATGTAGAATGTGATACAATGTCTTCCATCAGACACCAGCAATATTGTCCTATGTAGAATGTGATACAATGTCTTCCATCAGACACCAGCATGATTGTCTAATGTAGAATGTGATACAATGTCTTCCATCAGACACCAGCAATATTGTCCTATTGTCAATGTCTTCCATTAGCAAAATTGTCTAATGTAGAATGTGATACAATGTCTTCCATCAGACACCAGCATGATTGTCTGATGTAGAATATTATACAATGTCTTCCATCAGACACCAGCAATATTGTCCTATGTAGAATGTGATACAATGTCTGCCATCAGACACCTGCATGATTGTCTGATGAAGAATGTGATTTTCTGTGTGTATCATCAGACAGTAATTTACTTATACCCAAGTATATAACAAAAGAGATTGCTGATGGCCAGACAGATTTAACTAACCCTTATCAGCAGAGTCCTTTTCCTTCCTTTGGTACAGAGCCCATGTGCGATCACGAGACACTGTCAGTAGAAACTGACCACTGTGAGAGAATGCTATCTGAGTAACCGTCAGTGAATGTCCTTCCAAAGTACACTGCTGTGTCCAAGTCTTACAATCATACAATATCACACCAGCAAACTCAGCCTTTGCTGCCTAAAACACAACAACATATTATCTTACCATATTTCAGAGAGTAATTTGCATATGTCTAATTTTCATGAATTTCACAACCCTATTCAAATTGCCAACATCAGAACTGTAAAATTTGCCTATGTCCAGAGTCAGTACAAGCCAATACAGTATATTGTATGATCAGTATAAATTACAGAATTACAGTACAGACATTTCAATAAATCCCTGATACTCTAATATCAGTCCCTATTAATCACTAAGGCTTACAGGGATTACTAAGTGTGTTTACCTTACAGGCTGAGGCCAGCACTGTACCCTGGGGATCACACCCCAAGGAAAAGACTTCGTATCCATGTCCGTACAGTTTCTGAGTCTCAGGCCACAAAGTATTTTGTAGAAGATGTTCCTCAGTTGGTGGTTCTGTGAAGTTACCAATGTTACAATATCACAGGTGATGAATAGAATCAAACAAAAACTCATAAAGAAACCAATTCATGGGATTAGGTATGAAAGCCATAAATTTCTTATAACAGTAAAGGCTGAGAATTTGTGAGGTGGGTGTGTCTTTCTCATCATGTGTACAGACTGGAAGTAAACCTCGGAGTACTGATTGTTTATATATAGCAGAAGGAGGTTGGTATGAAGGAAAGTCTTACCCATCATGTGTACAGACTGGAAGTAAACCTCTGGGTACTGATCATTTATATATAGCAGAAGGAGGTCTTCTTTAGGAACAGGTTGTTCCTTCTGATCATGTGTACAGCTTTGTTTGATAAACCAATCATTGGGATGGCATTTCTCTTCTTTAGGAACAGGTTGTTCCTTCTGATCAGTAAATACGGCTTTGTTTGATAAACCAAGAGCGGGCACGCTGGCTCCTTCTGGACGATTCTTAGCTTCCTGTGAGTACAACACTAATGTATAGTAATTTATTGTTTGACAGAAAGTCATTTATTTTACAGAAAACATACAGTAGCTGAATGATGAATATAATAATATAATTATCAGTGATGCAGCAAAGCCTCGGGTTATTTTGACATTGAGGAGCAATTTTTGTAAAATATAGAATAATTTTGTGTATTCTGAACTTTGACCTATTCATAAGAATTCCACTGTAGTATGGAGGGTTACTATACACCATCAGAACATGGAAACCCTCCAGTAAAATCTTACCTTTCTGATCAATAAAGACAACTATAGACATACCCACTATACTGAGGGTCTATCTCAATGTGTTAATCACATGTTAGAGAAGACAATACAGTGAAACGATGAAGTCATACATAACTAGTAAACATTTTTAGACCTACAGACTAGTTATTTCAAGATCCACTTTAAATCTCATCCCCATAATTAGAATATCAGTGAAGATTTATAGCTTTGATTTAAACATCTACAATGTCTTATTTCACTTGACCCAAGTTCTAAGGAGATATATAACATCAAGTCTAACATTTACATCACTAATCCTACATTTACATCACTAGTCAAACATTTACATCACTAGTCCAACATTTACATAGTACATCACTAGTCAAACAATTACATCACTAGTCCAACATGTACATAGTCCAACATGTACATCACTAGTCAAACAATTACATCACTAGTCCAACATGTACATAGTCCAACATTCCAACATTTACATCACTAGTCCAACATTTACATCACTAGTCCAACATTTACATCACTAGTCCAACATTTACATCACTAGTCCAACATTTACATCACTAGTCCAACATTTACATCACTAGTCCAACATTTACATCACTAGTCCAACATTTACATCACTAGTCCAACATTTACATCACTAATCCAACATTCCAACATTTACATCACTTGTCCAACATTTACATAGTCCAACATTTACATCACTAGTCCAACATTTACATCACTAGTCCAACATGTACATCACTAGTCCAACATTTACATCACTAGTCCAACATTTACATAGTCCAACATTTACATCACTAGTCCAACATTTACATCACTAGTCCAACATTTACATAGTCCAACATTTACATCACTAGTCCAACATTTACATAGTCCAACATTTACATCACTTGTCCAACATTTACATCACTAGTCCAACATTTACATCACTAGTCCAACATTTACTAGTCCAACATTTACATAGTCCAACATTTACATCACTAGTCCAACATGTACATCACTAGTCCAACATTTACATCACTAGTCCAACATTTACATCACTAGTCCAACATTTACATCACTAGTCCAACATTTACATCACTAGTCCAACATTTACATCACAGTCCAACATTTACATCACTAGTCCAACATTTACATCACTAGTCCAACATTTACATCACAGTCCAACATTTACATAGTCCAACATTTACATCACAGTCCAACATTTACATAGTCCAACATTTACATCACTAGTCCAACATTTACATCACAGTCCAACATTTACATCACTAGTCCAACATTTACATCACTAGTCCAACATTTACATCACTTGTCCAACATTTACATCACTTGTCCAACATTTACATAGTCCAACATTTACATTACTAGTCCAACATTTACATCACTAGTCCAACATGTACATAGTCCAACATGTACATCACTAGTCCAACATTTACATCACTAGTCCAACATTTACATAGTCCAACATTTAAATAGTCCAACATTTACATCACTAGTCCAACATTTACATAGTCCAACATTTACATAGTCCAACATTTACATCACTAGTCCAACATTTACATCACAGTCCAACATTTACATCACTAGTCCAACATTTACATAGTCCAACATTTACATAGTCCAACATTTACATCACTAGTCCAACATTTACATAGTCCAACATTTACATAGTCCAACATTTACATCACTAGTCCAACATGTACATCACTAGTCCAACATTTACATCACTAGTCCAACATTTACATAGTCCAACATTTACATCACTAGTCCAACATTTACATCACTAGTCCAACATTTACATCACTAGTCCAACATTTACATAGTCCAACATTTACATAGTCCAACATTTACATCACTAGTCCAACATTTACATCAGTCCAACAATTACATCACTTGTCCAACATTTACATAGTCCAACATTTACATCACAGTCCAACATTTACATCACAGTCCAACATTTACATCACTAGTCCAACAATTACATAGTCCAACATTTACATCACAGTCCAACATTTACATAACTAGTCCATTATTTACATCACTAGTCCAACATGTACATCACTAGTCCAACATTTATCATTTGTTACACAGACCTGCCAACAGTGACAAACTTACCTCTTTTTGCAGTTCTTTGTTCAGATTTCTACCGCAGATACTACAAAAATTGTCAATGAAATTTCTTGTTGCTTCAAATGTTCGGACAACTTTCTCATCAGCTCCAGTGGCCATGCTATATTTGTGGACCAATGCCACACACTGAAGGTCATAACCATGCACCTGAGGTCTTGCTATTTCATACCAGGAGGTCTGTATATCAAACACAGGAAGAAACGCCAACACATTAAGTCAGTCCTGTTTTTTCCTCATACAGTTATCTGCTTGTTTAGTTGGTATTGATCATTAAGTTTTTAGCATGTGCGAGAAAATTACTTTATTTTCACAAGATGTTACTCTCACAAACATTTGACGTTATGATAAACACCAACTAACAAGAGCAGATTATTCTGTATTATGAAAATACACATCTATGACATTATAACAGTACAACCATGCAAAGTATACCATTATATCTAGGTAGTGATTTTAAAGAAAGTTTAGTCTCAGCTTCTTATTGAATATCTCCAAAAGCATTTTCTTTAATTATAATTGCCTTGAAAATAAAGTAAAACTTTAACTGATTTAATGTACACGTAAGACAACAATACAGAGGTCATTTGTGGTAATTTGAACTATTCATTAACAGGTGTAAAATGTAATCATTGAGGTTTTACTCAGACTTAGAGATTTCAATAGTCTTGGTGCGGTCAAAGGTCTGTCACAGACATTTTGGTCCATGTGATCCCTTTACCATGGGAGGTAATGTTCCTTGTTTTAGTTTCTGTGTATGATGGGAAGTTGTATGCTTAATAGTACTTAATTAACAAATTATTATCCATTATCATTAGTAGAGAGATACTTAATGTTGCCATCAAGTTGACACTGATTGTTGTCATGGTCAAGTTGACACTGATTGTTGTCATGGTCAAGTTGAGTGACCGTTGTTGTAGTCAAGTTGACATTGACTCACCTCTTGTCCAGCTTTGACCCAAGGTGCATGAAGCCTTGTGGTCTGGTCTAGGCTTACACTGACCACATACTGACCGTTGCTGGGATCCCAAGACAAGTCCTGGACAGCAGAAAAATGACCACTTGAAGTGACAAGTGGCTTCCATGTCTCCTTAACCTTGGTCAAAAGATACAGATGTAATAACTCGACAAAATGATCTGTGACAAGTTCATGGCATAGACAAAAAATACAGCTGTAATAACTCGACACAATGATCTGTACACAGGGACGTCGTGACAAGTACATGGTATAGACAAAAAATACAGCTGTAATAACTCGACACAATGATCTGTACATAGGGATTCTGTGACAAGTACATGGCATAGACAAAAAATACAGCTGTAATAACTCGAAACAATGATCTGTACACAGGGACGTCGTGACAAGTACATGGCATAGACAAAAAATACAGCTGTAATAACTCGACACAATGATCTGTACATAGGGATTCTGTGACAAGTACATGGCATAGACAAAAAATACAGCTGTAATAACTCGACACAATGATCTGTACATAGGGATTCTGTGACAAGTACATGGCATAGACAAAAAATACAGCTGTAATAACTCGACACAATGATCTGTACATAGGGACGTCGTGACAAGTACATGGCATAGACAAAAAATACAGCTGTAATAACTCGACACAATGATCTGTACATAGGGATTCTGTGACAAGTACATGGCATAGACAAAAAATACAGCTGTAATAACTCGACACAATGATCTGTACATAGGGACGTCGTGACAAGTACATGGCATAGACAAAAAATGCAGCTGTAATAACTCAACAGAATGATCTGTACATAGGGACGCTGTGACAAGTACATGGCATAGACAAAAAATACAGCTGTAATAACTCGACACAATGATCTGTACATAGGGATTCTGTGACAAGTACATGGCAAAGACAAAAGATACAGCTGTAAGCACTCGACACAATGATCTGTACATAGGGATTCTGTGACAAGTAAATGGCATTAGTTGTTATCATTATATAGTATCATATAGTATATATTTACCATCAGATGGTATTACTAGGTTGTAACCTTGTCTATTATCAGCCCATGAACTGCTAATGGCAAAATTATATTGAAATTATTTAAAAGAAATTGAGGGAAAGGGGCTTAATAATGAGGACAAAGATTGAATCAAGTATTATACCTTGTCATAAGACCAGTGGTGAAAGGCACCCTGGTAACCATGAGCAATGATAGCGTCTCCATGAGGACTGAACATGCCACCATAAAAACCGAGTGTGTTACCACCAACTTCTCCAACTCGCACCTACAAACAGACAGATCAAGTTGAAAAAATTCAGCCAACACCTACAAACAGACAGATCAAATTCAGCCCACATCTACAAGTGGGCAGATCAAGTTAATAAAATTCAACCCACACCTACAAACAAATCTTTACAGAATTGACAAAACATAATAAATACACCTGAATTTGAGTTTTTTAGCAATTGTTGCACTTCTTATTAATTGTTTATTATAAACAACATCTATGAACAGTTATCTTCAATTTATTTATTAATTTCAATGATTTCATAACTTCTGAAGTGAAAATGTTTTTTAATGTTCAAAAACCATGAAAACCGTGTTGAAACAAAAATGTTTTAAACGAAAGCTATCTATAATGTAGGACAAATAAAACACTGAGAAGTCTTGTAAATCTGAGGCAGTCCAAGGTGTTCACAACCTGATGAACTTAGTATTAGGAATTCTAATAACACTACTATGACCTCCTCACCTCCTCTACCCACACTCCAGTGTCATGGTCAGGTTTCCATAAGATCATGGTTTTGTCCATTGATGCTGAGAGAAGACGCATGGGCTGGTGGTATCCTGTATCTGATACACAAAACATGGGTCAAGGTCATGTAATATACTTAATTATCTATCCAACCATAAAAGTAAAAATATCATGGAAACAGATGTAAATGTCAGATCATGTAAGTGAAAGACAACAATCTTAGGTAACAAAACAAACATCAAGGTACCTGGTAGTGTAGGTCAAAGTCAAGGTCAAGTTACGCTTGAGTTAAGGTCTTAATATACACAGATAAAGTTTACAATATACACAGGACAAATCTCTATCACAAAATATGGAACAATGTTGAAATTATTTACCCATTTTCTTTGGAGGCTGCCAACGGACACTGTATATCCAATTTTCATGGCCACTAAGGACTGAATCCAAACTGAGGGCAAAGGTCATGGGGCCACCTGTATCACACAAACCAGCTCTTCAAAATTCATAGTACATACAGTAAGATGTTAAAGATATTCATTTCCCTTCACTACTATAAAAAGTGACTTCTCAAAATCAATAGCATGCCAAGATAAGGAAGTAACGTTAAAGTATCATGGTAGCTTTTCTCTATAGAAAGATTTCTCACCATGTATCTCCTCACTTGTTCCCCAAAATCATATTCATTTACTATTGTCCTGGAACTTCCTTGTTTATGTGGACAAACTACTAAGTCATCACTTTAAATGTTAAATTTGATACAAAAATGCCGTAAGTTTATCCTTATTTCATAAACTGACAAAGCTTGTCCAACTTGTCAGAACGGCCAAGGTATTCACATGCATCAATCTGTATACATTTAACTCACTTTCCTGAAATATGTACTCTTATAAAAAAAAATCTAAATGTACCTGAACTGTATATACATGTACCTGTAGTGAAATTAAAGACAACCACATATACTCAGAGAGTTGGAATCAAATCTGTATAACTGTGCTTCAGTCAAAATCATTTGTAAAAAAGATAATCCCCTAATAAAGCTATGTATATCTAATTGTGCTGCAGTCAGTGGTTCTCACCTGTACCCTTAAAACTGAATGTGTTCTCTCGCATTTTTATTTCTTCATCAATTGAGAGTTCCTTGACCATTCTGACCACCTCATCACCAGCTTCCCGTTGTGAAATTCTCCAAATCCTGATAAAGTGATCTTGCGCTGCACTGGCCAGAAGTAAGTCCCCTTTGTCTGTAAATACATATTGTGTACTGTTTATATTTTTAAGATTTAACTTCTACAAATAAGTAGTGGTATGTTAAAATATGTTATAGATTTTTTACCGTTTTATTTCATACATGGGCAAATTTAGTACAGTTCAGTAAGTACAGCAGTTAAGTAGGTACAGCAGTTTAATAGGTACAGCACCAGACTTTTCAATGTTATGTGGAGATCCAAGGTAAGTGGTTCAATTCATGAGGGCAAGTTGTGTTTTTCAGGGAACTAATATCAAACCCTAGATCATTATTGTGCTGTTGTGGTTGTCTCCATGGGTAAGACACTTTCCTCAAATTGCTTTGAACAGCAAGGTAGACTGTCCTCCTGTATGTTGTACAGTGAGGTAGTCAGTCCTCCCATATGTTGTACAGTGAGGTAGTCAGTCCTCCCGTATGTTGTACAGTGAGGTAGTCAGTCCTCCTGTATGTTGTACAGTGAGGTAGTCAGTCCTCCTGTATGTTGTACAGTGAGGTAGTCAGTCCTCCCATATGTTGTACAGTGACGTAGTCAGTAACTTCTAAAATGTGACCCTGACTCAAAATTATCCTGGTTGTTCAAGAAGCAATAAAAACAACTGACTAACCATTATGTCTATAAGAAGACTGGATACAGGGAGAGTTTCCATGTGAAGCAGTTTTTAAGGCAGTGAACAAGTATAACATTGATATAACTGGGAGAGACATGATAATGTATGGCTGATGTCAGACCATAGTATTAACGCTAACTGGATAACTTTTGCCACAGATAAACACTTTCACCCATTTGTTCTTATTCTTATGTCATGAGGGCAAAAATAAAAGGTTGGCTAAAGTTTAATGTGAAAACTAAAACCGCTCTGGACAACAGTATGCAGATTTCTGAGAGGGTAAATGTTTGCTTGTATACAACAGTAGGATTTCAAGTGATACCTGATATGTTCTGTATCTATTTTCAACAATACAAATCCTCTAAGCACCCATGTTTGTCAGATGTTCAACTGTTATTTTTAAATTTGATTAAGTGATACTGATAAGTCTTCCAAATGATTTACAGATACAACAATATATCAAGTTTTTATTAATTGATTTTGTTTCTGGAAAGTTGCCATATCAACATACACAAGGATATTACAATAAGAGAGAGAATGAGAAATGGAAAAGTCTTTACCATCTGTTGTAAAGTCCACTGCCCTGATCCAGTCCTCGTGACCTTGTAAACTGATGACCTTTGTAAACTGTTGAAAAAGAAAATAATTAACTATTTAATGTAATAGTTTTTTTTTTATTCAAAAGAAATGAAGAAAACTATCACTATATTGATGAACTAAGAATTTTTATTCAGTTGAAATTTAATCTCTTCTATATAATTTTACAATAGTAGGCTGACTAAAGGGCCAGTGTTAGATAATGGTGACCACATACAATTGAATACAGACAAAGACTTGGTGTGTAATCTCTTTACACCATTACCTGATCTTCTTGGAGCACATAAAGGTGAATTTTCTGGTCATCACAGCCACAGGCCAGCACTGGTACTGAGGTAAAAGTAGACATGTATGACTAAGGACATTTACATCAAACATCTGTAATGGGCTGTAAGTCCTATTGTACATAGAGGCTGGAATAATTTTCACTACTCCTTCCACTTATATTAATAATGATAGTGTTTGAGATTTCCTCATAATGAAGCTTCGTATAAACTTTCCTGACAATTAGAATCTGACAAATGTTTAATGCTGATCATAACTCTAAAATGATTGGAAGGATAATAGTATTTACAAAACATTTACACTTGGTGGTATGTAAATATACACCTGTGTATGTTGAGTGAAGTATATTTACATCTGTATATTTTGAGTTACATGTAAGTATATTTACACCTGTATATTTTGAGTTACATGTAAGTATATTTACACCTGTATATTTTGAGTTACATGTTAGTATATTTACACCTGTATATTTTGAGTTACATGTAAGTATATTTACACCTGTATAAACAGATGTAAGTTGATACATGCCTGTTCATATCCAACTTACTGTGTGATTTAGGGATAACTGTTAATGCCACATCCAGGGCAAACCCTGAACCATATGAAAGTGTCTGTAACAAATTGTAGTCTGAAAAAAAAAAATTCAAATTCTATTTTACCAGACAAATGAAATAATCATACAATTCTATAAAACATGAAAATTTACACTTGGGTGAAATTTTTATCACATAAGCAGAAGTCATTTACCTGCATAAATTTCCCCATGTGTATGAATTTATGGCAAATTACATGGGGGTACATATATATATCAAATATACATTAGGTATATCCTCCATGGTCCACTATGCCTCTCAGGTAGAAGACATGGAAGAAAATCCCTGGTATTGCTGGGGACCACTTTCAGTTGCCGACTATATATATATAATAGATAAATAAAGCCACCCTCTTCTTGGTCTGTCAGATGTCTCCTAAACAAAACACATCAGAGAAACCACTCCTGATCTGTGAAGGGTGCCCCACGATTAGTAGCTTCTTGTGACATGAAATAGCAGAGATATTTTATCCCCATCTCTAGCATGAGTCTCAGTTGTTTAAGGCTATCAAGGTGTTTGTTACTATGATGAGAAGGTATATGATTTTGGTTTAAGTAACTTACCATCATCACCTTTCCTTCTCCATATCTTCACCTGTGAATCTGCAGATGTTGTCACCACATAGGTATCCGACAGTCCATCTTCAGCAGGAACAGTCAGCGCAGCCACAGAGTTGATTGGACCAGTGTGTCCTTTCAATGTTGCAATGGATTTATACTAGAAAAGGGAGATAATCAAATTTCATAAGATTTAATGTTAAACAATAATTAAGATTCTGCACCCAGTTATATTTTATAAGGCAAGACTTTTTATATGTATTGCCTCCAGTGAATATCAAACTTAGCTTATTGTCTAAACAAAATAGCATTACTGCATATAGAAATGATGAATATCCTTGTGTATTTTATTACAGTATATTTTTGCCTGTACATAAAAATGTCAAATCTGCTGCAGATATATGTATCTAGTCACAGGTATAACTCCTCAGCATGCTGCTATCATGAAACCTTAGACAGAACACTGTTTCACCTTTATAATAAGTACATAATATCGTGTCCTTGTCCATCGATATACGTGTGTAATATCTATGTGCAGAGCTTTCAATAAGATTCAATGGAATATATACAAAATAGACCTAACAGCCTCAGGTAACGTTTCCTAGCAGCTGATTACAAAGTTATTAACATTTTTTCACAGTAAAACTGGTAACATTTTTGCAATAGATAAGAAATTGTATTACCTATTAGCTAGAACTAATAAATCAGCTGCATTTAGATGGTATTGTTTATGCTAACGTACCTTAATTCTAATAGTGAACTTGACCTTACCTGACCTTGCTGTTTCTGCCACACAATGGCAGTGGTGTCAACTGAACCAGATACAAGACATTCATCTCCATCTGTGTCTAAACATAAAATAGTACAAATATTTATGTGTATCTATGTGACCAATCAATACTGAGGTAACATCTCTGTTTTTGTATCATTATCTGGAAGCAAAATTTGATAAGGAGTTTTAACTTCCTCTAAAAAACGATACATATATTAACCTAAATGTCTACATCTACTCTCTAAGTTACTGACAGATTTTGCTTTATTGATGATGATTTTCATCATCCAAATAACATTTCATAACAGCATCCTGATCCAGAATCAGCAGAGAAGAAAATGCCATATTAAAGTTGTATTTGATAAGAAAATCTTGATCTGTCTGTATGTGCACTTTGATACAGTGGCTTAACAAATACATTTACATTACATGAATAATAGGTGTGTCAAAACACACTCAAAAGTGATTGTTCCCCAAGTTTTCCATATATGTGAAAAAAGTGAATACAAGACTGAAATGTTTGAAATTATAAAATGAATAGAAATCTACAACATTCTGTACGAGTTATTAAATCTAAAGACAACTAACACAAATAATGACAGAGTGTTTCCAACTCACTTGATTTCATCAGGTCAACCTGACATAGGCCATACCATGATGACCTATATAAATCCTTAAAATGCTACAATCACCTGATATTTTTTTTTATCAGTAAATGTATTTAAAAGCTTCAAAATCAATTTTTGGACCTAATATGGCTGTAATAATGTTCAAACATGACATAAAAATTATGTTAACGCCAACATTTGTGATAACTATTCCACCTACTTAACCTTTTGAAGCAGGATGATGTTGAGTTCACTTCTACTACAATAATTTAACTATACAATAGAATTGATTATAAGGTCTTTTTACCTGATGACCATTTTGAACACCCTGTCATGCTTGACATTGAATGCCATCACCAGATATAATTTGACAAGAGATTGTCAACACTTCTGATAGTCACTTTTAAAAAATTGTTTCTACTTCAGCCTTCTACTAAATACTAACACAAACCTGTGATGTCTGCTTTTCTCACCCACGTCACACAATTAATTTTGTTATTGTGGCCATTCAAAGTACACAGCACTCGAGCCACACGGTCTTGTCCCTGAGAAAAACAATAATAGTGTCTACATGTTATATATATTTATAACAACTAGAGTGTTGATTTTATTATAACACAAAAGAAATTGTTTACACTCCAATTCATTTGCACAGGACCTCTCGTGCTACAACTAGTGTGCATCATGTTTTGCCTTTCACCTAGCCGACCAGAGATATTTTTAGGCAGTCCTAGAATAATGAGCAATTTATATATATATATATATAAATATGATACAGTATTTACAAGCAAAGATTAAAGTTACAGTATTTGTCAGGTTCCAATAACCCTACATTCTACACAAAGTTCACAATATTTTCTGGAAATTAAATTCTTAATCTGACTCAATATATCTAATTAGCTATTTGGTCAGCACTGTGATGCATCCTTAGAAACCTAGGAATATGTTTTTTTAAGTCAAGATTCTTGGTGGGAGGGGGTAGCTGTATTTATACGTCATAGATTCTCAGACTATAATATGACCGAGGCAGGAGGCCAGATCGATTACAAAACGTTTTTCCAACTAATTCCTAAGGAACATGTAGACATCACTAGTTACATGGAATGAATGTTTATCTTATTTACATACTAGTGGCATGATATAATTGTATAAATACATAATTTGAAAACGGTATGGAGTCTTGTCAACAGACAGACACGTGTAGTCGATTAGTTATTGTTTTAATATTCTAACAAAACAGTAAATGGATTACACATACCTGTGGTTGGTAAATGGCGATGGCATGACATGTTGAATAACAAACTAAACCATTTGGGCCCCAATCGGCGCTGTGTGGACTTCTATTACACCCACAGCTGATGTAACATGTGGAAACTGCCGCCATACTGTTTCAAGTTCTTTCGAGTCTCTCTAATTGGTTTTGCTTTCGCTGCGTGAAAAACCCTAGAGAAGTCACGAATGTTGCAATATACTTTCATTTTGCATTTATGAAATAACGACGGACCTACCAATCTTTTCTCTAAAATACTTAACTGTCAACGTTTTTAAATACCATCTATATGTGTGACTCGTTATGTGCCTAATATGTTTATAAACATTCAACGTGTCAAATAACTGGTTTGACCTTATAAGCGTAGAGACTTACGAATCAATTCAGACAGCTGCACTGTCCCAGACTGGGAGCGCAACGACAGATAACTCGTGCGACCGTAAGCAAAGAAATTCATGCACTCTTGTAAAAGTGTACCTTATATAGTTTACAATCCGGTCAATATATTAATACAAAGACTAGAGGTTGACTTTTTGACGATCTAAAATCAGTTAAAAATAAGACGTCATGGATAGCCGAGATAAGAAAATATAACACTTCCGGCAATATCATCATATTGAAAAAATGTATTGATTTTTGATATACCGAAATAAATTATGAGGTAGAAATCAAGTGCTTTCTGGTGTTGAAGTGCCTGATAAACACCTTCTACATAGAACTCAATTGTTTGATACTTTTGCAACACACTAAAGACGGTTCCCTTCCCTTACTTATACACTAAAGCTGGTGTCCTTCCCTCACTTACACACTAAAGCTGGTGACCTTCCCTCACTTACACACTGAAGCTGGTGACCTTCCCTTACTTACACACTAAAGCTGGTGACCGCCCCTCACTTACGCACTAAAGCTGGTGACCTTCACTCACTTACACACTAAAGCTGGTGACCTTCCCTCACTTACACTTTAAAGCTGGTGACCTTCCCTTACTTACACACTAAAGCTCGTGACCTTCACTCACTTACACACTAAAGCTGGTGACCTTCCCTCACTTACACACTGAAGCTGGTGACCTTCCCTTACTACACACTAAAGCTGGAGACCTTCCCTTACTACACACTAAAGCTGGTGACCTTCCCTCTCGTCACTTACACACTAATGCTGGTAACCTTCCCTAACTACACACTAAAGCTGGTGACCTTCCCTCTCGTCACTTACACACTAAAGCTGGTGACCTTCCCTTACTACACACTAACGCTGGTGACCTTCCCTCACATACACACTAAAGCTGGTGACCTTCCCTCACATACACACTAAAGCTGGTGACCTTCCCTTACTACACACTAAAGCTGGTGAACTTCCCTTACTACACACTAAAGCTGGTGACCTTCCCTTACTTACACACTAAAGCTGGTGACCTTCCCTCTCGTCACTTACACACTAAAGCTGGTGACCTTCCCTCTCGTCACTTACACACTAAATCTGGTGACCTTCCCTTACTACAAACTAAAGCTGGTGACCTTCCCTCACACACTACACACACACTAAATCTGGTGACCTTCCCTTACTACAAACTAAAGCTGGTGACCTTCCCTTACTACACACTAAAGCTGGTGACCTTCCCTTACTACACACTAAAGCTGGTGACCTTCCCTCTCGTCACTTACACACTAATGCTGGTAACCTTCCCTCACTACACACTAAAGCTGGCGACCTTCCCTCTCGTCACTTACACACTAAAGCTGGTGACCGTCCCTTACTATACACTAAAGCTGGTGACCTTCCCTAACTACAAACTAAAGCTGGTGACCTTCCCTCTCCTCACTTACACACTAAAGCTGGTGACCTTCCCTCACATACACACTAAAGCTGGTGACCTTCCCTTACTACACACTAAAGCTGGTGAACTTCCCTTACTACACACTAAAGCTGGTGACCTTCCCTCACTTACACACTAAAGCTGGTGACCTTCCCTCTCGTCACTTACACACTAAAGCTGGTGACCTTCCCTTACTACACACTAAAGCTGGTGACCTTCCCTTACTACACACTAAAGCTGGTGACCTTCCCTCTCGTCACTTACACACTGAAGCTGGTATCCTTCCCTTACTACACACTAAAGCTGATGACCTTCCCTCTCGTCACTTACACACTGAAGCTGGTGACCTTCCCTTACTACACACTAAAACTGGTGACCTTCCCTTACTACACACTAAAGCTGGTGACCTTCCCTCTCGTCACTTATACACTAAAACTGGTGACCTTCCCTTACTACACACTAAAGCTGGCGACCTTCCCTGACTACACACTAAAGCTGGTGACCTTCCCTCTCGTCACTTACACACTAAAGCTGGTGACCTTCCCTCTCGTCACTTATACACTAAAGCTGGTGACCTTCCCTTACTACACACTAAAACTGGTGACCTTCCCTTACTACACACTAAAGCTGGTGACCTTCCTCACTTACATACTAAAGCTTTGACCTTCCCTCAGTTATACACTAAAGCTTGTGACCTTCCCTCACTTACACACTAAAGCTGGTGACCTTCCCTCTCGTCACTTACACACTAAAGCTGGTGACCTTCCCTCTCGTCACTTATACACTAAAGCTGGTGACCTTCCCTTACTACACACTGAAGCTGGTGACCTTCCCTTACTTACACACTAGAGCTAGAGTACTTACAATTAGAAACGAGATTCGACAGGCTATCACGTAACTAAGGAAGCGAAAAGGGGACTTTTGACCAAGATGCTAGATCGATTTGCCAATATTCGTCCACAACCATATTACTGTTCAGACACTTAAGCTTTCGCAAAAATATTTTTCTCAAAAACATACTTTCTAGTGTAGAAAGAATCTAGATTTACATTCAGAATATATGGAACTGTGGAAAATATGAACAGAAGAAAGATGGACATGGACATCCCTCGGTGATAAAGACGGGTATATAGCGGTATTTTCCAACCAGAAGAGATCTAGAGTGTGTGATTAAAAGTGGTAAAACGACCTAATTGAACACTATAATAGAATTATGAAAACCGAATCTTCTTTTCTCTGTTTCCTCTAGTAAGATCATGCCATTGTTTTATTTTTATTTTCAGTTAGAATTATTATTATGTTAACTTGTTGGTGCATTTTCCCCCTGTATACTTCAGAGTTAATGAATGGCTGACGTTTTTTTTTTAAGTGCAGTTTTCTTTGTATATAAACCTGTCTCATTGGATAAATAAACATAAAAAAAAGAAAAAGATGGAAAAACTAAAATTTTTCAAATTACGTGTATTGTCGTGTTTTCTCACATCCATATTCTATAAATCCTATAAATCTATAAGATACAAGTTATCTCGAGCTGATTAATACAGATCGTCATAGTAAACAATTTGTCAACACAAAAGTCTATTACGCATAAATAAGGGAAAATGTCTTACTTTTTTCTGAGACCTTGAGATGATGGACAAAAGTACCGTCCCTCTTGTCCAGATCGCTGAATCATGACTCCACATGTGATTATACCTCCTTTTATTTGTTTTTCTTATTCACTTTCATTTCAAATTATATAATTTACATCATTACTCTTAAACTTTGTTAACTTTGTTCTCGTTTGGCTTTGCCTGTTATTCAATACACATTGACTGTACCATCTTTGTCAATAAAATTTGTTGAAATGAAATTATAACCATCTTCTCATTCACGACAATAACACTGTCAAACACGAAGCAGCGAAGGGGAGATCTGGTTTGATACTTTCAACCTCTACGAGATTAATTAAGCATGTTCTTAACCCCTAAATATGGTATTTTTTTTATGCAGAAATACTTGTCCATGTTTGATTTTTTTTATGCAATGCTGTGTTGTAATTGATTATAGTGACGATCTGATTGGATATCAATATTTTTTTGTAAATTTATGTGATATTGTCTTCTTTTCTTATTTTCTTTAGATATTTACAATTTATTAAAAACATCAAGAGCTTGTGTGAACAGATCATCATTTTTTATTCATGGTCGTAGAATGAACAAGATGTGAAAAGAGCTTTATAGTAAACAATTACGGTGTAACAAAATGACTTTATATATAAGTACGTTTGTGGATTCACATTTGGCAAATGTGACAATTATTAAACTCAATTAATTATAGAACTAATTACATTCGACAAGGGTTTATTGTATTTTTAACTGACTCCCGCACTGGCTATTCTTTATCAAACGCATGATGGATTGTGAGGTCATCAAGTTGAAATAAGTCGGTAAATACCTAGAACTATGTAGTGCGAGGTTAACCAAGTCGGTAAAATCACTTGGAGCAAAGAGGTAGTGGACTTAAAATTCTCCTCTCAACAGAGTTGGTAAATTAACAATCTGATAGTATTGTTCTAAGTCTTTCTTTGTCGATTGCGTATTGAGTGAATGACACTTCTCATATATGGTCTAATGTTAGATCCATGATGTACGCACACCGATAACAGTGCATTGTATATAAAGTAATTTTTTTAATTATTATATATGTCTACACGTTACAGTAACTCAGAGGCTAAAGCGGTCAATGTCTGTGATACGTTTTATTTTAGATAAATGAACTTTTAGAAAAACACACATGGTGATAGCACCGTTAACATCAATTGATGAAGTATATGACAGATAACGAGTAAGACGGTAATCGTACTGTGTCTTTTATAGACTCCTCAGGCTAGTCAGAAAAGTCATCAAAAATAGAAAGATAGAAACTTATGTATAAATTCGGAAAAAGTGAAGAATCTTAATCTTTATGGCTTTATCAATTCTATAAATTTTGGTATCGAACAATCTTAAAAGCATGTGTGTTCCTGATTTTTTGTTATTAATAGTTTTGTTTTATCTAAGGCTGAAAGGTTTTAAAAGAAATTTAATCAAATACAAATCATGTACCAAATTATTTTAATTGTAACATCAAAATATAGGTCATTGTAGGACTAGCCCTTGATACGAATCTAGATAAAAGACCAAGGAAATGAATCAGAAAAAACAATGTAAAATGAGATAATAATTTTTATCAGTATCATTATTTTGGAAGCTTAACAACATCAAACGAAAGTGTGTAATTTGAATCATCAACTAGACTTGCGACGTGGCGAACAGATTTACGACAAACTTTGGGGTTAATACTTATACTTACAAAGCTTATATTACCGCCCAGCTGAAACAATTTAACAGGTGGAATGACACTACATATTGACTACATAATGAGTATATTAATTTCTTCTAAAGAATTTCAGATGTTATTTAATTAACAGAAACAAATTGGCGTCAAGCAGCATCGTTGTTGGCATTTATGTTGTTCCGTAGCAGAAATTTGTAGTCTGTGCCAGCATTTTAAAAATCTAACACCATATTCTACCACATAAGATTACCCTGACGAATTTTATAAACTGCAAATTTATTATGATATAAATTAACCTGTATTCGCCGTGCTAATTTCTCGAGAACATTTGCCTACTAATCACACAGCTGATGTATATTCCATTAAGGATGACTTATTACTTCTGCTACTTGTTGAACACGTGGTACTTAGACCGATCTAATCGTATGATCGTCACTATATCAGTACACATCGTATTCAAGAACACATTGATGTGAGTTGTATCCTTTCATTATATCATTTTCGTATGGCAATAAAACCCAGAAAATAATACTTCATATGGATCCCCACAAAAGGAATAACACAATTCTTTAAATATCAGCTGATCAAACTGCTTCGACATTCATACCTTTTTCTTCATGTCATAAGAATCGACATATTTATGAATTTATCGCAATAAAAACATATTGAATATTCATATATGCTTGTATTAACATCTGTGCAGATAGATAATTCAAAAATAAGCATTAAGGACCCTTTTGGTCCATCATGATGGTCTGTAACTCGTGGCGGTGGCATGCATTTGTTTATACACTTTAGAGTGAGGCTTCAGTTTTTTTGGTCCAGCGTAACCTCGTTGAGATTTAGTGTTACTATTCGGGGATAGAACTCGCATCGCATCAGAAAACTGCTGTGAAGATTGAGGTATGAAAGTTTTCCTTTTAGTTAAAACTTTAGAACCACTCATCTTTTCTGACATTTTTCTGTCAGCAGACGACACTTCCCCGAATACAACATTTGATGGGAGAAATTCTGTGAGATCAACATCGTCAGATACAGACACAAAACTCTGATCAGATTCTAAGCTAACAGTTCCATCAGAATCATAATTATCCGTCTCTTTTTGCCAATTGTCCGTGTCATCTTCACGTATTAGGTCGTTTTCTTTGGGTTCGTCGTCATCATCACCTTCCTCTCCTACACTCGCAAGCTTAACAGCGATTTCCATATCAGCATCATTAGGCTCACGACCGAGGTATTCAGCCATGACGGCCTTGACCTTATCAGTATTTGATGTCATCAGCGTTAACTGCTTTTCAAGATTTTCTTTTTCGTTTTTCTTTTTGTGAACATCTGTCTTGATATCTGTGATTTTTCCTTGAACGTCGCCGACAAAATGAATAAAATTTGGACGCAATTCCAGTTCTAAAAGGAAATCTTCCTGAAGTACAGATTTCTGATACTCTAACAAACCTAATTCTATCTGTCTCTTTGTTAATTCCCTATCAAGCTTTTCTGCTCGTTTAGACAATTCCGAATGTTGCAAACTTCCCGGTGGTATGTCTGCGATTTCATCAATTGTTTTCTGTCTTTCATTAAGATACTTTGAGAATTCTTTTTGCGCTGTCTGTAGTTTGCTATCCGCTCGTTCAAAATTAGCATTTAGTTTATCAACTCTATCTTCCCTGGCTTTCAATACTTTCATTTCTTGTGCCAGTTCTGTCATATCATTTTCATGACATTTAAGCAATTCGCTAACATTGGCAATCCTTGTTTTTATTTTCTCCATGTGATTTGCATATATTTTTGTTGTAGCCTCCACGGACTGTCTTTCTTCCTCCTCGGTTGTGTGATCATCTTCTTTTTTCTCCCCCTCTTTAACAGGCTCGACTGTTTCATCATCTGGAGTTCGTGGTAATTTTCGCCGGAGAGGAAGTCGACCTTTATAAATCTTTTCTGCAATTTTGATCCATTCTCGTGCTAAATCGAGTGCTCGGTAGCATTTGATAAAAACATCGGGGACAACTCGGAACACAAGTTCAAACGGAGCACAGTGCAAATAGTGCACTACTTCGTGATGGCTGTCTTGGTCAAAATAATCCAGTTTCTGGTCTCCTTCATCCAACAACCCGGTCCATTTAGTCATCGTTTCCTCTAAATCATGAACAACATTGTGTATCCGTTTCCTGATGTTTTCTGCAGGTGTTTCTGGCTTCTTTACGGTATTTTTTGGAAGACGACTGGAGTTTTTCACTTTCTTATTTTTCCGGAGTCCGGATGACCTTGAAGAATCGGGGGATAAATTTTGTTTTTCATCGTCAGTTGGACTCTGTGTAGTTTGGGACTCTGTTGGTTCATTCGGATCATAAAAGTCTTCGAGAAGAGACCAATAAACGTTATCGTAAAAGTACGTCTTGGACTCGCGCAAGTAAGCCACATCCTTTGCGAACGTTGTGTAGTGCCGCAAGGCAACAATTTGGCGATCAGTTAATTTTCCGCCTCCTGCCTCTTTCGTTTCGAGACTTTTGATAACATCTCGTATTTGCTTTAGAGAAGTGATGTTAACAATTTTAGTGACATGTTCGTTCTTAGTGGGTATTTTCTCAGTCTTCTCCTCGGAGCTATCGTTACTTTTTGCCGACTTCCCGGAAGCTCGATCAGAGCTTTTACTTGAATTATCACTTTTAACACTTTTATTGTCTACATCCTTTGTCGAAGAACTATTGTTTTCTTCGTTATTTTCACTGTCTACATCCTTGTCAACTTCGTCATCATTATTGCCTTCGGTCGTCCCTGTCTCTTCCTCCTCTTTGGCTGCTACAGCGGCCGCTGCCGCAGCTGCCGCCGCTTCCTCTGCGGCCGTTTGAGTCCTCAGCTCCGTCGTCACAATCCTAAGAAGGTCATATACGCGATCCATGGAGAATCTAGATATGGCATGACGTATTAGCTTCTCGAAAGCCGAAAGTTTTCCAGGAAGATCTCCGCGACCAAAATAATCGTCTCCTGGCGGATTCACTACAGCCGGCTGTGTCTGAAAACATAGAGGTCAGTATTTATAACAGTATTCAATAAAAAGCCATTCCAACTTATAAACATGCCAATTACCAGATAATGATATTCAGTATTGTATAAAGTTTCCCAGAGCAATTAAGTCCAATTAAAAATATCCAGCTCTAGCTTGAAGAATTTTCCGCAATGTAAATAAGCTGAAATGTTATTTAGGTTAAAACAACATTTTATATATTTTTCACATACGTTTCTTCAAATTTGGCTTACATATATAGCCAACACCAAAAGTTTACCTTTTCATCGGAAGACATTTGCGCAAAATTACTCCGATATCTACTTAACACATACGTATATATAGAGTTAGGATATAATTAGTCTTACGGTGGTCTACCGAGTGATTGCCTTCAAATCTGATCTGACCATGTGATCGACAGATCTGCAAGATCGAATTACCGGTTCGGCTTTTTTGACGTAGTGCCATGTATTATGGATAAAGTCTAGCGAGCCTTACCTATGACAATATCTACATATCAGATATCCCGTGTGAACTGTGATAATGGTATATAGTCCGTGTGAATCTATACCTGTATGACCCGTGATGATATCGTATTTCTGTGTGATCCCGTTAAGATGAGAAATATATGTCGCGTGCCATTCAGGTTTACATTCCTGCACTGATATTCATTTAAGTTTTCAGTTTGTAAACTTCAACATGTGTCATTTGTCAAAACGAGTAATACAATGTAACAAATAATAAATAAAGCCATTTCTTCTGAAAACATATTAATATTAAGAGAAAAAGAACTATCAATGCTACTCTATTGTTGGAGGCGACTAATGTGGAATTCATGTACAAGATTCATTGCTATCATTATCAATTATTTTTGTGGACTTTGGGGACAATGTAGAAACAGTTTATTCTCGTACACAACGCTTAAGGAAAATATTCTTCCTACTCCCGTCTATATACTCTTGTTTTCAGCGTTAATTTTTCTCATGCTACTATTAATGTTGTCCCATTATAATCATTACAATATATATTCTCCTTTTTATTCATAGCAATGAGGATTTTATGGACAAAGTCATAGACATGTATAGAAACCACTATGCATACCAAAGAGCATCACACACTTCCAACTTCGTATAATTATGACGACCCTTTACTCCCTTATAATCTTAATCAGTCTGTATCTCACGAAACCATTTGCTGTGAGATTATCAGTTTCATCATCTTGCGTCTTAATAAAGTGGACAACTTCTTGAATATCGACTTTATAAACTCCGTAGTTTGGATATGCAAAGCTGTTGCTATCTATAAATGGAAAACTCACGAAAAGAAATTATAATTACATCTTTCATACAGCGCGCTGGAAAGCTCTGTTTATTTCGTTGGAGAAAAAAAATCGATTTAAGCGTTTGATGAAGAAGAGTCGGCCGTGTCCTTGATTTCCATTTCTGTGGGTAAACTCGATGGATATGATCGAGTTTCGAATAAACCTTGTACTGTTCAAGTGCAAAAATCTATAATACACGTTTTTTCCTGACTCCGGGCCAACCATGAATGGCATTTACTATTGTTGATGAATTATTAAAAGACGAATTCTAATACACCATCCGTTAGGTACTCTCCACATAGCTTTAATATTGTCTCTCTTGATAGATATTGACTGTATCGTAACTTTTAATGTGACATTTATCCGGAACACGTCCGTTGAAGTGTATACACAACTTGTTTGATTAGGTGGTGTTTTCACATTAATGCTAATAAACTTGTGGTTGTTGTAAAAGTACATCTATTATTTAAGCTTTGTTCACGAGTAGCAATATATGCGTCACTAATGGCTTTAAATCGCTTTAAATATGTACAATTATTCAGTTTATATCAAATCCTTTATAATTTGTCTTTCATCAACAATAAACTATTGATACATAATCATGTGGTCGTTTGTACCATGTAAATGTACTGGATATACATGTCTCTCCAGGAGTAAACTCTGGAGGGTCAGAATGACAAAAAATACAACCACTCTGACTTAAACCAGTTAAATTCTGTAGATCTTCTAGTTTTCATCAAGTTTCGTATAGATACGGATAGATAATTGGTAGATAAATAAGATAGTAAATGAATTAAGGGGTGCTGAGATGTTATGACTATGTTTTATGTTTGTGGGGGATTTTATATCACGATTCGCCGGATTTTTGTATCGAGTTTTCTGTTTTCTCTGTAAAAAATCGATATGAATGTTTTCGAAAGAGCTATTATCTTCTGCTTCATCAACAACTCACACATTCTCAATGGTAATCTCTATAGTATTTGTTGCAAATCCTGCCACAACAGACGTTGTTTTGTTTAAATCAATTCTATTGCAACCAAATGATCTGGATTAAGGTTATGACCAAAAACAGCAAGAAAATACCAACATGTCAGCATAATCATTATCCGAACTCAAATTCAATAAAACATGGCAAAATATGTACAAAGGGAAAGTTCAAAGATAAGAAGATCAGGTGTTCCTAGAGAGCAAGCGTCGTTTTCTTAAGTCTTTTTTATATGCTAAAAGCATTTGGAGTTTAAGCTGAGACAGCAGAGAAAAAGTAAGGAATATGGTTAGGAACACCAACGGATCTGAAATATGTCTTCAAATGGTTTATTGGAGATTGCGTGTGTGATTTTCCTCATCTTGTGTGCTTAAATATAACACTATTATACATACACATGTAACCTTCTGCTTTTCTGAAGTCCATCCCATCCCGAGATGCCCTTCTATTTTATACTACCTAGCTCTTCAGATAATTATGGCGCATTTGTTCTTTTTTTTATTTGGCTGGATGTCAGTGTTACATGGTGATTTTAGATTTCTGTGTTTTATGGTGAGTTTTATGTTATAATTCAGTGTATTTAGATGTCTATGTTTTATGGTGAGTTTTATGTTATAATTCAGTGTATTTAGATGTCTGTGTTTTATGGTGAGTTTTATGTTATAATTCAGTGTATTTAGATGTCTATGTTTTATGGTGAGTTTTATGTTGTTTCAGTGTATTTGGATGTCTATGTTTTATGGTGAGTTTTATGTTGTTTCAGTGTATTTAGATGTCTGTGTTTTATGGTGAGTTTTATGTTGTTTCAGTGTATTTGGATGTCTATGTTTTATGGTGAGTTTTATGTTATAATTCAGTGTATTTGGATGTCTGTGTTTTATGGTGAGTTTTATGTTGTTTCAGTGTATTTGGATGTCTATGTTTTATAGTGAGTTTTATGTTATAATTCATTGTATTTGGATGTCTGTGTTTTATGGTGAGTTTTATGTTGTTTCAGTGTATTTCGATGTCTGTGTTTTATGGTGAGTTTTATGTTATAATTCAGTGTATTTGGATGTCTGTGTTTTATGGTGAGTTTTATGTTGTAATTCAGTGTATTTGGATGTCTGTGTTTTATGGTGAGTTTTATGTTATAATTCAGTGTATTTCGATGTCTGTGTTTTATGGTGAGTTTTATGTTGTTTCAGTGTATTTAGATGTCTGTGTTTTATGGTGAGTTTTATGTTATAATTCAGTGTATTTGGATGTCTGTGTTTTATGGTGAGTTTTATGTTATAATTCAGTGTATTTGGATGTCTGTGTTTTATGGTGAGTTTTATGTTGTAATTCAGTGTATTTGGATGTCTGTGTTTTATGGTGAGTTTTATGTTGTTTCAGTGTATTTGGATGTCTGTGTTTTATGGTGAGTTTTATGTTGTTTCAGTGTATTTGGATGTCTGTGTTTTATGGTGAGTTTTATGTTATAATTCAGTGTATTTGGATGTCTGTGTTTTATGGTGAGTTTTATGTTGTTTCAGTGTATTTAGATGTCTATGTTTTATGGTGAGTTTTATGTTGTTTCAGTGTATTTAGATGTCTGTGTTTTAAGGTGAGTTTTATGTTGTTTCAGTGTATTTGGATGTCTGTGTTTTATGGTGAGTTTTATGTTGTTTCAGTGTATTTGGATGTCTGTGTTTTATAGTGAGTTTTATGTTGTTTCAGTGTATTTAGATGTCTATGTTTTATGGTGAGTTTTATGTTATAATTCAGTGTATTTAGATGTCTGTGTTTTATGGTGAGTTTTATGTTGTTTCAGTGTATTTGGATGTCTGTGTTTTATGGTGAGTTTTATGTTATAATTCAGTGTATTTAGATGTCTGTGTTTTATGGTGAGTTTTATGTTGTTTCAGTGTATTTGGATGTCTGTGTTTTATGGTGAGTTTTATGTTGTTTCAGTGTATTTGGATGTCTGTGTTTTATGGTGAGTTTTATGTTATAATTCAGTGTATTTGGATGTCTATGTTTTATGGTGAGTTTTATGTTATAATTCAGTGTATTTGGATGTCTATGTTTTATGGTGAGTTTTATGTTATAATTCAGTGTATTTAGATGTCTGTGTTTTATGGTGAGTTTTATGTTGTTTCAGTGTATTTGGATGTCTGTGTTTTATGGTGAGTTTTATGTTATAATTCAGTGTATTTGGATGTCTATGTTTTATGGTGAGTTTTATGTTATAATTCAGTGTATTTGGATGTCTATGTTTTATGGTGAGTTTTATGTTATAATTCAGTGTATTTAGATGTCTGTGTTTTATGGTGAGTTTTATGTTGTTTCAGTGTATTTGGATGTCTGTGTTTTATGGTGAGTTTTATGTTATAATTCAGTGTATTTGGATGTCTATGTTTTATGGTGAGTTTTATGTTATAATTCAGTGTATTTGGATGTCTATGTTTTATGGTGAGTTTTATGTTATAATTCAGTGTATTTAGATGTCTGTGTTTTATGGTGAGTTTTATGTTGTTTCAGTGTATTTGGATGTCTGTGTTTTATAGTGAGTTTTATGTTATAATTCAGTGTATTTGGATGTCTATGTTTTATGGTGAGTTTTATGTTGTTTCAGTGTATTTGGATGTCTGTGTTTTATAGTGAGTTTTATGTTATAATTCAGTGTATTTGGATGTCTGTGTTTTATGGTGAGTTTTATGTTATAATTCAGTGTATTTAGATGTCTGTGTTTTATGGTGAGTTTTATGTTGTTTCAGTGTATTTGGATGTCTGTGTTTTATAGTGAGTTTTATGTTATAATTCAGTGTATTTGGATGTCTATGTTTTATGGTGAGTTTTATGTTATAATTCAGTGTATTTAGATGTCTGTGTTTTATGGTGAGTTTTATGTTGTTTCAGTGTATTTGGATGTCTGTGTTTTATAGTGAGTTTTATGTTATAATTCAGTGTATTTGGATGTCTATGTTTTATGGTGAGTTTTATGTTGTTTCAGTGTATTTGGATGTCTATGTTTTATGGTGAGTTTTATGTTGTTTCAGTGTATTTGGATGTCTATGTTTTATAGTGAGTTTTATGTTATAATTCAGTGTATTTGGATGTCTGTGTTTTATAGTGAGTTTTATGTTATAATTCAGTGTATTTGGATGTCTATGTTTTATGGTGAGTTTTATGTTGTTTCAGTGTATTTGGATGTCTGTGTTTTATAGTGAGTTTTATGTTATAATTCAGTGTATTTAGATGTCTATGTTTTATGGTGAGTTTTATGTTGTTTCAGTGTATTTGGATGTCTGTGTTTTATAGTGAGTTTTATGTTATAATTCAGTGTATTTGGATGTCTATGTTTTATGTTGAGTTTTATGTTGTTTCAGTGTATTTGGATGTCTGTGTTTTATGGTGAGTTTTATGTTATAATTCAGTGTATTTGGATGTCTGTGTTTTATGGTGAGTTTTATGTTGTTTCAGTGTATTTGGATGTCTGTGTTTTATAGTGAGTTTTATGTTATAATTCAGTGTATTTGGATGTCTATGTTTTATGGTGAGTTTTATGTTATAATTCAGTGTATTTAGATGTCTGTGTTTTATGGTGAGTTTTATGTTGTTTCAGTGTATTTGGATGTCTGTGTTTTATAGTGAGTTTTATGTTATAATTCAGTGTATTTGGATGTCTATGTTTTATGGTGAGTTTTATGTTGTTTCAGTGTATTTGGATGTCTATGTTTTATGGTGAGTTTTATGTTGTTTCAGTGTATTTGGATGTCTATGTTTTATAGTGAGTTTTATGTTATAATTCAGTGTATTTGGATGTCTGTGTTTTATAGTGAGTTTTATGTTATAATTCAGTGTATTTGGATGTCTATGTTTTATGGTGAGTTTTATGTTGTTTCAGTGTATTTGGATGTCTGTGTTTTATAGTGAGTTTTATGTTATAATTCAGTGTATTTAGATGTCTATGTTTTATGGTGAGTTTTATGTTGTTTCAGTGTATTTGGATGTCTGTGTTTTATAGTGAGTTTTATGTTATAATTCAGTGTATTTGGATGTCTATGTTTTATGTTGAGTTTTATGTTGTTTCAGTGTATTTGGATGTCTGTGTTTTATGGTGAGTTTTATGTTATAATTCAGTGTATTTGGATGTCTGTGTTTTATGGTGAGTTTTATGTTGTTTCAGTGTATTTGGATGTCTGTGTTTTATAGTGAGTTTTATGTTATAATTCAGTGTATTTAGATGTCTATGTTTTATGGTGAGTTTTATGTTGTTTCAGTGTATTTGGATGTCTGTGTTTTATAGTGAGTTTTATGTTATAATTCAGTGTATTTGGATGTCTGTGTTTTATGGTGAGTTTTATGTTATAATTCAGTGTATTTGGATGTCTATGTTTTATGGTGAGTTTTATGTTGTTTCAGTGTATTTGGATGTCTGTGTTTTATGGTGAGTTTTATGTTGTTTCAGTGTATTTGGATGTCTGTGTTTTATGGTGAGTTTTATGTTGTTTCAGTGTATTTGGATGTCTGTGTTTTATGGTGAGTTTTATGTTGTTTCAGTGTATTTGGATGTCTGTGTTTTATGGTGAGTTTTATGTTGTTTCAGTGTATTTGGATGTCTGTGTTTTATGGTGAGTTTCATGTTGTTTCAGTGTATTTGGATGGCTGTGTTTTAGAGCTATGTTGACTAGGTTTTTCTATATGTTCTGTGTGTTGATGGGTGTTTATAAACTTAACCATAAATAGACTAGAACCATTCTGTAACGCACAGATACAGGAAGTTAAAAAAATGTTTCTAAACATATTCTGAAAATGTTCACACTATCATGTCGGCCAATTATGGTTGTAGCTCTGATGTTCCAAGGTCTAAGATCTATCGGATTTTAAAATTTCAATTAAAAAAATGCATGGTTTCTTTTGTTTATAGTCAAGCCGACAGTGAAGAGTGATCACTGTGTGTCCTGACCTTGTACGCTTTATAAAGAGAAGTTCCTTTTAAAAGTCTACGATGGATTATCACGGGTCTTTTACAGTTATTTAAAGATATTCAACCCTGCATTACAAATACTTCTATACTCGATATGCTTACTGTCAAACCTTGTAATAATTACCGTATTTATCTTAATACCGCAAAGTCTTGTATACACCTATGTTATCTTTACAGGGGAGGGCAGAATGGGAAAGAAGGAGCGAGAACGTTTCGATTACAAATGCAAATCGAGAGAGGTTATGGTTTTCAAAGTAATGTGTACACATTTGTATCAGATATAGATTGCAGTTTAATGATAAGAAAGATCATGCTATTGTCAAAAATGTTTATCTGTTCATACATGTATGTTAAACCTCAGGAACCAACATGTATCTGAGGCTTGTGTATGTGTATGCTTGTTTATATAAACTTTGGCCTATTTGTTTTTTTATGGGGACAAATATCGCTCTATACAGTATAGGTAAAAATGTTGTATGTAAGGACCCAAGTAGAAAACACGGAAAAGTAATTTTCCTTTATCAGTCTATGCCTCCTTGGCGTTTAAAAAAATCCAGCTTTGCTCCTCTGCTGCCTAACGATAAAATGATATTCAGAGGAATCAACATATCATTTCTTCTGATGTCTACACTTTATAACACGACCCCTCTCTAACTAAATGTTGAGAACATTCTAACCAAATTTACAATACACTAGAAACATAATGGCCATCCCATTATAGATACACGTTCATGATATATCATGTGTCAACATACCTTTGTTAAGTGATTAAACAATATGTTTATAGGAAACGAAATGGAATTTAGATTATTTTCACAAAGGTTTTAGTAATGGGCCACTACGAAAACACAAACGTGTCTTGTCTGTTGGTTTTTTTCATTTGAGAACATTGCTTACTTGTTATCACTTTAGATTTACACTGATGTTATTTTGTCTGAGGAACAGTGCTTTCCAAACTGTACACGCGTGTTGCGTTGTTTGCTTGCGTCAAAATTTGATTGACATAACAACACAATAATCACCTCTACAAACATGGCAATACATTTATGTGTGAATGTCGATTCGTTCATTTTTGGCCCACACTGCCACTGTAGACAATGGAATACTTACACACATTAAAGACGTTTATACCAGATTATGTCTAAAAATATATTTCACTTACGTGGTTTGTTCTTAATTCATTGGCACGTGATCAAAAGTGAAGCATATTTATGATACCTATACGATACGCTTACAAACAGGATCATGGTTCTAACCTCAATTAAATCATAATTGAATATAGCTGTGTTTTAAATATGATGCATGTTTGCTTGATTGAAATGCATGTTCGCTTGATTGAACATTGAATATGCATTTTATAAGTCATCAATGCAAAAACATGATAAAATCTGCTTCGTTATTATTGTTATTGTTTTGTGATTTCTTTATTCATTTTTATTTTAACTAAAGGATCAAAACCTTAAAAAATAGGATGATAAACAATTACGACAATATGAACACTTTTTTTCATGAAAAAATCAATTGAACCATGTCGCTTACGTGCGTATAAACCAGGTCATATGGCAATTAACTAATAAAGATACATGGGTACAATAGTCAGAACACGTGCTTAACGAAAACAATAATATATATAAATATGTCAAGATGAAGATATCGAGGAAATGTAAACAATGGGCGATCGTAAGATTGTAAGTCATAGCGGTCTTATCCTATTATTTGAGAATACGACACTAGTTTATCGTTCTATGGTCATATAATTGTTATAAGTACATTTATTAAATAATACATACCTTTATTATCTTTTCTATATCGCTGGATACATCGTTCGTCAGCATCTTTACTAGTTCTGATCAGGCTTCAATCAAAATATAAGTTCCCCTGAAGTTGTCCTTAGTTTTGCGTTTCAATTTGCATTCAGTTGTTAATGGGATAAACAGCTGTTTGTAACGAGGCTGTATTCCGGGCTATATGAGTTGAGAATAATAACATTTTAACGTATGTCCCTGTCTACAGTGGGGTGAACTCCTGCTGTCCGTCATTCTTATTTATCCATATCTCTGAACCGTAGATCTGTTTGTAATCCTGTTTCCTTTGGCCATCGAATGAACCTATAAATGATATATGTCTGAATACAATACAACACGAGTGTTATGGCGATGAAAATATCGACAGAATGTCAATTGTAACATTATTTACAATGTACAAACCATTGTGAACAGGACAACGTTTTCAGACGGTTAGGCCTTGACATTAGTAGGACACGTACCGGTAAATATACAAGGCGTTAGTATAGATATATAATACAGTATATTTACACACAGAATTAATTCCATAGTAGAGATTTAATTTTCTGGTGTGACGGTTATTCATTCCGTTGAGGTGATCACGAGTTTTAGGTCACGCTTGATTGAACATTTGATTGGACTTTTGTCGTGTTGTGAACAGTGGTGCATTCAGCAATACTTACGTGATTAACTCTTTATAGTGCACATGTATAGATATAAATAGATCGTTATTTAGTGATTGTGATATTATCTATGCAATTTCCACGTAACAATTATCAGAATTATTCCACCATCATAGATAAAGAAGTACCTATATTATATCATGTATACTTAATACTTGAAAAAGTTACTTCCAACGGAAGCTATACTGTATGTCAAAATTAAGTATCTACTTATGCTCGTGTAATGTGAAATGACGCATTTGTTATGATGTAAATTCCAATTTGACGTTGGTAATTATTGTAAAAGCATACACATGATAAATATCTAAAAGCAATCAATTTTTGTTTTCATTTTTAGAGTTTTGTTTAACGAAACATCGGTACCGTATCTAATCTGCCTGGTGTTTACCGCTTCGTGTGAAATCATTTCCGCACTTCCGTACATAATCAGGGCATACCTTACTGCAGTAACAAACTCACTCCTTACTTATCTAGTCATTCCATGTCCCCCTGTTAAAGGATCTATCTATAGTTTTCTCTTTCGTTTCGCTATTACGAAATATCACGACAAAAGAAATTGAAGTAAATGCATTCAGAATAAAATATATATCAAGAACATTTTTGAATAGATTGAACAAAAGAGATACATGTGAATGGCACCTCCAGATAATAGATATTGTCTACCAACATAAAAATTTCAAAAGAAATCGAAGTACATGTGTACTCTACATTATCATGTTAAGCTGAATCCAATTTTACATTTAAATATCCTTGTCGACATTTTTTTTCAAAACATTAACGATCGATTTCTTAATGAAAGAGACACAGATATCGTTTATTATCACCTAATTATGCATACATATGTTATTGGATGATCACACTGTAACATAATCGATTGTATTGTGATCTGTATATCTACCATAGTTATTAAACTTACCATCAATTAGTGACTTTATATTACAGATCACTGATCCGGAACACTCTTACATGGTGGGTCGTCAGGATAGGTCTTTTCTGTTACTGTGTATTACCACCATCAGCGCATAACTCGGACGGTGGAAGGGTCTGCAATCTTTGCCTAGGTAAGCAGTCTGGTTTACAAAGTGTAACAAGATCTCAAGAACATGTTTAACATCCCAGGTTGTCACAAGAAACCATTTCAATAGAAAGGTATACACTTGTTATCGGGTACCGTGTGTAGGCCTACATCAGTCGACACAGAGTCAATATATACTTTTATTCTCAGGTCTATAGAGAGCAGTGTTCTAACCTAACGACATACCCACGTGGTACCTCAGTAACAGGTATACACAGTAGGTAAATGCCTGAACAGTTTACAGACGATAGATGCTTTTTATCATTGGTGTTACTTTTTGTGCCAAATGGAGAATTTTACAAACCTTCAAGTTACCCTGACACATTGTTTTGACTTGTTAAAGTATGCTGATGAGAAAATTTAAACGGTTGTAATTTCTTGAAAACTCTGGACATTGTGTAGTGCTTTAGCAAACAAAATGTGTTTACAATAAAAGCTTAGTTGATATTTAACATTTATGCTTAATAGTACAGACTATATCAACAGACTGTTAAAACAAGATCAAAATTTCCATCGGTTTCTCTCCCTAATTAGAGGTGAAATATTAGAATTCCAATGTAGGAGCAAAGATCAAAGCTTGCTAAATAAATTACGATTTTAAATGGTCTATTGAATGCTTAAGTTCAATACTGGGTAACAAGCTTGTCATTGTTTGATATTTACATGATTCATTTTACCATAGTTCAAGGTAAGGTAAAAGGCGTGATTCGTTATTATTTACAAACCACTATATACAGGAATGGTATTACGTACCACTATATACAGGAATGGTAAGTATATTACGTACCACTATATACAGGAATGGTAAGTATTTTACGTACCACTATATACAGGAATGGTAAGTATATTACGTACCACTATATACAGGAATGGTAATAGTAAGTATTTTACAAACCACTATATACAGGAACGATTAGTATTTTACATACCACTATATACAGGAATGGTATTACGTACCACTATATACAGGAATGGTAAGTATATAACATACCACTATATACAGGAATGGTAAGTATATTACGTACCACTATATACAGGAATGGTAAGTATATTACGTACCACTATATACAGGAATGGTAAGTATATAACATACCACTATATACAGGAATGGTATTACGTACCACTATATACAGGAATGGTAAGTATATTACGTACCACTATATACAGGAATGGTAAGTATATTACGTACCACTATATACAGGAATGGTAAGTATATTACGTACCACTATATACAGGAATGGTAAGTATATTACGTACCACTATATACAGGAATGGTAAGTATATTACGTACCACTATATACAGGAATGGTAAGTATATTACATACCACTATATACAGGAATTGTATTACGTACCACTATATACAGGAATGGTAAGTATATTACGTACCACTATATACAGGAATATTTTCGACGGCATTAGTTTTTGAAAGATGGAATATAACCTTCAAATATACCTTGAAATTATCTCTTAGAAAGAATATCACTGTCTGTTTCACGACTTTCGATAAAAATTGTTTTATCTTTGTTACTTCAAAGATTCTTTTTTCATTAAATATGGTAAGTTTATTGAGAATAGGTTTATTCTCAATCAAATTACCACATTTAATTTTTAAAAAATCGTAGTCATATCCACAAACCATGTGGGTAAAACTACAAGATTTTGGTAAAACTAAAAATATTTGAACCATCTAAAAATATTATCCTTTACAGTACGTGAATGAAACAGTCGGTGTGATTATAAACCCATATAACACATACCATATTCATTTTATGTACATTTTATATTTATCAATGGGAGAGTATTGTTAGGTTCAACACAGACTGAAATCTCAGACTCGATCAGTCCGTGTCAGGTGGACAGATACTATCCTACTAGTTCGACTAAGGTTTAGCCTTGATAATGGGTGTGTAGAACGGGCAACAATGTCGGACTATCCACGATTTGTTAGACAGAAACAATACCGAGCTGGAATAAGAATCTAATGGGTAACATTATTGGCGGTAATCGATGACTTATCACCTATCTAGCGATCTGATGTGGGTTGGAATGATCTAACACGTTAACAACGTATTGTAGACAGACTTTGTCTCGGTTAAGTCTTTTGGAATAATCATTATATATTCTATGTTTAGTTTTATTGGAGGGGTGTGGTTTAATCTATATACACAGTGTGTGCAGCAGATTTAAACATTCAACTATATCATCTGAAAACACATTTTAGTAATTTTTTTTATCAAAATTATTACACTGTCTGACCACGATGATATGGCAAGTATATATAAGATACGTAAACCACCCGTTTGTAGTCAGTGTCAAAGACATACAAGGAAATGCACACATGACAACAAGATCTTTATTCAAACTAGATTTGATGAAACTAAGAGAAGAACAGTCAAAGAAAGATTAACATGAAGGCCCCTAAGTAGTACAAGAGGAAAAGACCAGGATTTCCCGAAGGGTTAACGTTTTCTGCTTCATAAAAAATATCGAACAGTTGTATTGACGTTTTCACACGAGACAACTTCCCATGACTCCAAGGTGTAAATCTATTTACCACAATTGAAATGATGATTCTAAATTACAAACAAAAGAAACATTATACCTTTTTAAGGATCTTTATATAAGTAACAATATCTACTTTTAGGTAGGAGTGCAATTGTAAAAGGGTACTAGCACTGTTTAATTTTTGATGGTATATAGTCATTTTGTAAGCATAGGCATTTGTTATCATTTGACATCAGTACAAGTTATTTGCTCGGACAGTTTTATAATGGTATTTATTGATAAAGGGAGGTAAGTCGTGATGTTTTGATACAATAATAACAAAAAGGAAAAACGCTGTCCGTGGAGTGTATCTTAGAACAAGATAGATAACACTATTTCGGTAACTGAAATCTCAGAATAGTTTAATAAGTTTTGCTACTCTATTGTCAGCACAGCAGATCAAATTACCTATTGAACCTCATCGGTAATTCTCACGCGAAATAATAAATCCGAAGAAACGTGAAGCAAGATTAGTATACATGTTTGTATTTCTATACGCTACACAAATACAGGCATGTATCTAGGACTTAAACATGAAACTTAAATAGGTTTTCTTCACATGGTACTCAGCAAAAGAGGAGGAGTCATTAAACTGTATCACGATTATCATCTTTTTATATACAAACAAATAAATCGACCAATAACTGTTAATTCGGTTGTAACATTGTAGTTAGAAAACTCTGAAAATATCCACTAAAAAGTAGCAACAGTAATTATCGGTACACTTATCCACCTACTTTGTTCACTC